TTTTCTTATTTAACCCCGGATCAAATTTGTAATTCTCCTTACTGTCATATTTTTCTTCATCACTTGTCTGGTTGATACTGTAATGATATAGTAAGGAGAAATTCTGTCTTGGTCACTCATGGGAGTTAAAGGGTTAATACTCTCAGTACATGCCAAAGTCAACAAAAATCGATTTGCCTATAGACTTCACTCTTTCTATGCAAAAAAAAGCACTTTTCACCTTTTTCAGTTAATGAACATTACTATGTAAACTAAAGAAACTCTAATGATATCAAGCATCTAAATTCATCCATCTGTTTCACCGCTAATATTTCCTTAAAATGACCTTCTTAACCTTGTTTAATGTAACGAAACTTAAATCTCGTAGACAACAATGTCTATATTCGTGACGGTGATCATGGAGGATTCCAAGTAACAAAATATCCGTCCGACGGAGATGAGCTGCAATGAAAGAAACTGCGGGAAAGAAGCCTTCGAGAATTCAAGCTTTGACGAGACTCGAGTAATAAAAATTATTTCACTCAGTTGTCACTGAGAGTTCTTAAACTGTTACTTACATCTTTTCCAAAGATATCATAAAAGTTAAATACCAATGAGACTGATGAGAACTGTTTAGATAGGGATGAATTACGTTTCAAACGACTCCCTTGACCTTGTCGAATCTTAAATCTCAAAGACAGCATTATACATTAATTATCATGCGAGATTAAAATTATAAACCATAAAAGTTACTAAGGAATAAATGATCATCGGATATGAGCTGTAATAACACAAATTACAGGGAAGAAGCCTATGATGGGACATGTGATATGTGAATGAGCATGTAAGGAATATCATAAAAATTTGCTTACATAGTACTTAATTGTTGATAATAATGTTAATAGTAGATTTTTTAAAGATATCCCTTTGTCGCAAGATATCGTCAGAGAAAATAGTAATGAAGACTTTTGAGGTAAAGATGTTGAGCACCTCAGAAGTATAAGTCAGAAATGCCTCTTGATCCTAGAATGAACAGCATTTTGTTCACACCACAAGTACAAGATTCCAACTTGAATACATGGGGCATTTGCTGAAACGGGAAGTGAGAACTGATCCGGACTCTCGGGTTGAACATTTTATTCCGGATACATGGCAGGTATGCATGAATATGTATCCATTTCCATACGTAATGAAAAAATGGTAGCTGGGCGTATGTTTTAAACGATAATGGTTCAGTAGAAGGTTGTAGAGTGTCTTTACCAGGGTCCTTTTTGACATTACTTCATAAAGCTTCAGGAAAGGTGCGAAGAGATCTCCTTTTTGGCGGTTGTGTAATTTTATACCGATATGTTTTGTCTATATTTCGAAGCGCCAACTTCTCGATGCCGTCGATAACAATGAATCAGCAGTGATAGTGGCACCAACCTCTTCAGGAAAGACTTACGCCTCGTACTACTGCATGGAGAAAATTCTTAGGAAGGATAATGATAGTGTAGTGGTCTACGTTGCACCAACAAAGGTAAAGTGTCTGTCTATGTCATCTTCTTTCCCTAAATAGTTTCTATATCAGGGCGAGGTTCGAGGAGGAATGAGCCCCATAAACCATATTGTTCAGAATTTTTTTCTGCCATTAAAAGAACATAAAAAAATGCACTGCTCACCAAAATAACCAAACTAAAAATGTGTGGCCACCGTAGTTTAATTTTCAGCACCTTTGAAAAAAATTTTCGGAGTTTAAAGACCTGGTCAGTGACAGGATGTTGTTTATACCTTTGAATGGAAGAGGAAAACATTACATGATTCCTGAAGCATACTCCTTCTTTATATCCTGCATATGAACTTCCTGTAGAGAACAGCTTCAAAATCCAAATACTACCAAAACCTCGGCCAAATTTGTCTGAAGGAGGTGGTGTTCTAAAGAAACTGTGGTGCCGCGTTGGTGGAGGCTTTTACAAGATAACTTGGTTCATAATGTGAATTGGCCACCATAGAGAGTTTCTGAAGCTGACGTTTCGAGCATTAGCCCTTCTTCGAAAACTTGTTTGCTATGTTCTGGTTGAATAAAATCTACGGTTCATTTAAGTGTATTATATAAAGAGTGTTCCCTTTAGCCCTGATCATTATCAGTCAAAGTTGCAACACGCAAAAAAAAAAAGGAAAAAAGAAACTGTGAAGCCACCCTTTTGATAAAGAAAACTGTTTATGTTTTTATTTTTTGCACAGCCTGGTCAATTATGTTCTATGTTTCTTTTAGGCTTTGGTCAATCAAGTCGTTGCTACAATTTATGCACGGTTTGAAAAACAGATGCCAGAGGGAAGATCAGTGTTCGGTGTTTTCACGAGAGACTATCGTCACAACACGCTAAATTCCCAGGTTACTGGATCTGAATTTGGAAAATCAGTAACGCTATGTCCGTTTATCTTCCTTTGGATCAACTCATCTTTGTTATACATTCTTTGAAAATATGGAAAAGTATGAGGAATGCCTCAGATCTCATTGGTTTAGTAACTTGCATGTTTTTTGGAAACACTTTCAAAGTTAATCTTATTACAATATGAGATTGTCTGTGTAACTCTTTTCCCGCAGATTCTTGTTACAGTCCCACAGTGTTTGGAGATCCTATTTATTTCTCCACACAGACAGCATTGGACGAAGAATGTCAAATATGTGATTTTTGATGAGGTAAAAGATCGTCATATCGTTCTTTTGCCAGTCAACCAGTAAAGGTTTGCTGAACGTACATACAATTTCCCTGAGATTTATTGTTTAATTTAGAAGACTAGTTTATTGTTCGAGGTAGGAAATGCTACTTACTACATGTCTGTTTTCTTTTTAGTTTGTGTTTCCATGAAGTTTTGTGTCATTATCAATTTATCAATTTCCAACCCTCGCCAGTAAGTTAAGAATTTAGTAATGATAACTTTAGACTGAAGTAGATTCTTTCTTGGTTTGCATAGGTTCACTGTATTGGATCAGAAACTGGAGCTGAAGTCTGGGAGCATCTCCTACTTATGATTCGCTGTCCCTTCCTGGCGCTCTCCGCAACCATTGGAAACCCAGAGGATCTAAGACGGTAAGAGTTTAAGTAGAGATATTAATTTATTCACCGACGACTTTTGATGAACAACTGGAAACATTTTTGCTGTGGCCTTCTTATTGATAGCAGAGGTTGAAGAATTCATTTTCTTGTGTACAGCTGGTTGCAAGCTGCTCAAGACTTTCGTGAAAAGCAAGACAAAGAAAATAAAGAAAATCTGAGGAAGTCATATCGCATCAGGTTAGGTAGGAGAGAAATTATTGTATTGGAATGCTATGAAATGTTTCTTGTTGCGTGCTTTTGTACTCTTCTAGAATAAAATGAAGCGAAATTACCTTTAAAATGATCACAAATGCACCACTTCGTACTGGTAAAAAGGTTGGGTTAAAAAAATAAGAACAAAGAAAACGAAAAACATTCCTCCTCCTCCGCGTGAACAAAAAAATTCATGTCGAAAGTGCTTTTCACAGAATTTCTTTCAACGAAGAGCTACTTGCTTCCAATTAATGTTATTAGTGACAAACGTTTCGCCAATATATCACTTTTGTTGAACTCGAGTATATTTATTTCAGAAATTATCGTTACTTCTCTAAATTTTGTTGATTGCTTCTAATTCCTTCGCTTATTTTTAAGTCAAATTTGAAGGACGGTACTCCGATCTAGAAAAGAGCATCTACCTTCCAAATAATTGTGAGAAAGGATACGATGATTACAACAACGAGGCATTCGTGAGGCTTCATCCTTGCGGCCAGCTAGGACACCAACAGGTTAGCGTTTTTAACTATTCCTGAGTACATTCAATATTTTACAAGCGTACTTTTATTGACATAGCACAACAAAAGAGTGCATCTTACCAATGATAATAATCAATAACCGAGAGTTGATTGCTTTTCCCTCAGTCTAAATATGAAAACACCCTCACTTTGGTATTTTGTTTGATGATGATGTATATAAATCATCAATATATATTTTTTTCTTTTCAAGTTCGTTTGCTCCTTCGCTTTCAATCTAGATTCAAGATTCTTCTTTGGGATCAGATTAGTTTGTATGATAAGCTGAATTATACCCGCAATTTGTTATCAGTTCTTACTTATGGGCAGGACGGACGCATAGATTATGTCGCCATCAACAGAAGTTTGCTTTTTGCTATCATATTAAACAAATAGAATCGACACTGCCGTGGTTCTGAACTGAAATAGATCACAGGAGACGATAAAGCGCGGTAAGAGCTGCAATGACAACTCGGTTGCCCCTCGAGTGCCACTTTTTTTGTTCATACTACATTTTGACGTCATCTGGGATCAATTACATAATAGACGCAACATGGAATCGACGATTTGTCCGAGACATTTAGGAAAATTTATAAGTTAGGTCTTTGGCTAAAAGTCTTACCTGTTCCTTCTTTTACACAGCTTCGCCAAAAAGGTTTACCAGGTGATATGGCACTTACACCAAAAGAATCTCTACAATTATATGACACTATGGTTAGCGTGTGGCCTGACTGTGAATCACTCCAGGTCAGCGGAGTAGTTATTAATATTTCAACCTTGTTGGTAAATTACAGATGAGGAACACTGGATAATGTAAATTAAATTTCTCTTGGCAGAATCTTTCTCCTGAGACATATTTCCTAGAAAATAAATTGATCCAAAAGGGTCATGCTCGGCAATACGAGAGTGACCTGAAGAGGGAATTCAAGTCTTGGGCAGACAGCAGAGAATTGACAAAGGTAAAAAAAATTTATTTGGTTTTCTTTGTTTTGTTAGGTCTAACCATGCTCAAAAAGAAAGGGAAAAATGTGCAACGATGAAAAGTAATAATAGAATTATTACTTTTTTTGTCAGGTTCAGTCAGTTATAAATTCTTTAAAGTCAGTTTTCTTGGAAAATCACTCTTTAACTGAAGAACAATGGGGTGAACTGGGAATGACGTTTTCTGGTAAACAGTTCATAAAGAACAATTTTGCAAAACTCATTGACGAGCTCAGAGCCCAGGACAAACTGCCTGCCTTAGTGTTTAGGTAAGTTGGAATTATAAAGGAACAAAGTTACTTAAAAACTCTGAATTGTAATTGCTCATAATTTCTCCATTCATTTCTTCTTAATTAGGAAGTTAGTAAGGGGACGTAATGTGCAACATAATGTTAAATACAGATGTGCGGAGTGAAAGACAGCTTAATAGGAAATTAGTATTCTTATCTGATATGTTCTTCACATGGCCATGTCAAACATTTTTCATAGATATTTAACCAGAGATACAATCGATTTCTTTTTTTAATTTGGAAAAGGATAAAAACTGCGAGTAAAAGTATTAGTTTACAGGATTACCCAGAGTAGACGTGTCAATTGAATGACAGAGGCCTAATCTCCAGTAATTGAAATTGCAGGCAAAAGGTTAGTTAACTACGTAAGAAAAGGTCATGGTTATTCATATGGTAATCGAAATGTTCATGTTGAGCACTCTCTTTGGTTTTCCTACGTAGCAATGATCGTAAACTCTGCGAAGAGCTGGCAATCGGTTATGCTCAGAAACTAGAAAGCAAGGAACAAATTATCAGGAGAAAAGGCAACACAAAAGAGGCAAAACTTGCACAGAAGAGGCAAGGAAAAGCTGAAAAAAGTTTGCACAGAAAAAGAGATGAAATGCAGAAAGAAAAAGAGAAAAGGTAGTCAGTTCAGTAATTTGGTCATTCTGAAATGACGTATGACAGTAAACTACAGTAGAACCTCTGTGACTCACCATTTTCCATTTAGTAAATTTCCTGTCCATTCTTTTGCTTAACCTATGTCGGACTGTTCTGTTTCCGAACTGTCTTTCTAGATATGAAGGTTCTGTTGTATATGATGAATTACTGCTTGTTTATATTTCTTGTGGTTGTTTGCTTTTTTGTTGTGGTTTGTTTGCTGTGCTTTTATACTAAAGGGTATCACTGCTCTCCACAAGATCAAAAAGCCAACCAGATAAGCAAGATGAGAGGGGTTCTCTTTCAGCCTTGAACGAGGTTCTACCGCAGTGCACATTGGCATTAAATACTGGAATTGGAAAAGAGGTAGGAAGTATAAACAAATGCTGTTTCAATAATGGAAATAATAAGTCTTCTGCGACTTCGTTTCTTTTTCACCCAGTAGATCAGTTTTTGAGTTTATTTAGGTTGCAAACGTAGAGCCGTTTTACTTTTTTTCTGAACAATGGAGCAACTGCTCATCCGAATTATACAATGTTGACAGCAGCCAAGAGAAGATATTCTCTTGCAGGAGCTAAATGGTAATGAACAAAATTGAAAGATTTATTCTGACGCACTTATTAAAAGAAAAAAGAAACAAGAATTGACCGCATTAATTCATTTTCAGGATTACGACGAGATAATGAAGAGAATCAGGTTCATCTCTGAAAAATCGTTATTCAAGCGGGCTCTAAAACGAGGAATCGGCTTTCATCATAGTGGATGTAGCGCTAATAAACGCTCCGTGGTGGAAATGTTATTCAGAGGCAAATACCTTCAGGTTAGATTTCATTATCGGTATGTAAAATATCAAAAAAGGCACATGTTTCACATTCGTGGACTCACAAAAAGTCCTTGACTTTCAACATTTTCACCTAAATAATAATTCAAATTGAAGATTTAGGCCATAAGACTAAGGCATCAGTATTAAAGAGGTGTTTTCCCTGGATGCGCTGATGATACCGCCTCAGGATTTGATTAACTAGTTTTGTAGGAAATGCATATTAAATAGTGACCATGCTTTTAGTCACAAAGTTTGAAATCTGACGCTTCGCCTTACAATACTCATTTAACTTGTTAGGTGGTCAATGCAACGTCCACGTTGGCTCTCGGCATCCATATGCCTTGTAAGTCAGTGGTGTTTGCCGGAGACTCGTCCTACTTAAATTCGCTGCAGTACCGACAGGTAAATGGGAGATATAACCTCACTAATCATCAGCTTTCTGATAAAGCGTTGTGGTGGTGGATAACAATTATTCATGTGATATATCTCTTTCCATTCAAGGATAACATGACACAGAGGTTTACTTGTTATTTTCAGATGTCTGGTAGGGCGGGTCGGAGAGGTTTTGACCCCGCGGGAAATGTCATTTTCTTTGGAATTCCTTACCGTAAAGTCCAGCGCCTCATGACTGCAAATATCCCAAAGCTTGTTGGCAACTTCCCCATCACTGTTTCACTGGTTCTGCGGCTGCTTCTGATGACGACCCAAGCAGATGACAAGAAAGACGCCCTCACTAAGGTTTGGAAGAATATATCAAGAATGTATTCTTAATTCATAGTTTCCTTTTTATGCAATAGATTAGATACCTTCAGGCAGTAGGTGTGCCTCTTTTGCTCGACTGACGCTTATAAATTGAAATGAAGACTACATAATTCACACTTACGACATGTATTTACAATGTAAAGAGTTAGTTTCCATATGTTACATTTTTGCGAGCAATCTAAGCCACCATAGATTGAATATACTCGTGTATATTTTTTCAGGTGAAAAAAGGGGGTGTGTTTCTATAGATAATGTGCTGCCGCGTCGGTGGCGGACTACATAATAACAAAAGCGAATGACGAAGGGCTAACGTTTGAACCGTCAGCTTTGAAACTCTTTATGGTAACCAATCTACGTTATCAACTCATTCGATAAATAAAACTACTAAATTACCCTGATTTTTCAGGCCCTAGCATTACTGTCTCATCCTTTTATCTGCCAAAAATACCCTCAACTGGAAATCCAGATGAAGTTACATTTCCTCTTCAGCGTTGAACTTCTGGTTAGATTGGTGAGTGGAATGGCCAAAAGTTTTCATCTCTTAAGTTGACACATTTTTCTTGGCCGTGCCGTAATAACCTTTCTGCATATTTAGTGAGGTGTGGTATCTTAGATGAGGAAGAAATGGCTGTGTAGGATTTAGTGACATATAACCGTCTGATAAAGAAAATTTCAGAGCCAATCGAAAGCCTGCACAAAGACATTTGTGGCTAAAGTCTTTGATTACTCGTTTAATTCCAGTCTCTTATAAACAAAGAATGACGAAGGGCTAACGTTTGAACCGTCAGCTTTGAAACTCTTTATGGTAACCAATCTACGTTATCAACTCATTCGATAAATAAAACTACTAAATTACCCTGATTTTTCAGGCCCTAGCATTACTGTCTCATCCTTTTATCTGCCAAAAATACCCTCAACTGGAAATCCAGATGAAGTTACATTTCCTCTTCAGCGTTGAACTTCTGGTTAGATTGGTGAGTGGAATGGCCAAAAGTTTTCATCTCTTAAGTTGACACATTTTTCTTGGCCGTGCCGTAATAACCTTTCTGCATATTTAGTGAGGTGTGGTATCTTAGATGAGGAAGAAATGGCTGTGTAGGATTTAGTGACATATAACCGTCTGATAAAGAAAATTTCAGAGCCAATCGAAAGCCTGCACAAAGACATTTGTGGCTAAAGTCTTTGATTACTCGTTTAATTCCAGTCTCTTATAAACAAAGAAACCGGAGCTCCACAGGAAATGGCCGGACTGGCAACCCATCTTCATTACCATGAACCGTCCAACTTTGTCCTAATCAGCTTTCTACGAAGTGGTCTCTTCCACAAGCTTTGTCAGCCAAGGACAAAGGGTAAGCCGACCTAAAGTTTTTGATAGCTCCTTTTAAGCACAGTGATTGATTCGATTATATTAGGGCACGTTTTAAGAGCCTTTTGTGAACATCCCACTTTTAAAACCCGCACAGGGGAAAACGATTCCTTGAAATATGATTGTGTGTGATAGCATCATCAAAGAGACGGTATATATCTCTAACTTGAAAAATCGAAGGTTTTAGTTTGTATGAAGAGACTAGGAGTATTTCTACGCTCGCATGGATGGAATTTCAATCCTTGGCAGGTTATTTGCAGTTTTCCTAACAGTTCATAACTCAATACTCTACTCTCGTAAGGAGAGAGACAATTTTAGTGTATCACTTACCCAAAAATACAACACAATGACCAAATCAGGATCAGCCGGTTTTCCAGCCCAGACCTCTTGACACAAAGTCTAGTACGTTAACTGTTAGCCTAATGCGTCTCAGATTTATCACTGAGGAGTTTTTGCTCTTCATTGCTACCGTTAGCGTAGTGCTCTTTAGCGAACTTTTGACCCGTTCATTGCATTTCACTTTACGTTGATTTTCCTTTTTCTCACTTTGACAGGTAAATTTTCTGTCGACGTTATGCGAAAAATGGTACTTGTTCTCAGCCACTTAGTTGGAAGGACTTATGTTCACCCCTCTTTGATGCTTAGGGATCGATCTTCATCAAAAGTAAGTGACTATTTATTGTTTATACCCAGGGGGGAAGTGGAGGGTTTTGAGGGGGACCATCAACAGAGCATAAAGGGAAGACAACGGGCAATTTATTACCAACTAACAACTAATGTGGGGAGATCAAAGTAACATCATCACAGTCTTATGGGAGGGGGGGACTAAGTAAATTTTAAGGTGACACTAAAAAAAAACCCAACCGTCTCCCCTCTCCCATAAAAGAAGACCATTAATAATGACTGATTCCTCAGTATTTCCTTCCCTCGGAGGATCTATTGGTCTACCTTTCAATTTAGTTTGTTATAAATCGAAGACTGCGCAATGGCTCATCTTGAAAACGAGCCTATTGTTGGTGAATTATCATAAAGTCAGTCTTTTTCAGAAAGAGAAAATGGCTCTTAATTATGTTTTCTAAAAAGTTTTACATGAATTTAGGCGTGGGTCACATGCACGAATTACAATACATTCGGAAAAATCATTTAAAAAAAAACATTTGGTTTTTCTCTAACTCGTCCGTCAAAAGAGATGGGCAGCGAGTTACTGTAACTGTTAAGCTTCTTCGGTGTATAAATCATGGACACGTTTGCATTTTGGACTTTATGCAGTTGATTTTGGAGGATCTCCCGGATGAATTTGCCAAAGTAGTCGAAAGCTACAACCGTGAGGTCACCGATATCTTTAGTCAGTACCCTGCCACAGTGGCTAAGTGGTTGGGAGAGGGAAGAGGAGAGAATCACAAGCTCCCCTTGTCAGGAATAGGTAAGAAATATTTAATGCACATTTTAGTTCGCATAATTTTACATTTTCTTGAACCGGAATATATTTTCAGAGAATACGTCATTCCGGTAAAGAGATTCCATGCTGCTGTGCGTCTGTCTGTTCAGCAATTAATCACAGTTGACGTCAAAGTGTGGTAAGTACACAAATATGGTACAAGAGGCGCAGGCCAGTCTGACACTAATGTTATCAACACATTTTGACGTCATCTGTGATCTGTTACTGGAAATATGCACGGTAACCTGGAGTCTATTTCTTTTAGCAATCTTTTAGTTTGTCCTCCAATAGATCATATGTAAGAAACAATCAAAATGAGCATATCATTCAGTTTATCATACAGATTTAAATTATGGAAAACGCGTAGATTGCTGTATTCATGTAATAAAAATTTCTGCCGCAGAATTTCCAAATAAAGCCAGCATCGATGGCATTGTCGAGCACGATCTGATCAAAGTCCTTGCAAACACTTCCATTAAGCCTTTGGCTTGTTCCTACTTCGCTGCGCTGTCAGGGAATACAGACTCACAGTTACATCATACCAGCCAAATACCAGGCGATCGGAGTGAAGATGAAGTTGATAGCGGCGAGGAAGAATGGGAGGAGGAGCCACTAAGAGATATGCACAAGGTGAAAATTAGACTGTTTTAGTTTCGCTGTTTCCTTTTACGGCTTTTGATATTTTTTCTCAGCAGACCATTTCAGACAAAATGACTCTCTACAATCTAGACTAGCCTTATTTGGGATTTTGGGTTCAAGAAATATAAATCGATAATTCTTTTAAATTAAAAAATTTATTCCATGGGTTTGTCCAATAATAGATCAAATGTAAAGTCAAAATTTGGTATAAGATTAAAAAAGTGGTACATTAGGCGCGGCCAAGTGATTCGCTGATGCCCCATTTTGACATAATCTGTGATTTCTAGCTGAACAAACCCATGACAACAAGGAATCTATTTGTTTCACATGATAAAAAAATGTTATTAATGGTCATCTATACTCCTCCGATAGATCATAAGTAACAACCAATCAAAATGTGTGTAAAATACAGTTTATGATATAAATTTTCGTTGATACCGAAGTGGGCGTCAATATTTTTTTCCTATTTGTCTAGATCGTTCGTCAAGATATCTACACGGACATGAATCTCGTTCCCATTCTTCGACTCAGGAATAGGCTACCCCTGAATGCCTATGCATTGGATTTTTTTAAGCACGGATCCGCTAAAGTTATTGAGAAAGAAAATGGGTAAGTAAGTAAGTGTGCTAGAAAATAATTTCATTACTGACTTAAATATTGCTCTTTTTTTATTTGGACCGTTCTTTGTCATGTAATTAATGCATTTTTATCGCTTAATCGATAAATCGTCCACCTGCTAAATTTTTAGAATACGTCAAAAGCTATCACTTTTCTTTAAGGCGCTCAACTCCTGCTTTTTATTTCATTTCCAGTTCTCTTTGATATTTTGAAACATTCGCTTTGATTTTGACCATGTGCTCTGATTTCACAGCATGCTGGCTGGCGATGTTTACAATGCCATAAAGGAGTTTTACCTTACCATTAAGTCAATCAGGTAATTCTTCCTAATTTCCAAAGAATACGCTGAGTTCAAGGAGGTGATAGTATAGCGATAGAGCACCGCCTAAAGTTCAAATGTCAGACATATTCTACAATTGAATTTTTCTCGTCAAAGTTTGTTGAGATATCTTTTTCACCTGAGAAACATGGCTAAAAGACATTTTTTCTAGTGATTACCATGGTAACCATCTTCACATTATTTTTCCTCTTAAATTCAAGAACTACACCCAGCAGATTTGTCTCTGCGATTGACAAAAATGCAGCACTTGTATAATTTTTAATATGCACTATTTAATGACACTTCATAATCATTGTTGATCGATTAGGTTACAATGAAGTAACTTGCTTTCTCGTTTTATAGTTGTTCACTGGAAGAGCTGGGTCCTAAAACTGACAATGTGGTACTGGCTTTTAAACAGCTGGCTCAGGAGTACGGAGAGAAATTCAGAGACCAGTTTGAACATGAGGCATAGGAAATACAAATTTGAGTTTAGTTATTAATTTATTAATATCAAGTTTTCTAGACTTGTCGAATTTAAAAGATTAGTGTTTGCTGAAAATGTTTTGGAATGACACGGGTAGCACTTGTTTTCCTAGAGAATACTAAATAAATGAACATATTGTGTCGGTATACAAATGTTTTTTTTTTTTAACAAATCCGTGTCCTATTGATCAATTTCAAATGAGTGTCACTTAAATTATTCAATTTTTGAAACGAGAGCGTTTATCCTAAGACTAGTTCACAGACTGTTGCTTGAAGTATTCAAAGGCTTCTGTAATCTAATTAAATTACTGATAAACTTAAAGGTATAGATAGAGAAGTCGACATGGTTAAACAGATTTCTACACTAAAATGGAAGGACCGTGATAAAACTGAACCAAATATATGTACTGTAACACAAAAAAATAAAAAGTAGTTTACGTTAAGAAGTTGTAACGAGTGCAAATTAAATAAAACTGTTCGTATCAGATAAGGTTTGTTAGGTGCTTCCCAACTACTTCATTAAAGTTTAGAGGTTCAATCAAAGTCCGTTTTACTGAATTTTTAAACACTAGTTACGCGAAATCTTTGCAAGAGGGATTTTATGACCAACCTTAGTGGGAATTGTGTATGACAGCATATAAAGGCAACTGCAAGTGCGATATAGTGTTCATATGTTATTTTCGGTAATGATATGATTGTTTCTACGTCGGGACAAAAAAAAATTTTTAAATTTTAATCTCCTACTCAGATTTTTTTGCCGACTAAAATCTCATTCAAAAGATCTGGGTATGAGATTATAAGCTAACCCTTCCCTGTAAGGCGTTTTACAAAGTTGCTGGGGGGGTGGAGGGGGTTGGAATCTTCGGCAGTGTCAGTTTTAAACATTTACTGCGACAAATTTACAGTTAATGTCAACCAGAAAGCCACTTTAATTTATAGTTCAAATAAATCCCTAAGCTTTAACAAACAGTGCAACTTGCGCCTATCAATCTTTGGGATGCCCTGACCAGTTGAATAATGAAACAACTATCTAAATAAATATAATTTCCTAGAATGAATGGAAATTTGGTCACAAGTTACGTTCATGCAGGAGTTTACATTGTAAACCTGAACCAGCAAAATTAAATGATTCTGAGTGTTTACGTTTCACTAGGTTTTGCAGAGCCAAAATATAAAGCCAGCAACAGTCTTCGATAAACAGAAATGTTTGTAACCATTTTTATTCTTTAGAATAGAAGATGTGTTTTATGGTCCTTTAGTTACGATTGTATTTTGTGCAGAATTCGAATTCTTCTGTACCTAAAGCGTAATGCAGCTTTACAGCTAGTAATTTATTGGCGTAATTTCTAGAAGCATGCAGACCGTTTCAAATTTACCAATCAGCGCTTGGCTTGGTTTTGAACCGCGGTGGGCTGCCACGGGAAGTTGCTGCACTGTATGGTAAATTTGAAACGGCCTGCATACTTTAAATTCCTGACTTTGGCACTGATCATATTTTAAAAGCTATATTCGTCATTTCAGCATCGATTTTCTTGGAAAATGTTGGAGGATGAAGCTCAAATTTGGCGAAGAGATAGAGCAACACCTCATCGATCACAACGGTCGCCAGTTAGGAGAGATTTTCAGTATTTTGGCAATAATTCCAGCTTGTAGGGGAGGAAGTTGCGGCTGGCGGCCATCAAGTTGCAAGCCTTGTCTCCCTTTCTTTGTCTCCTTTTGTTGTTTCGTACACTTCTTGACGTTGTTATTCGTTTCGTTGTTACTGACCTGACTTTACTTTTCCGTGATCGAAGTTAAACGGAAGGAAGTCGTCACCGCGAGCAGTGAACGTTATTCGTGCAAAACTTTGAAAGCTTTTAGAACGAACGATATCGTTTCAGTGAAAAAAGGTAAATTTACGCCTTAAGGTGGGCAAAGACTTGAACGGCTTGATGCTGCTTGAGAAAATCATCATGCACCGCAAAGCCGAGGTCGTTTTAAGTTGAGGGAATGGACTTAAAACAGCAATCTATGATCGGGATCGGGGTTGGCCGGTATAAGCCGTGGGAATTATGGGATTGAGATAAAATATGAGTCAGAATCGTGGGAATAAATAACTTTATTGGGGACCCTCCTTAAGGCCTATTTTTGATCTTTTGCGACATCGAAAATTTCAAAAGTTGACAAGCTCACTCCTTGTAACACACTACATGCAGCAAGAAGTCGGTTGTATTCCTAAGTTGTGATATATTAGGGGTTTGGAAAGTATTTAATTTTGATATGTGTTTATTCAAAGGTTCACCATAATTTCTCAAACTCAAAATTTTGGTGATTTTGCAAGCGTGACAGGAGAATTATCCAAATTAGTCTGTTGAGCAACCTCCGACCGTTTATATTGGTAGCTTCATAAATCTTAGATTTTAACCATTTTAAAAAGAAAATATAGTAGGAAAGAGCCTTTAGAACAAACTGATTGATACTTTAATCAGCCGTTTAACATTTTAGACTACGAGCAGCCCTCCTTTTCGGCGAAGCATGCCTATGTTTTATTTGTGTATTAGAGAGGTTTTCAAATGGCTGATGTACGTGTTTAAGCGCGTTGGCTGAGTATCATTTAGCATCAATATTCAGGATTTTAAAGGGATCTTTCTAATAGCTTAAGTCTTACACTTCTGCTCATGATCTACGACCGCTTGGAATGACGCTTTACCATCTCTTAGCGCAATGATACTGCACACTAGCTGGCATACTTCTCCAGCTTTTTGAACAAACTCAGGAAAGGGGCATTTTTCCCATCAGTCTACTTTGGATTGGATCGCTGCGCTCACTCGTGAACTATCGAGTTAAACACTCGAAGAGAAATTCGTTATCTACGCGCGCCCATGTATTATACTTTATTTATGACTCATTTTCCTGGGAAAGTACACAATGTATTACATCATCAACTTCTGGTTTTTCTAAGAATGTCACGCATTAGTAAAAACAACAGATCTATTATAATTTTCCGTTACATGTTTAACATCAACGTCACTCCGTTATTGCAACATCATTATATATGATCAAATATGAAAACATGATGCAGCCGCTCTGCGGTGCCTGTATCACCGCCCGAGATCTGACACCATTATTTGACGCCAGGAGGCGTATGCTCTCTAATTGAGTGTCATCATGGTCGTGAATCCAGTAGTGAGTCATTTGCATCCTGTCGCGGACAAGTGAGCATCTTTAGTGGCAGCGTGAAATATTCAACACTCGCCATCCCCCGCGTTGCTTCTGCACTGCCGCGAGCTAAATTTAAGAAAAATTAAATTGATTGCGGTTGACTGCGGTTAGCGATTGAAAACTAAAATTAAAAAGACAAATACTTCTATGTCCTGAGACCAAAAGAAAAAGAGTTCCCTCTCGCTAATGTGACTCATCGAGTTACAGCTCAGTTCCGCCACCACGGTCTGAGCGAGAGGTCTTTTTTTCTCACCATCCCCTGCTCGAAGCTTAGCTTCTGCGCTGCCGTATGACTTCACGCACTCTACCACAAAAATGCTATCAAAAAGCTTCACGTCATGATGTAAAAATATAATTACCATCGTCTGGAAAGTAGTATACAGAAGTAGAAGTTGTTGTGTCGTTATTATTTTGCCAAGCGTAGCTGGCTCCTACTCTTCTTTTGAAACAATGTAGGTTTAATTAAGTCAACAGCGCAATTGAATATTTACCAGCCCACCACTGGAAAATGAAAATAAACTGAAATCCATCCCGTAGACAGTTTTTAGAATAAATGATCGTCTTCTTTGCTTTTTTTTTCCTACGTAAAATAACGAATAAACCACATACTGCTTATTCTTATTCGTCACAGCTCGACTTTAAAAATTTGCGCAAATTTAGAATAAGGGGATGCCTAATTGCAATGGTTGAAGGCCTTTGCGAGAGCCTCGTTGATTAAGGTCGACATTTATCGGGAAATGAAAGGTTCGCATCATTTGCATCATTTTTAAGTTAAAACGTGTTTTCTTTCCGCTCCTTTACTCAACTTACACGCCAAACAACTTATATTCCACCACTTACCGTGGAAACAACGTCCAAAGTCCGATCGGAACACACCCAATCATTGCACTACATGATCATTAGACAATTGTGTACGTGCGTGAATTGTATTCCACCAATCAAATTGCATTTTGCCAAATTCGATTTCGCTTCATCACGTGTCATTTCCTTGTAAACAACCTGCTTTTAATTAACTATTCTAACTACATTTCCCAACCCTACTGAAAACAATTCACATGTAGCTAATTTACATGTGCTTGAATTGTATTTCACCAATCAAATTGCATTTTGCCAAATTAGACTTCGCTTCATCACGTGTCATTTCCTTGTAACAACCTGCATTTAATCACGTATTCTAACGGCATTGTCCAACCCCACTAAACAAAAATCACATGGAACTAAATGATACTGATAGTAAACGTTTCACGCAATTCTCCCGCGTTTTGATTTTTTCTTCGAATAAAATTGGCTTTTAGCTACTTTGGAGTTAATCTAATTGCATGTCAATTCTTTTTCAACAACCTGTATTTGATCACGTATTTCACACACTGAGGGCAAAGTCCAGATAAGCAACAACCAATCTAGGAGCCCTCTTTGAATTATCCTCTCTCTTATTAAATGTATCTTCACTTATTCAAGATCGCAATATATCTTTGGTAATGGTCTATTAGAAATACAACTGAATTTCAGTTTCCTTTTCGTAGTAAAAATTACGTGAAATTAGGTCACCAACTGTAAACCAATAATTTTGATTTTCTCTCTTTCAGAGGAACGGCAGTAAGCTTAGTCTCTTTTGCAACCGTTATTTGGTGTCATCACGCAACGTGCATTCTCTCCAACGGAGAATAGATGGCGCTGTGTGACAAGACGAAGCAACCACTGCAAGGGGAGACATCAATAAGTTTTGCACCGAGGCTTTTTATCTTTGCTTAGAAGTATTTGGACAATAGAGACAATAGACTTCAAAATACCTGAGTGAGTTCAGATTACGTACTCTTAAGGTAAAAAAGTAATGCGATGTTTTCGTCCGTTTGAAAGTTATGTTCTCTTTCTGACACAAAAATGAAACGTTAGGGATACAAAAATGAGACATTAGGTACGCAAGGTGCTCCATCTCAACCCGTTTAGCCAAAAAGATAACTCTTGCATGCTACGCATACCTACGTTTTCATTTTGAGCCCCAACGCCAACGCACTTTACGATTGTCATTCGGAGATTGTAGATCTTTTTATTTTCGTTCATTATCTAGGTCAGTTAAGGCCTATTGGGTTTTTTTGATAAACAAAATAATACATGGTTGCCTGTAGATATGAAATTTCTTCTCTCGTGTGCAACTCGACATCTAACTCGTTCGCTGCGCTCACTCGTGGGTTATTGAGTTAAACACTCGAAGATAAATTTCTTATCTACGCACGCCCGTGTATTATCATTCTCTATTTATGACTCAATTCCTCGGGAAAGTCCACAGCATATTATATCATCAACTTCTGGTTTTTCTGAGAATGCCACGCAATGAGGAGTCGTTTGCATCCTGTCGCGGTCGAGTGAACATCTTTGGTGGTAGCAAGAAATTTTTGATGCTCGCCATCCCCAGCTGTAGGCATTGTTTCTGCGCTGCTTTGAGCTAAATTTCAGAAAAATTAAATCTATCAAATGAAAACCATTAAATAGAAAAATTTGATACTTCTATGTCGTGGCACCAGAAAGAGTACCCTCTCGCTAATGTGACTCATCGAGTTACAGCTCAGTTCCGCCACCTCGGTCTGAGCGAGAGGTCTTTTAATTTCACCGTCCCCTGCTCGAAGCTTAGCTTCAGCGATGCCGTGTAACTTCACTCACTCTACCACAGAAATGCTATCAGAAAGCTCCACGACATGATGTAAAAATATAATTACCATCGTCTGGAAAGTAGTATACAGAGTTGGCTCAGTTCTGAGATAAGTTTTGCCAAAATTGATCTTGAGCCGCCAACTCTTATACAACTCAAAAGGTCTAAAAATTTAACGTTTTTCTCTAAGAATCTGTTACAGATGATAAAGAAATGAAAGATTAGTCTTTCCCATTTATATGTAAGTAAAGAATATGAAAGGTTCGCAGATTGATTTTTCCTTTTAGTATTTGATAAATGGTGAACTTAAATGGTGAACTGTCCTGGCTCAACTTAAACACTGAAGAATACCGTTTCTGGTGAGGTGGTTGCACACTGATGTTCCAAGGAGGTAATGTTTTATGAGGGGATATAAAAGCTAAGGTTAGCCAGCAGAGAATAACTAAATCGCTAAAGGGGGCTCACTGAAAGTGAAATCCTTTCTAAGTTAAATTTAGAATAAAAAAGCCTTTCAGAGGGATTACCTTTGAAATATTATGCAATTTGTCACTCAGATTGATCTTATCTTTTATTTAAATTAAAAAAAACGTCATGTCCATTAATGACACACACCCAAGGAAATATCCAATTGACTAGCTTAATGGGAAAAGAGTCCCCCATGCGTGATCTTGCGTAACACAATGTTCGGCGTAATTAGCATGATAAGTTGATCAGCATAACTTCTCAGAAATCAAGCCCTTAAAATATTAGCTATTTGAAACTGATCCTTCTATCCTGACGGACGCCGTTCGTGTTAAGTCACCTTTTGAAGAAGTCATCAAAATATCCTCAGCCTTGTAAAACTTTACAAGTTTAACGGGCTTTTAAGGACGAATTCAACGCTCCATCGTTGACGAAACGTCGTTTTAAGGTGAGCTCTTAAATAATTTATAAAATTAAGCGGATTTTTGTCTCATCCACCCGTGTTTCATCAGTAACAGTGTGAGTTTGTATTAAACTATCGCTATTAAACTATCGCTCTGACGAAGGGCTAACGCTCGAAACGTCAGCTTCTTTACCCTTTACGGTGGCTAATTTACGTTTTCAACCCAGTTGTTAACACTAAATTACCTGAGTTTGTAGTAACTAAGAAAAACGTATTACATTGTGGAAAACAAGACAATCCAGTATGATGCATGAGGTTTTGGTTTCAAATAGGTCTTTCAGTAGAGTCAACAACACAATAGGCCATATGATTGCAGACAAAGACACGTTATGAAAATGTTATCGATCAAAAGTGTTGTGTTTAGCGAGAACCGAGTAAACTGAGTGTTACGAGATAATCTGAAACCCGTTTGCTTTTGATTTTGAATATGAATTATTGAGCACGTGTTATATTCTGTGCACATCGTCGAAATGGAGAGAAGAACCAGTTGTTATAAACGCACGCTTCGAGTGAAAGATGTTGTGAACCTCTCCTTGCTTATTAAATAATATAAAACTTGGCAGGCATTTTCAGTCAGAGAAAAAATTGAGGCGACAAATCAAACTACGAATTCTTCAAGACACCATTTCATTTCTTGTATGATTCGTTGCATTTCCATAGCGTCTCTGACATTATACCTAGGGCGCAGTTTCCTACGCCACTTGCGTTGCTTTAGCGTTATTTGCAGTTTTTTTTTGCCGTTTTGTCAATTAAGTTTTAGCGAAAGATTTTAGGCTGTGTAAGAAACAATAACTTCGAATCGTCGCCGGATACTCATTTTTCATTTGTTGTGATTATCCCGTACAATGAATACAAGTAATCTGGACGCATACAGGTTGTTGTGCCATTATTATTTTGCCAAGCGTACTAGGTGGCCCCGACAGTTTTTCTGAAACAATTTAGGTTTAATTAAGTCAACAGCGCAATTATATGAATATTTACCAGCACACCACTGGAAAATGAAAATAAGCTGAAATCCATCTCGTAGACAGATTTTAGAATAAATGATCGTCTTCTTTGCTTTTTTTTTCCGACGTAAAATAACGAATAAACCACATGCTGCTTGTTCTTGTTGGTCACAGCTCGAGCTCAAAAAAAATTGGCGCAAATTTAGAATAAGGGGATGCCTAATTGCTGTGGTTGATGGCCTTTGCGAGAGCCTCGTTGATTAAGGTCGAGATTTATCGGGATATGAAAGGTTCGCAACATTTGCATCATTTTTAAGTTAAAACGTGTTTTTTATCCGCTCCTTTGCTCAACTTACACGCCAAACAACTTTTACTCCATCACTTACCGTGGAAACAACGTCCAAAGTCCGATCGGAACACATCCAATCATTGCACCATATGAACATAGGTAATTTTTCACGTGCTTGAATTGTATTCCACCAATCAAATTGCATTTTGCCAAATTAGACTTCGCTTCACCACGTGTCATTTCCTTGTAGCAACCTACATTTAATCACGTATTCTAACCGCTTTGTCCAACCCCACTAAACAAATATTACATTGAACTAAATTCTACTGATAGTAAACGCTTCACGCAATTCTCCCGCGTTTTGACTTTTTCTTCGAATAAAATTGGCTTTTAGCTACCTTGGAGTTAAATTAATCGCGTGTCAATTCCTTTTCAACAACCTGTATTTGATCACGTATTTCACACACTGAGGGCGAAGTCCAGATAAGCAACAACCAATCTAGGAGCCCTCTTTGAATTATCCTTTTCTCATTTAAATGTATCTTCACTTATTCAAGATCGCAATATATCTTTGGTAATGGTCTATTAGAAATACAACTGAATTTCAGTTTCCTTTTCGTAGTAAAAATTACGTGAAATTAGGTCACCAACTGTAAACCAATAATTTTGATTTTCTCTCTGTCAGAGGAACGGCAGTAAGCTTGGTCTCTTTTGCAACCGTTATTTGGTGTCATCACGCAACGTGCATTCTCTCCAACGGAGAATAGATGGCGCTGTGTGACGAGACCAAGCAACCACTGCAAGGGGAGACATTAATAAGTTTTGCACCGAGGCTTTTTGTCTTTGCTTAGAAGTATTAAGACAATAGAGACAATAGACCCCAAAATACCTGTGTGAGTTCAGATGAATTAGGTTTTTTACTTACTCTTAAGGTAAAAATGTATTGCGATGTTTTCGTCCGTTGAAAGTTATGTTCTCTTTCTGACACAAAAATGAAACGTTAGGTACGCAAGGTGCCCCATCTCAACCCGCTTAGCCAAAAAGATTACTCTTGCATGCTACGCATACCTATGTTTTCATTTTGAGCCCCAGCGCCAACGCACTTTACGATTGTCATTCGGAGATTGTAGATCTTTTCAGTGAAGGCCTACTGGGTTTTTGTGATAAACAAAATAATACATGGTTGCCTGTAGATATGAAATTTCTTCTCTCGTGTTCAACTCGACATCTAACTCATTCGCTGCGCTCACTCGTGAGTTATTGAGTTAAACACTCGAAGAGACATTTTTTATCTACGTGCGCCCGTGTTTTATCATTCTCTATTTATGACTCAATTCCTCGGGAAAGTCCACAGCGTATTACATCATCAACTTCTGGGAATGCCACGCAATGGGGAGTCGTTTGCATCCTGTCGCGGTCGAGTGAACATCTTTGGTGGTAGCAAGAAATTTTTGATGCTCGCCATCCCCAGCTGTAGGCGTTGTTTCTGCGCTGCTTTGAGCTAAATTTCAGAAAAATTAAATCCATCCGATGAAAACCATTAAATAGAAAAATTTGATACTTCTATGTCGTGAGACCACCAGAAAGGGTACCCTCTTGCCAATGTGACTCATCAAGCCACCGCGGTCTGAGCGAGAGGTTTGTTTTATTCTCACTATCCTCTGCTCGAAGCTTGGCTTGCCAAAATTGATCTTGAGCCGCCAACTCGAATACAACTCAAAAGGTCTAAAAAGCTAACGTTTTCTCTAAGAATCTGTTACTGATGATAAACAAAATGAAAGATTAGTCTTTCTCATGTATAAGGTTCGCAGATTAATTTTTCCTTTTAGTTTTTGATAAATGGTGAACTCTCCCGGCTCAACTTCAACACAAAAGAATTCCGTTTCTGGTGAGGTGGTTGCACACTGATGTTCCAAGGAGGTAATGTTTTAAGAGGGGATATAGAGGCTAAGGTTAGCTAGCAGAGAATAACTAAATCGCCAAAGGGGGCTCACTGAAAGTGAAATCCTTATCAAGTTAAATTTAGAGTAATTTAAAGGATTACCTTTGAAATATTATGCAATTTGTCACTTTTTTTAAATAAAAAAAAAACGCCATATCTATTTTATGACACACACCCAAGGAAATGTCCAATAGATTAGCTTAATGGGAAAAGAGACTCCCTTGCGTGATCTTGCGTGACACAATGTTCGGCGTAATCAGCATGAAAAGTTGACCAGCATAATTTCTCAGAAATCAAGTACACTGAAATAGTGAGCTGAAGTCAGGCCGAGAGCATACACCTATTTGAAAATAGGTTGTCATCAGGCGATGGGTGATAGGTCATTCCAAGACGGAAAGGAATCATGGGTATACAACTTAGTAAATAGGTCTTACTGAGTTTTGTACATTTGTTTTTTAACTGGATAACTGTTTTTCTGTATAGTATTCTGTTACAAACAGAGAAATATAATATGAACCTTCTCTAATCTTACTTTGAAAAGTTGTGATCTTATGATCTAAATCATGTTGAACTGAGTTTCTATGGACTTCCTTATTAGCTTGGACTTGTGATATAATCCTATCTTCGTCTGCAGGATCCAGTGTTTTATACCATTCTGCTCTGCCAGATAAAAGTTTTTCTTTTTCTTCAGGATTCAATGACCTATACCATTCTGCTCTTTTTTCTTGTGCAGAATTGAGCGAGTTAAACCGTTCTGCTCTCTTTTGCTTTTGTGCAGTATCCAGTGATTTATACCAAATTGCTTTGCTGGACAAAATATTTTGTTTTCCTGTAGAACCAAGTGATTTATACTAATCTGCTGATTTGGACAAAAGCTTTTCTTTTTCTTCGGGATCCAGTGACTTATACCATTCAACTCTTTGAGATAAAAGCTTTTCTTTTTCTGCAGGATCCAGTGACTTGTACCATATTGCTTTATTAGACAAAACTTTTTTTTCATGGGAGGTTCCATTTGTGCATAGCTTTCTTTTTTCCCTTTTGTTTTTAGTTCTTTCTGATTATGAGACTTATGTTTTGCCATTACCTTTTGTCTTCCAGTATTTGAAAAATTGATTGAACAACATATAAATTTAATACAATATTTTACATCTTTACTCTGGAATTGTTTTTTTACAATATCCACTAATGATTGAATAAGAAAATTCATGTCATTAATTTTTTCAAATATATCAAGTGTGCCACTAGGACTGAATCTTATAATATAGTACTTGACACTTTTTGCTTTTGTTTTTCATATAATTGTCCTGAAAAATAAAGCTGAAGCAATAATTTGAAATCCACATTAAAAACCCAGTATTATCCTTGGTATTATCTGTGATTAAGTTCCGAAACAATAATTTGCCACTAAGAGATGTACGGCATAGCATTCCTTGTTTCTCCAAATTAAAGGCAATATTAATATCTGCATCATATATTTGAAGTATCCTTGGGAAATTGTTGATAGTCAGTGGATGGTTATCGCCATTGAGTTTTCTTTGTAAAACTTGTTTGCATGGTCAGTGATTCTATCTAGAGTCTGTGAATTCCAATACTCACAATATTTGATAATGGAAAAACAAGTGCTATAAAACGATGTGGCATAACAGCATAACGAGGGAATATGAATGGTTGTAATTTCAGCATCTGCATGATTTGCTTCGAGAGGGGACAGCTGATAAATGTTGATCAGAAGTATCTGTCATATCACATTGTTTTTCATTAACATGTACACCTTTGAGTTCAAATAAAACATATGGATTTTGATAAAGACCTTGAAAATAGTTCATCAGCTCATTTAATGTGCTAACTTCTTACAGTACACAAGTTCCGTGAGGATGGGGCATACCATATGAATCTCTACCATGAGAATCATATATCTTAAACTTACCATCACCATTACAGTAGAAACCTACTGTAGTACTAAGAACTGTTAAAAGAAAGGAATTATAATTCTGTCCCAGCAAAGCCTGCATAGCATTAGCAAATGACACACAATAATTGAAATCTTGTACTTCACAAGTACCATGTATAGTACCAGTATAGCTTGGACTGTATTGAAGCTGATAATTAGTATTAAACACTATAATAATTTCAGGTACTTCTGTTCACAGTAAATAGGATTGCTTGGATAGACTAGATAGACCAGAATACAATTCATTACCAATGTTCATGATATTAACCAAGTCCATCGAGGATACAATACCATTCCTCTTGTTAACACAGGATTTTGGATCATGTATTTATTAGAAAAGAATATCCATACAACTACAATGAAAACAAAGATAAGATTCACCTTTCTGATCGTGAAATTATTACCATTTGTATTGTTATCGTAGCTACGCTCCTTGGCATTAAGTGATCCAACATGGTGTCTTTCTTCACAAGCAGTTTGCATCCATAGTAGAGTTTTGTTCCTCAGTCTCACCGGAGTAATGTTGTTCAATAGATTGCATAGAGTATATGCAGTATGGTTTCAGATTTCAGATTTTGCTTTTTTCAACAAGTGTACGTTTTTCAACCAAGACATTGACATACTTGGCATACAAGGCATACAAGGCATACAAGGCATACAAGGCATACAAGGCATACAAGGCATACAAGGCATACAAGGCATACAAGGCATACAAGGCATACAAGGCATACAAGGCATACAAGGCATACAAGGCATACAAGGCATACAAGGCATACAAGGCATACAAGGCATACAAGGCATACAAGGCATACAAGGCATACAAGGCATACAAGGCATACAAGGCATACAAGGCATTCAAGGCATACGAGGCATACAAGGCTTTCATGGCTTTCAAGCGTTCGCGACTCAATACGCGAACAATACGACTTGTGTATGCGTCTTTAAGTATTTTGAGTGTTTGCACAATAAAGTTCCAGGTAATCGTAAACCAAAAAAATCATCATCAAGATAACACACGTGATCAGCATGTGAACACCTTCACCCTCATTTGATCACAGTTAGTTATCATGGTGTTGAGGGGCCAATTGACCACTGGGTACTATTGCGCAATTTGTCCATTTTGTGGTGGAGGAAAAAAAAAGACGACAAAAAACCAAAGGCGTTTTTATTCCTTTTCTAACAAAGCGTACTGAACGGCTCGATTTTTAGGTGTCTGTTCACGCGTGAAATGTACCACTTTGTCAAGACAAACTGTCGCGCTTCTCCATTCACAATCATGGTAAATCCGTACTGTCTAGCGCCTACTTTAATTTGAATGTGTGAGAAGGCTTTGCAAACAACATTTAACAGGATTTGGTGGAAGCTGAATCTTGGTTAAAGGTAGTATGTACGGGCAGAAATATAAAGACGGGAATGTGACGTCGTACACAAACTTGCATGTTCACACTTGAACAAATACGTAGAAAGCTGAATACTGTGAACAAAAATACTCTCTGTGGTACCCTTCAAATTTCGAAACTTTTTACTCGTTTACGTCTCCAAATAGCTTTTATAACATTTTTTGATTGCTTTATTGCCCGTAAGTCCACAGCGTAATTAAACATTTGTCAGCCCACCAGCGGAAAATGAAAATATGTTGAAATCCAATTGGTAGTTAGATTTTAGAATAAATATTCGTCTTCTTTCCTTTTTTTTCTTGCCTAAAGTAACGAGTAAACCACGTGCTGCTTGTTCTTGTTCGTCACGGCTCGAGTTTGAAATTTTACGCAAATTTAGAGTATGGGGTTGCCTTATTGCATTGTTTTGTGGCCTTCGCTAGAGCCTCGTCGATTAAAGTCGAGATTTATCGGGAAATGAAAGGTTCGCATTAATTGTATCACTTTTAAGTTAAGACGTGTTTTTTTCCCGCTCCTTCACTCAACTTACACGCCAAACAACTTATATTCCATCACTTACCGTGGAGATAACGTCCAAAGTCCGATCAGAACATACCCAATCATTGTACTACATGATCATTAGACAATTTTGTACGTGCGTGAATTGTATTCCACCAATCAAATTGCATTTTGACAAATTCGATTTCGCTTCATCACATGTCATTTCCTTGTAAACAACCTGCTTTTAATTAACTATTCTAACTACATTGCCCAACCCTACTGAAAAAAATTCACATGTAGCTAAATGCTACTGATGGTGAATTTTTTACGCAATTCTTCCGCGTTGTGACTTTTTCTATGAATGAAATGGGCTTTTAGCTACCTTAGGCTTAATCCAATCGCAGCAAGAACCTGCATTTGATCACGTATTTCACATACAGAGGGCAAAGTCCAGATAAGTGAGAAGGCCTCTTTGAAATATTATCCTTTCTTCATGTCAATGTATCTTCACTTTTTCGAGATCGCAGTATATCTTTGGTAAGGGACTATTGGAGATACAACAGAGTTTCAGTTTGCTTTTCGTGACGAAATTACGCGGAATAATATTTTTAATTACATTGGTTTGTGGCCTTCGCAAGAGCCATGTCGATTAAGGTCGAGATTTATCAGGATATGAAAGGTTCGCATCATTTGCATAATTTTCAAGTTAAAACGTGTTTTTCCGCTCCTTTACTCACAACCTACACGTCAATCAACTTTTATGCCATCACGTACCAGAAAGTCCGATCAGAACCACAGGTGGCCCAAGCTCCAGCTGACATGATCATGCATCTCGCGAAATAAGAGTCATGGCGAAATTATAAGAGTTTGTATGGGAATATTTACGACCGCTGTTAGGAATAAAAAAGTAACGTGAAATTCTCAATAAACATTCCTCATCTTACTTTTACAGTGCATTGCTTGTTATCTGACCGCTTACTATGTTGAAGAGAACCCATTTTAGTGAGTTGTTCATTTCTAGGTTTACTTCTTTAGAGTAGACTAAGGCTGCACACTCCATTCCGAACGCAAAAAATCCAAGCTCAAAATGACTCATGTTGAAAGGTGGTCCTTTTAAATAATAGAAGTAAGCCCTAAACAAAAAGTGTATAATGTAGGTAATTTTATTATTTACTGTTTTGATAATTATTATTTTGCTATTTTTTATCGTATTATTTGTTACTTTATTATTTCAGTATTATTGGCCCATTTAGAACAAGTTTCAACCGAGTGTCGAGAGTAATCTGGAATTGCATCGGTTTTGCTTTATTCCGCTCTGTGATTGGTCCTGAAAACTCGTGCCAACCTCTCAACCAATCAGATGCAAAACTAAAACCAATAACGTCTTGGTCGCCCACATTTTCCTGCGTTTTGTCTGTTGTATTGTTTCCACTTTGATTCCTCATCGGCTCTTATAGGTATTAAGGCTTCCAGTAGTTGGCTCTGATCTAAAACATGTCAACGAACGATCGTGAAATACTTTTAATTAGATTTACTGGAGTAATTATTCAACTGTTAGCTTCCCTTTCAGGATGGACGAAGAAGAAGAATATTACAGTTCCACCACTGATGACGACTCAGATAGTTGCGTATCCGACTCAGAAAATGGCACAGATGAAGACGACCATGGTGAAGAACTACGTAAGAAAATGTTTTTTTCGTATAAGTGCTGAAAAAGATGTTAAACACTGCTGGTCTGTGCAGGTTTTTTTTCGAGTATTTAACCGTTGATGCCACTGAGCATTGCGAATAAATATTACTTTTCCGTGACAAAACATAAATAATCTAAGTGGTGTTCATTACGCGCAAACAAGATTTGTAATTTTAGCCAATAAGAAGTAATAGCAGCTCAAAGTAGGCATCCATTTTTGATTATCATGATACGAGATCCAACATTGACAAATCTTCGGAAAGAGCCATCCGATTTTCCGCGAATTTTCGGCTTGTGACATAAGCAAAGTTTTGGGCGGTTATAATAATGTTTGGTATATAATAGACAGGGCTTTTTTAAAAACTCCGCGAATATCATCGTAATTACCTAGTGACTGAAACCTTGCTCTTTGGTCTGAAGTCTCAGCTGCCTTTTTTTTTTCATCCTTTCTTTTTTCTTTTTTCGACAGCGGATCGAGGAGACGGAGAGATTCAACTCGAAGATGAAGGCGCGGATAGCGATGAAGAGGAAGAAGAACTGGAAAATGAAGAAGAATCGTTATTCGATGAGAGTAAGTGCTACCTCAGAATGATGCCTGCTCAGAATTGCACAAAATAGTATAAGGGAGTTTCAGCATCAAGGGCGTGGCTTGTATTTTTCAAAGTGGGTGGAGGGTAACATCGTGTCACATCCAGAGTACCATATGACTGTCATGTGTTCCAATAGAAGTGACAATTTAGGTTTTTTTATTGCAAACTTTGGAATGCTACCCTGGAGGTTGGGTCACAAGTACACAGCTGCTCCCACAAGCATCACGTTACGACAGGGGCGTTAAACAAACGTAATCTATGATTTTTCCCACTTTTCCCTGATTATTAAAGTTGCAGCCTCAGAGAAGCCAACGGCAGAAGATTCTGATGAAAATGATCCTACACCGAGAATGAACATTGACATGAATATGCGCCGTGTTCGTAAATTTTATGACGGTCCCAAAGTTAGGCCACAGTAAGTATGGTACAAGGTGTTTTTTTCAACTTTTTCAACTCTAGTGTCACAAATTCGCATTCCTCTCTCTTTTCTTACATGTGAGTGAGATATGAATTAATTAGTGACTTCCCTTTAACATCTTCGACACTGTTCAAATTGTTCGTGATGCTTTACAATTTGATTCTGCTTTTACTCAGGGAATTCCTCGACGAGTCAGGCCATACGCATAGACAATGTATAAGATTTATCTACAGCACGAGTCGCGCATACTTAAATAAGCAGTGTGGGTGAAATTTACTGTTCGACCTCCTTTGATTCCAAATTGGTAAACATTTTCTTAATGAATTTACAGATATCTCAACATTCTGACGGACTTTGTTGACGCGGAGATTTTCCTGATTGACGGCGACTCTTTGCTTTTGGAGCTTCTTTGCCAAAATAGCCTAGACTGGCAACATGGCGGACAGTTTCTCCATCTCACCTATTTACTTGAACGCTTCCTCCAGTATTTTAAAGATAAAGGTCAGTGCAGAAAACAAGTGAAAACATTAAGAAAGAATAATAATGATTGCAAGTGCGAAATGAGCTCCACTTGTCAACCTAAAGAAATGAGAAATGATAGCCAGGTTAGAGCTAATGGGATGTTAAATGTCCCCTAATCCTTTAACTCCCATGAGTGACCAAGACAGAATTTCTCCTCATAATATTATTACGATATTAAGCAGACAAGTTATGAGAATAAAGATATTAATTAGGGGATTATTAGTTGATCCAACACCAAATTCTCAAACTAACATTACAAGAACTATATGGCAGACAGTAAGGAGAATTACTAATGAGATCTTGGGAGTCAAAGGGTTAACAGGTAACTGTAGGATGATGAGAGTGTTTTCAGTGACGGTGAAGGTGTGAACTGAAACGATAGTACTTAGATCGATGGAGGTTACCCAAAACCGGAGGCTCGAGGAAAATAGGTTGCCAAGATGAGACGACATTTCTTTGTCATCTGTTTCACTCATTTAGCAGGACCACAAAATGCCGGCTAAAGGCGGTATTGGTTTCGCAGATTAGTTGATCATTAACATGTATGTGATACTACCACCGATTACCTGTAAAATGGTATTACTTCTCAGTAATTTTCTGTTAGATTTCCCTTCAATCATCTAACCACGTCATTTCTTGTTGAACTAGGTGGTGTTTTCCACGTTGTCTTTTTCGAAGAAATGGAGATCATCTGGAGGAGTCGACCATCCATGCTGTTGGCACGACAAGCTCTAATTCTTCATCTTCAGCACAACACACCTTTCACAATTGAGACATCAATAGCAAGTGTTTGGGACAAGCATTGGAAAGAGTACATCGATCGTAATATTCCCGCATTTCTGGTGTTAACTGACGCGGAAAATGTTCCATGGAAAAAGACTGGAGAGACGAAAAAGCTTGATGTGGCGGTGGAGTTTTTCTTCCGTTGTCTTCTGTTACATTGTCTTGGACAAGGATTGAATTGTGTCTTTATCTCAGGCGTCCAGATGACTGCGACAAAAGTGACGGGATATTACAACGAGTCCACCTCAAAACATAGATCATTCCTCAGGAAGGTTAGACGGCAAGACTTAATGAGGGAATGTAAAATGATGACACCAATATTAGCGCTAGTGTTTGTGGCGTAAAGCAACATCCGGAAGCTTTTCCTACTTACTAAAAATGGGATTTCTAACAATAGCAGAAGCTGCACCAAAATTAGCATTTCCACACGCTGTTTAATGTAATAGCTAAATTTTTTACGCCAGGATTCTAAGCTATATTTCAAAGTGATACATACCCCGTTCCAAGTTGCCCTTTCAACAACTCAAGAGCTTGTAAAGCTTTATGACAAATGATTCACTCATTGAAGAACATAGGGAGTACAGATACCGTCAGTATCACTCTAGATCTGCAGGGGTGGGGATATCTTAGAAAATCCCAGATAATGAAAATAAAAAGCGTAAAAAGATGTTGATTTCACTGAAATCGCTCATATGTACATTATTTCTTGTTCCTAGCATGGTGAAGCAGTCTGCAATACATGGGATTGGTTGATGAGGTATTGGCGCCGTCAGTGTACTCAGGAAAACATCGCCGGACGTGCAGTAACAGACAATCAGGTGTGCAATGTGTTTAACCCTTTACACCTTAACATCAGTATGTATATTCTCCATACTGCTCTCTACGCATTTCCTAAGGTGCTGACAAGAAGAATTTGTTTAACAATCAAAAGCTTCTTCAATTAGTGATCATTTCCTTTATCCTCCTGACCTTAATGTATGATTCTGTGGTGACATTGTAAAGAGAAATTAGATGCAAGTCACTTTTAGGGATCAAAGGGTCTAAGAGATATTCATTTGCCCCTTTACATGTCCAAATCTAATTTATCTTACTTTCTTTTTGTTGTTTGTCTTACCTCAGATTGATCTCCAGTCGGAAGTTGAAGTTGCTCTTCAATCTCCACCACAAGGTGGATGTCGGGAGGTTGCCACAATCCTTGCTTGTGTGCAAGTCCTCTTACTACTACTTCACGACGACAATATCAGTAAGGTAAGTAACACACACTTGACATGTGTTTTACACTTCAAACTTATTGTGAGGGTTTGTGCAATGACAAAATCTGTACAATTTTGGCTCCATGCAGGATGCGATGAAGATTGCCGAGGATAAGGTCAAACTTTTCCTTCTTCAATCTGCACTTCTAAAGAAACTTCCGTTGAAGTACAGGGCTCATACTGTAAACAGTTCTTTGTTGGACGAATTCTGCAAAGCGAAAGATGGCAAAGTTTATCCATTTTACGAAGTAAGTAAATGAGACCATTGTAACTTAACCTGTACGTGGAAATCACGTGATGATCTTTCCTGTATTTTGGGAATAGGAATTGCGTTTTACAGTGGCTTGACCACCATGTATTTAAGAAAAAAATTAACAGTGACTGACACCTGATTATGAAATTCAAATATTCCCACTGCCCTTACACCCTCTCATACAGAAAGTCCTCGCGAAAGTTTAGGTGCCATAGAACATAACTGTCCTGAAATAGGCACTTCTCGTCTTTTCTATCTGGGGTCGGTTCTAAGAGTCTTCATTTATGAAGTCGTGTTTGAGAAGTATTAGTTAAAGGCAGCTTGTTTATATCTTGTAACAGATCCATACAAGTTTATGGCAGATTTTAAGGATGATACAATCAGCTTTGAGAGATGCTTATAAAGACGACAGTACCGCCAATGTATTAGACATGACTTCAGTGGCAGATTTAATGGACGGACGCCTAATCCATACTCTCTTCTGGCTCATCATGAAACAGACGTCACAGGGATCAAAAGGTCTGTTGTCAGACTGATTCTAATAATTACTGACAAATTTTTAAAAAAGGCTGGTAGAAATGATGGAGCTCTTATTCATTTTTATTTTTACTTTTTCTTGGCGTCACCTTTCAGCTATTTAGCAAACTGCATAAAACTTTTAATTCAGTATTATCAACTGAGTTTATAACGTAAATTGGCCACCGTAAAGAGTTAAAAGCTGACATTTCGAGCGTTAGCCCTTCGTCAGAGCGATTGGAGAAATTGTGGGTTATGTGTGGGTTTACGTGCGTCATTCATTCATTCGTCACCATATTCCCTCCAATAGTTTAGCTCCACTTTCTGCATACAAACACACACAACCCACAATTCCTCCAATAGCTCTGACGAAAGGCTAACGCTCGAAACATCAGCTTTGAAACTCTTAACGGTGGCCAATTTACGTTATCAACTCATGTGATGATATTAAATCACGCTGTGATACTCTCCCACCGACGCAGTACCACAGTTTCTTTAGAAACTTACCCCCCTTTATTCATTGTATAAAACTTCGTCTGATAATCAAAAGCGGGTCTCACTCGTCTCATATCTATCACCAACCCAGTGTTCTCTGGGAAATGGATGTTTCCGTGTTGAATTCCTTCATTGAAGCTTACATGTTTCATGTAAAACAGTGCAAAATTGTTGTTAACACGCCGCGTTTTTCTGCTAAATTTATGTAAACAGCTATGAATACGAAAACATAGAGATCCTTCGCCCTTGTCAGTGACCGTTCTTTTAAAGATTTCAAGGCAACTATGTGTTTTTTCATATGCATCAGACCTCAGTCTACCCCAGGATGTTAAACGAGATGTTGAGTCTGCATGGGAGAAAGTTGTCGCTCTTGTGAATGGATCATGTCATTCAGATTCTCTAGAAAGTCGATTTTTTCCATTTTTTGACGAAAGTTCTACAAGCCTCCTTTACGAGGAAGGTAAGTAAAATTCGACTTAACTTTTCCGCGGTAGCTTTCTACGCATTAAATACAATCATTTGGATGTGAATGGTTCCTACAGTGTTTCTTGTCCCTTTCTTGTCCGAAAAAGCTTTAAACTTTTCTCTTTCGAGATCAAAATAATTGGCGATTCAATATGGAAAGGGAAAAAAATGTCAAATTTTGCAAGCTGCAAGTTTCAATTAATCTAGTTAGTTCATTTTGTTAGAAAATGGTATTTTAAAGGTACAGTCTGGCTCTGTCAGAATCTTCTCAATGAGATTGACGGACATCTAGTGAAATCATCAGTATTTGTTTCAGGAACAAGTCCTGATCAAGACTCCAGCGCGAAGCTCAAAAGGCTACTATACGTTGGAAGTGCTCTTGTGAATGAGTATGTTGGTGATATTAGATCAAGAATCAACGCCATGGCTGGGTAAGACCTTGCAACAATGTTTACGTCATTCAAAGTTCAAAGTACCCTGCATGTTTTATTGAATTGCGTGAGAAAATAATCTTTTCAGAGAAGGCTGTTCAATTTTCCCCTTTCAGAGACGAGACCGAAGACAAAGTGTTTCCGATTGGCAAAGAATTTGATGAGCTGTACCACTGGCATTCTCTGAAGCCACTATCTGATGATTTCGACAGGACAAAGCAGGCTTTTAAGGGTGAGGCTTTGAAGGCCAAGCATGGGAACCTGCACTGTAAAAAGTTTTTTTTTATATATTCAACAAAATTTGTTGTTCCTGATTGGTCGATGAAGAATGAATAAGTACATTATAGGGTGCGCTACGGGATTCCGCCATGTACTCTTCCGAAATTCAGCTTTTAAAGGTGGATGAATTTTTTTCATTTGTAAGATATTTCGAAAAAATTTAAAATTGGTTTGGCAGAGCAATAGATGTGTATAATGATTAATACAAAAACTAACGAGCACATTCTGAACAGTGCCCCCGAAGACTTACAGACTAAAATAACGTCAGTTACTATTTTTTTTAAAGAATAGAATGAACCAAAAATAGCGAGAACTACTCTGGCTTTTTGTTATTGTCGGTCAATCGTGTTGCTTTGAAAGGTAGTTAATCACACTTACTTACAGTTCGTAAAATTACGAAAAAAAACATCACTCACGCCCATAACTCAAGAAATGTATTCGCCTTCATACGACTTCTCATCCATAAAAAAAAGGTCACCGGATTTAATAAAATGGCAGTTTTAATTGTCGTATATAGCTTTTTTATTTTATCTGTTACATCCAACTTCTTCTTAATTAAGGAATTTCGTTTGGTCGAAAAAACCTTTCCAAAAATACCGTAAGCCATGTGTTGCAAACTATGAACTCAAAATTTCACTAATTCGTTCTTCAGATAAGCCTCCGACTGACCCCGAAGAAAGAAAAAGATATTTTAGACAAAAGATGCTGTACGTTCGCTATAATAGATTTTATGGAAACTCTCTTGTTGGTGGTATAGACGATGCCAAAATTATCACCGTCAAGAAAGAGGTTCCAAAGAAGAAGAAAGGAAAGAAAAAGGATGGAAAGATGGTGGGAATCTTTGTTATTATCAAACTTTTGTCTAAATTGTTTGCCCAATAGTTTTTTATGTGTTTAGCCAGACTCAACTCAGGAAAATTATCTTTTGCAGGGAGAAAAAGCAAAGCGAATTATCGAACAGAACGAAAAAAAACGCAAAGGTTTGTTTCTTAGTAAAGTTTCAATTTATGGAGTTAAATCATTAAAATATTTTGAGCACTTCTGAAGTACCGTAATTGGGCAATATCGTGAGAATTTCACGGTATGTATTGTAAAATGGTATCCTTACCACAGTCTTAGGGCATAATATGATGTTTGGCATAAGTTGTAATAAGAAAAAGCAGGGTATAGATGGCAAAAGTTTGGTGAAGGATTCTACATAAGAAGTTGTTCACCTGCTCTAAAATTAATGTTAAGGAAACTGACCAAAACATATTATCTTACTTAAATTTTTCGCAGATGAAGAAAGACAAAGAGATCAAGAAAAATGGAGCAACTTTCTTAAAGACATCGACAACAACCTGAAGAAGGACAACTTCAGCACTGTTTTGCAGTTAGTCGATAAGTATCTCGCAGATTGCAAAACTCCCGAACTTCATCTTCAAGCGCTGATGAAAAAGGCACAAAGTTGCCTTGGAGCCTGGCAGCAGACAAGTAGGTGAAAAAGTGAAGAGTGAATCGATTTCATTATCTGTTGACCTTTTTCTCTCAGCTTTGATGCCTGGATAAAGTCTGAGAAGCAAATTTGAAAAATGAGAGTTATATTTATCGTTAGGTAAATGAACATTTAACAGTTTCTCTCATGATTTTAGAGCAAGAGTATTAAATCGTGTATTGATCCCGAAGTTTCGACTGAAAGTTTACATCTCGCTATTTATAGCACCTTGGTTCGTTGTTATTGGTGTGTTTTGGCGCGTTATTGTTGGTGCATTTCGATCCTCGTCATTACTCCGACTATTGGATATTGTTGCCTCATAGGTCTGTTTTGCAACTGATCGGCTGCTATGCTTTCCGATAGAAGGCATCCATGCTTCAAGAATTTCGATTCTTTTACGTCTATTGATGTTATTAGGATGAAGTCTTATGTGAATAGGTTCATTAACTCTAGTTTGTACCAGTGAGAGGTACGATCAATAAATTAAGTTAACAAGGTCCCAAACAGAAATGTGTCCTGTTTCATTAACGTGTTCTTAAACCGCCAAATTCTGAGTACGAGCAGGATGTATTTCTCTTTCTTTTTTTAAATTCTCTCTTTCATCGCTCTCCCTTTTTCTCCGATGTATATTTTGCTATTACTTTTCATTTGTCAAGTTTGGGATTAAACAAAATTACCCAAACCAAACTGCAGCCATTTGTATCCTGTAGGAGCTGCTAACGCTGGATCTAATGACATGAAATATCCTGTACTGCTGCTAGAGAGTGTTCAGAAAATGGCTGAAGACTTCCACAGCCTTCTTACCGACAAAGACAAAAAGAAACTGGCTGGATTTATGCAGAAGCTGGGATTCGATGACATTGCAGCCACGCTTTACGATCTACCTGAAGAAAGTGAGAGAAAAGTATGTATCGTCAGATCAAACAAGCTTGGCTTTATGCTGTTTCTTCCCTGTATCTGATTACTAGGAGATAAATAGTGTTATGAAATCTAAAGACCTCCGTGCCACAAAGCATTCGTATACTCAAAACTTTTTCAACATGATATCCTCTTCTGCTGCACATTTCGTTTTTTAAGTAATCATGGAATTTATGATACTGCCTCAACATTGCACCGTAATAATTGTTGAAAGTAAATGATACTAACATAGCTGTGATTGAAAAATTCCCGTAGAGACGTGGTCAGCGAATCAGATCTACTGGCAATGCAACAAACTACCACTATTGCTTGCAGCAACTCCTAAGAGAGTTTACTTAGAGAACTATATAGTCCGAGAAATCTCATTTTTCCGTGTTTATATAGCTTTAAGAAGAATAAGGAGACTGCTGAGTTTAAATCAGCTATACTCACGTTAAACTGAAATGTAGTTAAGGGCTTGCTCAAGTTTCGAGAATTCTCTCGGTGTTCTGTGTGTTTAGATGAGGCTATCTGAACATGGAGAAAGCCCCTCATTGCTTTAATAAAATAGTTTTGCGAAATGCACGCGAATCTAAAACGTCGCAACCGTGTTTATATGCTCAAAACTTGACAAGCCTGTCGACTGATGGGAGTGCACGCACCACGTCAATCGTTTCATAAAAGTGCACCGTTTCACTCGGGATTTAAGTAAATTCCTCTTTGGTCTTCTGACTGTTTATGCCCAATTTACCACCTAAGGCACAACAGCTATCGGTCCACACTACAAGCGCAAGATTCCAACTTGACTACATGGGCCATTTACTCAAGCGGGAAACAAGAACTGATCGTGACTCGAGGGTTGACCACTTCATTCCCGATACATGGCAGGTAGTCTAATATTTTTCTTACTCTCTAAATACGAATTAAATCTCTCGTGACAAACGTCGAGGAGAAGAAGAGGTGGTTAAGTTCAGTGGAGAACAACAGTTAAAATGCTTAAATACTTGAACTTCAGTGGAAACATATTCTAGAACAAGAACCATTTGCTTAATTTTGTGGTTATTCAAATATTTTCTAGCGTGAACTTCTTGACGCCGTGGATAACAACGAGTCAGCGGTAATAGTGGCACCCACCTCGTCGGGAAAGACTTTTGCCTCATACTACTGCATGGAGAAAGTGCTGACTCAAGACAATGATGGTGTGGTGGTTTATGTTTCCCCAACGAAGGTGAAGTTACCAGCTACGATCATTTAGTTTATGAAGTCCTCTTAAAGTGATCCTTAATAGCTGAACGACCTCGTCTCGTCAAATACAGCCGCCTAAAGGCACTCGGCCTCGACGTAAATGGTTGCCTTGTGCAACTGCCTTTCACATAATTTATTCCCACCGGATCTAGCGTAAACTGATTTTATACCTCAATATGGCATCTCATTTAAAACGTGTTAAAGGATGTGACGTCTGTATTAGTGGCAAATATTCAATACTTATCTTAAAGTTACTCCGGCTTTGGATTTTGTAGGTATTAATTGATTTTGTAGGTATAAACTGGTGCATTAATCATTTAGGCCTTAGTGAATCAAGTTGCTGCTACAGTTTACGCTCGCTTTCGTCGTAAAAATCTTCCAGAGGGAAGGGCAGTGTATGGTGTTTTCACGAGGGATTATCGATACAACACGTTGAACTCTCAGGTAAGCAAACGTGACAAGAAGCACTCGAGACAAAAAGGAATCTCATCACTTCTAAGCAAACAAAATACACGCGGTCGATGAGGAACAACATTTATGATGAGTGATCTTGACAAAATACAATAAACATAAATTATTTCATGGAATCATTCTCTGATTGAAAACTCTTTCATTTAACTGATATCGTATTTTTTTCCCTTTTGAAATTTCTCTCTATTTGGCTCGTGGATTGAAGTAGAAATAGGATATATAGAGTAACTTTTTTCATTTCTGTCTTTTGATTCCCGGCAGATCCTTGTTACAGTTCCTCAATGTTTGGAGATACTTTTTCTCTCGCCTCGTAGACAAGATTGGACGAAAAACATTAGATACGTAATCTTCGATGAGGTAAAATAACTATGAACTTTCTTGAAAGTAATTTTCGCATAATCACTTTTTAATTCTTCGTAATAAAGTTGTAGCGTGAAAAAGACAGAATTAACGCTGAGAGGTTACTACGATGTGTACTTTGTGCAGTGTTACCTCGTTGAATAATGTAGATATATCACTTTTACTAAAGTTATGTAACCAAGTTCTTAAAGAATTCTAGTTCACATTAACGTTCGTTCATAATCAATTCGTAGACTTTTGACCTTCATCGGTGTTTTGATAAACAGTAGTCATTGTTTGATTTGGTTCAATGATGGCAGTAGCATTGGATGTTGGAATATGGATGGTTGGAGGGTCAATTCTACCTAGGAATATAGGGAGAAAATAATAAAAGTTGCCCTAAGGTCGTTAAAATGTTTTTTCTGAGATTCGAGGTAACAAAAGCTTACTACTCAAGCTGAGCAAACTTTAGGCATCGTTCCAAGAAAATAAAACAAAATTACTGTTTTACCTGTGCACTCAGGCTATACCTAAGCCAAAATTTCTCCCATACCTTTACTCTGCAGGTTCACTGTCTTGGTCAAGAAATTGGTGCTGAAGTCTGGGAGCATCTTCTTCTTCTCATTCGCTGTCCCTTCTTGGCGCTTTCGGCAACCATTGGAAATCCAGATGACCTTACAAGGTGAGAACTGTTGCAAAGTGCACAAAATTAAATGTGTTCTATTGAATCCTACGAAATTTTCCCGTTACGCCGATGTTAAAACGATGTTAACGTATACAAGTTAGTCATGCATTTTCAAATTAAATCACGAGGAGAATCATACGTTCTTTGTTTTGTAGGTGGTTGCAAGCCGCTCAAAGCTTTCGAGAGCAGCAAGACAAACAAGAAAATGGCCAGATGAGAGAGTCCTACAGAATCAGACTAGGTGAAGCGAAAAAATAAATCCGTTACCTCAGAGAGTCATGGAGGGGCCTTATATGGTCTTTGAATCTGCAATGCTCAAGTTTACGCATTAGGGTTGACCCAAAAACTCAAAACTCCATTTCAACCTTATCTAGACAATTAGGTTTCCGAAACGACCAAAGACGTAAGCAACCTGGTCGTTAGCTGAACAACTCTTTGGCGAAACGACTGCAATTCTTAAACCATATTGATATTGTAAGGAGAAATTCTGTTTTGGTTATTCCTGAGAGTGAGAGGGTCAACGAATGTCACCCCAATGCCAAAAATTGGTCTAACAACACATCTCTGGTATATTTTTTAGTTCACTTTCATGAACGATACTCAGATCTGGAGAAGAGTGTTTACCTTCCGAGTCCTAGCAATGGTGGATTCTCTGAAAAGTCCAGGAAATACGAGGGTACTTACGATGTCAAAGCGACTGGAGAGTTTGCGAGGCTTCACCCTTGTGCTCAGCTTGCAGCAAAACAGGTGAACTGTCAAGTACAGAACTGCCATAGGTCAGCTTGAAGAGAATAAGTTTTATTAAAATACTGAAGAGATCTACGAATTCGCAAAAAAAAAATTAGAAACTTACCAAACGTAAGATTGTAAGTCCATGAGTTCTCACATGTATTTTGTGATATTGGTTATATATACCTTACTAAAAAGAGATATGGAAATCCTATGGTTAATCAAAACTATAACAAAATTCCCGACCGTGATTGGTTATCACCAGCCCGATTTGAGCATTAATAGGACAGTGTAAGCGTCATACTTGTAATTGGACAGCCTAATAGAACAGTTAAAGGGACAAGTAACAAGTCATGCTTGTGTAAGTGGTCAGAACGCGTCATGTGCGCGGGCTGTTGTCTCGCATTCCGCCGAGTTCACTGTTGTTTTCTTTTTATGAAAACGTATAATTGATGACTAGTTTCTTTCTCAAATTTTTTCATAGTTTTGATTAATCGGTAACAGGACTTCGTGTCGTCCAGTTCTGCCTGTAATCATTCTTGTGACTATCAAATCAGACTCCCGCTTCGCGGTCGTCCGATTTTGTTAATCACTCGTATGAGTGCAGACCGAATTGGACTACACTCGGTCCTATTACCATTATTAATCGTCATAATTGCTTTTGTAACCTTCTTCGGGCGAATCTTACAACAGTACTGTATCTTTCCTGTAGTTCCTATAATACGTATTTTACATCTTTTGCTTCCAATCCTCTTTCACTTAATCTTTTTTGGAATAGAGCAGTTTTCAACTGAGTGTCGCAAGTAATCTGGGATTGCTTGTTTTGCTTTATTTTGGTCTGTGATTGGTCTAGATAAGATAACGTACACCAACTTCTAAATCAATCATAAGTAGTGCGAAAACAAATCGTGACTTAATCGCCCTCGTTTTCTCGCGGCTTAGTTTTTTTTTCTTTTCTTCAAGTTTTCAGCGGCTAATAATGACGTTAATTTTGGCTCTAACTTGCCAAAGTGATTACCTTGCGTTAGGTTTTTCGACCGTCAACTGAAACAGTTCCATGTTTCGACCATCGTTAAAGGCGCTTCGAGTAACAAATTGTTGTTTCCAATTAGCTAAAAGAGAATTCCTTCCCAAGAGATATGGATTTCACTCCTCGAGAATCTCTACAACTTTTTGATGTTATGACTATGCACTGGCCAGACAAAGAATCCTTGCAGGTAAGTACGTAGCTTTTAAATAAGGTTCGGTCTTACACGTTACAGTTGCATGCCTGTCAGCTGTGATAATGGTCGTTAGAGGGTTAGCTCGTATCGTTCTGGGCTATTTTTTTTTTATCTTGAAAAGCTAGCTGAAGTAAGACTAGATTCCACAAAGTCTCAAATAATGGTTTTTTCATACTGACAGTCCAGAGAATACTGCGACTTGGTGACCCAAGCTTGTTATTTTGTGTTTTCTTTCAAGAAACTTTCCCCCGAGAGGTACTTCGAGAAAAATAAGTTCATTGACAAGAGCTGCGCACGAAAGTACGAAAAGGACCTGAAGAAAGAATTCAAGTCTTGGGCCGATGAAAAACATTTTGAGAAGGTAAAGGGAATCTTGCCAAAGAATTCGTTGCACAGCGATTGTGATGTGTTAGCGTTGTTTGCCATTGCATTGATGAATAAAAAAATTTTTTTGACGCTGATTAAAGCCCTGTAGACCCTAGCCTTTGGAGTCCTTCCTTTCTGCTTATTACTCTGATGAATCGTATCTCTAATAACATCACGATTGTTTGACCTGACGTCAGCGAGACACAAATCTGTTACATTCTTTACATTATTTCTTTGTTGTATCGGTGGTACATAATACGGAGGCCCTACGGGGCACGAGGTGCGATGTTCAGGTGAAATACTATTTTAAAGGGATAAGCTGGCATTTTTACAGGTCTTCATACCATTTCCTGTAAATTATATCCCTACGTTCTATTCCTGGGCTCGTTTACTAACTGATTTACTAACTTAAGTGTAACTTCTGCTGTTGTTATTATAATCACTTTTAAGTCATATTTTTGTTGCTCCAGGTTGAAGCCGTTTTACAGTCACTGAATTCTATTTTGCTGGAGAAACAGGCTTCGACTGAAGAGGAATGGACTCAGCTAGGAATGCCTTCGTCGGGAAAAATTTTCATTTGGAAAAATTTCCCAAAGCTTGTGGAACAACTTAAGGCTCAAAAAAAACTGCCAGCGCTTATTTTCAGGTAATATACCGCATACTGTATCACCGAAAGGGATTGTCGTTCAGTGACATGCATAACAAGGGATTCAGATTTAACTTTAATTTGGTTTTTGTGTCAGCCACACTGAAAAAAAAGGGGATAGAGAAAGAAAGACAATAGGAAAAGGCAAATGACGATCAGAATACAAATTGGAATGATGCACATAAGTTGGACTCATGTTCCGAAAATAAAAATGCGAACGTTCAAAACAAATCGTATTTAAATGATGAAAACTCACGTTATGTGGAAGGTATATTAACAAAAAATAACTGAGTAAATACCGAAAAAGCTATCTCGCTCAGTGGGCTTTATTAATGATATACCTCTGTTTTTATCAGCTTTGACCGCAAGTTTTGCGAAGAGTTGGCGTTTGGTCTCGCTGAGCACTTTCAAAAACGAGAGGAGGTTATTAAACGCCAGAATAAAGGGAAAGACTCTAAGCTTGCCGAAAAGAGGGTAAAAAAGGCGAACAAGGAATTTAAAAGGCTGAGAGATGAAGAGACAGAGAGTACAAACGAAGAAAGGTAAACGGAAACAAATTAAATAGTAACTGCATGATATATCTCGTCGAGTGCCATTTAGATTCCATTCAATATGTATGCGAACGAGTCTGTCATGTTATGATGACAAACGATATAAGACTTGAGGGCTTGTTCTCTTAACAGATTGGACGACCAAGTAAGACAACAGTACGAGAAAGATTCCTCGTTCTTAAATGATCCTTTACCAGCGTGCACAGTTGCCTTTACACACAAAATTGGAGACGAGGTAGGGAGCATCCGGCAACTATATATTTAATATTATTTAACGATTGTTCGCCGAGGGCGAAGTGAATATTTTTGAAACATACCTGAAACGAGGTCGAGGGAATTTTTTAATAATATTCACCTAGCCTGAAGTGAATAATTGTTTATCGACATATAAGCAAGCAGCTTCCACTAAAGTTTAATGGGTTTTAATTAATTTAATCAGCAAAAAATTAATATCTTATCTTTGAAAAGAGATTATCACTTCCTCCGTAACGTGGACAACACGCGAGGTAGCCATTTTGAATATTAAGAATCCCTGCTATAATCACCTTGCGCGAGGTGATTATAGTGAAATCAGAGCGCGCGTATTTCTATAATCTCCTGAGCAGAGGACAAAGATAGACTACATCAAAAAGGATAATCAGACTACGAATTATGTGACTAAAAGGCCCCTAGGTAAAGACTTTTTTGATAAAGTTTTCCTTAACTGAGGTTGGCCATTTACTCTGTAGGATTTACAAAAGATCATGCATCGCATTTGGTATTTGCGTGGCTATTCACTTTTAAAGGAAGCTTTAAGACGAGGAATAAGTTACCATCACGCTGGACTGAAAAACAAAATTCGCGGCACCGTGGAGATCTTATTTAGAGAGAAGTACCTTCAGGTATTACTTTATTAACCGCTCGTTTCGATCTAGAAACGAAGGTGGACGTTTAAATGATAAAGTGGAGCAATAATTTTTTTTCTAACCTCATCGTAAATAGCACTGAGGCATAACTTTTTCTTAAAGTGATTGTGTAAAATTACTCGCAAGACATTGTGTGATGGGCTGTTTTAAAATACGATTTAAAAAGATGTGTGACTCTTGCCCAAACCAGAATGAAGTTTAAATGGCAGGAAAAAAAGAAAGAAAATACATGTGAAATATCAGAAAAAGATAAAAAGCAAGGACACAGTGGCCTCATTAGTATCGCACTAGTTTGGTATGCTGTTATCAACTGCAACCGATGGCCTTTGTTGCACAAACCTTTTTTGACATTTTGGTTAGTTTCTGTTTTCCCCTTTGTCTTACCAAATCTATTTACCTCAACAGTTGTAAACGTTTCGATGAAAAAAATATAGTAACAGAACAGTATATAAAGACTCGGGAGTCTTTTTTTTTCGTTTTAGGTCGTTACAGCAACAGGAACCTTGGCCCTTGGTATTCATATGCCTTGTAAAACGGTCGTGTTTGCTGGAGATTCACCCTATTTAAACTCTTTGCAGTACAGACAGGTAAGAACACTTTCAAAAAAAAGTTTTTTTCCTACAGAAAAACAAATCTCTCTCACAGACAAGCGAACCCAGTGAAACAGCAAGTGTCTGTAATTTCATAGAACGAAAAAAAATGAGGCAGGCAGGGTAGCAACGTGTTTCCAACAAAAAGAAGCACCCTAAAAGATAACGAGTACCACAAATAAGACTATTTTGCATATAGCTCTCTTTGTCTGTAATAAACAACATGTATAAAAATTATATCGGTGCGGACAGAGTACTTTCTAATATCTCTTTTACCTGCAAGTAGATCTAACCGTGTCCAGGTGTCGTTATCCCTTTAGTTCTCCTATTAGACTTCTAAACTCATCAAAGCATTTCAATAATCATAACTACGTCACTTTTCAACCAGATTGGTTTTTTTTTCCATATGTATATGAATTTAAATTTGGACTTAATCTCACTCTTTCATCTCTCTAATTTCAGATGTCTGGCAGGGCAGGTCGTCGAGGTTTTGACCCTGTAGGAAATGTAGTGTTTTTTGGAGTTCCTTCCCGTAAAGTTCAACGTCTCATTACAGCCAATGTTCCAAAGATTGTTGGGAACTTCCCCATTAACGTATCATTGGTGTTGCGCTTGCTTCTGATGACATCAAAGGGAGATGATCGGGAGGATGCTCTCACGAAGGTTTCTGGGAAAGACGCCTCTAAAATTCTTCTCGAATAATTCGCCTATTCCTACAATTGTACAATTGTCACCAGTTTTTATCAATAATCAGCTCTTTTCGCACTGAACGTGATATAAATTGTGTCGTCTGATAACAGTTACAGCTTGTTTGAAGTCTTCCATAGAAGTACTTTCCTTCTTCATCCTCAGTTACTAAAAAGACGAGGAAATGAACTTCTAGAACTTATATCATTAGAGACATAATTTAAAACCTACTGGTGATATTTTACGAAATTTAGGTGAAGCAACGGTCAGTCCTTAGTCTCATTCACACAGTAATGTGCAAAATCCCAATTGATCGATTCTCAATCAATTCATGAACACACCAAGTTATGCACGTACTCTCGTTTCCAGGCTCTCTCACTGCTGTCGCACCCTTTCATCTCCATCACTCACCCCGAAATGGAGAGCCAGATCAAGAAACATTTCTTATTCTGCGTCGAGCTCCTTACCAGATTGGTAAGTATTAAAATCAGATCCTTTCCACCGTAGAAATGAGGGGCAAGTTAGAAATGTTTTGCTAGTAGCAGCTATCCTTATTTTCCTTGGTTACCAGTTTGTATATTTGCTTCAAGTAAGGTGATCACATACTCGCTCTTGCAGTTCAACGGTCTTACTATAAACTTTTAAACTCGCTTAAATACTGCAAAACTTTTTTATGCAGGGTCTTGTAAAACAAGAAAACGGCGCTCCTCTACAGATGGCAGGACTGGCGACACATCTTCACTATCATGAGCCCTCAAACTATGTCTTGGTCAGTTTTCTTCAACGTGGTCTTTTCCACAAGATCTGTCAACCGGAAGAGAATGGTAAGGACTATTTAATTTCCTTTAGAATACAAATATTCACAGCCTCCAACCAAGGTTATGGAAGATTAGAATCACTATGATATCATATTATTGATTCCTATCACAGGAAAATTCTCAGACGACGTGTTGAGAAAGATGGTGCTCGTTCTAAGCCACTTGTTCGGCAGACGATCCCTTCACGCTTCATTCAAACGAACGGTCCATTTGTGCCCCACGTCAAAAGTAAGTATTTGTAAATCTTAAAAATGCAAGGCTGTTTTAACACGCTTTATTGGGGAAAAATTGTGTTAGTTTTTGTCATTTGGTATTAATGATAACGTATCATAATAACGAGTTTAATCATTATTATCACTCGATCTTAACGCCCGCCCTAATGCTCACCAAAAATATCTTTAATCATACCGTTCTTTAGTGTAGGTAAATTTGGCCTTTTCAGAGAAGTGGCCATTAAATGGCGAGTTAGAAGAGAAATACAAGGTCTGTATTGGGAGAGAGAGAGTTCTTTCTCAACTAAAAAATGAGTATTACAAAAGAAAAGTACTAAGAAAAATCAAAACTTGTCGGTTGTTTAATGGGTGGATAACGCTATCCGCTGGATAAATCTCTATCCGGTGGATAACACTGTAAATTTTGTCAACACTTATCCACTGGATGGAAATTTATCCGTCGGATAGAGTCATCCATCACTTGAAAAACTGGGTTCATGCGTTTGAAAACAGATGCTTCTCACTGCTTATTTTTCGGTTTTCTTCTTGGTATCTCTTTCCTTTCAAGGTAATTTTGGACGATCTTCCCAATGAATTTGCTACAGCTCTAAGAGAGTACAACCGCCAAGTCACAGATGTCTTTAGTCAGTACCTCACTGCGGTGGCTGCAGACCTCGAAAAGGAAAGAGGAGAGGAGAACAAACTCCCTTTATCGGGCATAGGTAAAATACGATCCTTTATCATCTTATATGTGACCATTTTTTTTCGAGCGGGAAGTAAAATATTTAAGTAGATTCATAGCCAGTTCCTTAGCATTGCAAGGCTCTGTTTTCTCGTGAAAACAATTGTTTGTATTTCACGGCTTTGATAAGAATTACACTTAACTTGTTCTGTCAGTGTTTGTTTGTTTGTTTGTTTGTTTTTTGCAAGCGACACTGACGAGTTAATTCTGTGCAACTGCAAAGAGGAAGGCTTGGTGCATTTTTGGTCATTATATTATCGGATCGAAGGGGATAGTTCTTGGTAAATTTCTCACTCTGGGCTAAATAGGCCCTTCTCGTTGGCTTACATACTTCAGTCCACATTCCTATACGAAGTGCATAGTACATTATTTAATTGCTGTACGCTGTACCTATGGAAATGGTTCAAAAGATAGAGACAAACTCGTGAGCAAGGTTAAGCTAAACACAAAACGTAGGTAAATTCAATGTTTAAGTTAAACGTTCTTATTTACCAAACGGAGTAAACTTCTTTTGCAGAATATCCAAAGCAAGGAAGTGTCGGTGACGATGACAAGTACGATGTTATCGAAAGGCTCGTGTCCTCATCCATACCGTACTCTGCCTGCTCTTCCTTCGCTGCATTGTCGGGAAATTCAGACTTACGATTGCATTCTTCGAGCGAGACCGCAGCCAGTTATCCGGAATCAGACGAAAGCGATGTCGAAGTCGCCAACGAGAACGTGACAGTTGAGCTTGGAAATGATGAAGAAGATAAGGAAGAAGAACGAATTGATCATCTGCTTGAGGTGAAAAAAGTTTCCCAAAACCAAGCGTCCATTAAAATGTTGAAAAAGTTCTCTAACACTTTCGACGTAATTTCGCTAGGATGCATGCATTTTGCTCTTTCGTTGCAGGGGCCAGCTACGCTTAGCAAAATAAATACGACACAACAACTTCTATGCGTCCACATTCCTTGTATTCTTGTACAGGGTAATCATTACGAATGACAAACGAGGATCTAGACGATTCGAAGTTGTTGCTTCTTACACAGCCTGAAATCCTACCCTAAAACTTACTCGGCAAAAACGGCAAAAAGAGACTGCAAGTAACGCTGAAGCAACGCAGATGGCGTGGGAAACTGCGCCCTTGGTACATTGTCAGCGGCGCTATAGTCAGTATGTAAATGCAACGAGTCATACATTCGTCATTAAAGTATACTTGGAAAAGCATGCGGAAAGTGCTTGCACTTCATTTGGTGAAACAACCTAAGCGATCAAACACTGGTTAAATTTATTAACTGACACTTTTGATTCTGAGAAAGTTGCATAAGATAAGTTTTTTTACCAAAAAGTTCTTTCTCCTTTGGAACTATACCCATCAGAAAATAATCTGCCCATTCTCTTTTAGCACTTTATATGGTTTTCACTTGCCCTCTTCACTCTTGACTTTATAATCCCGTGAAGTATCGTCGAAACGTCATCAAAATGCTTTACGAACAGTTTTTATAACTTTTTAAAAGTTTTCCTATATTTTAATACCGGTTTAGCGTGGAACTTTGCAATCAAATTTTATTTCGTTGTGTGGTAGTTTAAGTAGTTGCAACACCAGTTTAACACCGTCACCAAATTCAGCTTCCACTTTTTCTTTCAGATTGTTCGACAAGATGTTTACACCGACATCAATATTGTTCCCATCCTCCGTCTAAAAAACTGCAACTCAGTTGGAACAGTTCAGCCCTTGAATGCATATGCTCTGGATTTTTTCAAGCACGGGTCTGTTAAAGCCATTCAGAAAGAAAACGGGTCAGTAAATAAATTATAGATATATTTGCAAATAGTACTCCAGTGAGAGAAGCGAGGAGGCATCTTGATCGCTGGATCGAGAAGAGATCGGTCTTTAGCGCTAAACGCTTTCATTACAGTGCCACTCGTCATCTAGGAGTACAAAGAGTTAGAGAAATCCACTGACATGCTTAGACAACCTACAGTGGACCAACCCATTCCACGTTACCCTTAGTCGCTTCATGCTTTGAAGCACCCTGTGACATTTATAAGTCAACTGGCTAGGAATTTTTACTTACCCCTCAAGTCCTCCTTTATTCGTAAGCATTTCTTTGACTATTGCTAAATATTAGGGGGGAAAACTGTATCGTGAACTAACCGTAAAGCTAATCCCCATGGCTAGCGTACCGTACAGGTTAACATTGTGTGCAGTTAGCTAAAAAAGATTCGAGGAAACCACCTGCTATAGGCTTGCATATCTTCCAGTGACTCACATGCTACCACTGTTCATACGGATCTTTAGGAGTTGTCTTTAAGCATAGCTAACTGAAGTCGATTGCACGTTTATTTCGTAGAATCAAGGCCGGAGAAGTTTTTCAAATCTTAAAGGATTTTCTTTTTACCATTATGTCAATCAGGTAAAAAATAGTTGTACGTGATGCAGTGTTGATGTTTCAATGTTCTACGACTAGTGAAACATTCAGTCCTAATAATTTAACGAAACTGTACGAGATGTATGTAAAGGGCGAGTATAAAGGTAAACGTTGTACACGAGAACACAAAAAAACAATGAGTTTAGTGTTGCTGTTGTTGATGTAGTTTTTTTAAAAGTTCCAACTATTGTGGATGAAAGCTACAGACACTTCAGTTTACTGTTTCGTCCAGCTGCAGCCACAAAGAAATTAAACGATAAATTTCAAAAGTCGCATGGCAGGAGATCTTGGCTAAGTTTAAGTCAGGGAGTATTAGGGTATTTGTTAGGGAAATAACTTTGGACTTTTTCTTTCTTCTCAGTGCTTCTGTTGAGGAGATGTGTCCTGAAGAGGAATACGACAATGTGGTTGCAGCTTTTAAACAGCTCGTCGATGAGTATAGAAACAAGTTTAGAAAGCAGTTCGATGCAGATATTTGAAATGGTCCCTCCAAAAGTTGATTAAGTGTCCTTAAAAAATCGCCAAGTCAACGAAAGAAAGGATTTGCCGATTGCTAACCGATTTGAAGCTATAATTTTTTAGGACAAACATAGGAGATTAATGCGAAAAACTCTTGTTTTCTAAAGGGAGAGTAAACAATAAATTGCGACCGTAATCGTCTTCTGATAAAACTCGTGATTACCTTTGAGAGTCAACCTCAAAGTAGCGATAGTAATATTTCTCCCTTAAAAAAATCATTTTGTTGTGACAAAGCAATAGGAATGTATCTTTCCTTGCGCGGAATGATAGCGGGAAAGATGAGCTTGGATAGCCCAGAACACAGTATTCGCTTCATAGCGTCCACGGGCGCTGCCAGTAATATGATAACAACAAGTACAATCTTCTAAGTGTTCATGTAGGGCTATTCACCTAAATACTTCGTTTTAACCACAATTACAAAAACAAGTGAGCATATATCTATGAAACACACGTTCAAAATCAGATTCACTTTACTCGTAATTACAAAAGTGCACTGATTTTATAACCTACCTCATTGGTACTTAATTTGGCGCTTTTGGCGAGTGTATTTCTCGGGGTTTATTTTCGTAAAGACAATAGCGTTAAATGTCGCAATTCAAGCGTTCTCAACTTCATTTTATTTTCCAAAATGTCTTCACTTTTGACGACTAACGAAAGATATTCAAAGGATTTTTTCCGAATCTAGCGATTCAGATGAAGATGATAGCAGGATTCTGAACTATATATACTCGAAATCTTTGCAGTTTAACGCCATTTCACAACAGAAGATCCAACATAGAATTTACTAGTAAGACCATCATGAAATGATATGTGTATTTGTCGATACATGTTCTGTATTTGTTGTGGTTATTATATGTTAATCTTTTTTTACCGGTGATTTGAATTTTCTATGGATGATAAAATTTCACGCGTTAAAATTCTGCGAAGATTTTTATTTCCGAGTCTTCAATTTCGCGATTTTTTTTACAATCGCAAAAACACGAAATTGAAGACTCACAAAGTTTTCGTACCGATACGATACGTTATTTACTTATGTCTTGTTTACTGTCAAAATTCCATTAAAAAAGGAAGTTAATGTTATTTTTCAAGTACCTAGTTGTTTTAAAAGGTGTGAATACAAAAGTAAGTCCGGCCGTTTTCTTTGACAATCCGAGGAGTATTCTCTCAAAACGGTACAGCTACTGTTATCTGTCTTGGTGGGGAGCATCGAAGAGGATTCGACCCTCCTGATCTTTGACCCGCGCCCGTTCCGAAGCGTAACGGTCTCTGTGTGACTATCGGGATTGACCGTCGTTCCTGTCCCGTAAAGGTATTCTGTTTTCTACAAAATGGTAGGAGAAAAAGAAAACTAGTTACTACTGTTGTACTGAGACAGAGTACAAGTTCTCATAAGCAGAGAACTCAGGATGTAAAAGACGAGTTCGTAACTGACGTTGGCTGTATACGGAAATGTGTGGAAACAGAGTTCATATCGCAGTAAGTGTTAAAGCCAACTGTGTTTGTAGTACAATTAACCTACGAGAGTCCCTTTATTCTCCTTACAAAATGAAATTACATATTTGCACGAGAGTGGGCAGCTGGTGTCTGTGATTGCAGCATCATCCTTGGCGATATTCGTCACGATAAGGTTGTTCCAGGGAATAAGGCACATGAAGCCGCATGCTATACCTGCCACTGCTACTATCTGGAAGAAAGTACTTATTAGGTTATTTGACAAAAAGATAGCAACTGAAGAAATAATGGCTTTGAAAGCTATCACTGAAATAGCCCTAGCAACAAACAGAGATCCGACAACGAATTGTATCGCCCTTATTTTTTTAGATTTTTAATCATCAATAATCCGATTGCCCAAAAAAGAAAGCTTGAATGCTCCATAACTTGCATCAGTGGCAACTCCAAAATTGAAAACGATCTTGTAGCAAATTACGTGTATGGTTCTATTTCGAACAGCAGCGCCTGAACGTTATAGGCTCTTGTGGCTTCAAATCCCGATTCATACCCAATTTGCGTTCGAAGCAGTCTTTGGCGAGGTAGTCCTTTGCGTAGTCGTAGCTTACATCCAGCAGACGAAGCTGCCAAGACATAATAAACACAGCGCTGAACATCAAGTAAACAACCCTATAAACCTGAACAGAATCTCGGATAAGGTGTCCTCCTCTGCTGTCAGATCAATGTCTTTAAACAGCCATCTCGTTCTTCTGGGACGATAAGTTTTCTTCTTCTTCTTCTTCTTCACCTCAAAAATATCCGAAAATGCGCTCGTGGCAACCCAGCGACTGATACGATCCAGTTGGGTTCTGTAGCATTTCGCCATGACAAAGAGGATCGGATCGAGAGGGAATTTAAGTAACGAGAAGAGGTGGTAATGCGAAAGAAGACCATACAAGTTTAAATTCATGATGATTTCTTGAGCTACAAATGGCAGTTACGTCCACGCTAAGGTTTGTAACGAAGTAATAGAAAGGCTCATAAATTATACGTAACCCTCGTATTGAAAACGAGGTAGGTGGTCATTCCGACACTAACCTTTTGTTGCCTATTACAATAAAATACCGTATTCGCCGTGCACAGAACTTTGCCGCACATTCCGCGCTGGATTCTGCATAATTTCTCGTAAATAGTTTCGTGTCTCTTGTGTGTTTGTTCGTTTATATTCTTCTACAATTTCATATATGGAAACATTTGAAATTATTCGTTTATTTTCATAGGTTCCGTTATAAGACATGAAAGGATAGTACGGATGGTTAAAGTATGCGAAAATAACACAGGGTTGCATCTGTGCGAAAGTGCGCCTATTATGTCAAGAGTGAAAAGGTCTCTCGCTTTGCATAATACATGATAAATACTTGCTTTTATTTGATTACCTTTTCAAAAACCTTGTGTCCACAATCATTAGTCTTCGACTCCTCCTTTCAAATCTCGCAGAATTCGTTTTTAAGAGCGAAACACTGGATACGTGCGGCATGGTTCCTAAATAATAGCCGTATCGTGAAATCGGTAAGCATTGGACGAAATGAAGAAAAAATCAAAGGTAGCATTGTGTTATAAATGGTCAATTTTATCGTGACAAAATACCTTGAGATACTTTACAACGTTAAAACAAATTAGGGAATAGGCAGTGGCATTCAGTGTTGGAGTGAGAGAGGTCGCGTTTCTCGATCGTCACGCGTGAAGCGTGTAACGAACACCTCTCAAATCTCGCGAGTAAAGATGTAATAACACTGACGTGGATTTAAGCTCTGTAATGACGTTGTTAGAAGGCACCTTGCAAAACCCATCTGATACGGACAGGTTTACCAATTTCGCGCTCTTTACTACGTCTTAGCATCAATTACTTCTCCATTTTTCGTGTCATCTTTGGTTCAGTGTTACATTGCTAATCATTGCCCTCTGGACCTTTGTTTAAAGCTCTTCATATATTGTTATAAATTTCTCTTTTTTTTTTATCTTTAAGTTTATCTGTAATTCAAATTATAAGAGTCTGTGAACCAGTCTTATGAGAAACAAAGTCAACCAACCATCTTTAAAATTTAAAACTAAACCGCTTGAATTTGTAATTTCTTATGCTCCATATTCAAACTCCTCTTTGAACTTCTTTCCGTACTCCTGTGCCAGCTGGTTAAAAGCCAAAACTACATTGTCAGTTTCAGGACCCAGCTCTTCCAGTGAACAACTGTAAAACAGAAAACAAAAACATGTTATTTTCCTGGTAACTTATCAAACAACAAGAATTGTGAAGTGTCACTGAATTGTGTACATTACTCATGATAAAAAAGCTACACTTTCTTTCAAATTTCAAGGCTTTGTGATAGAGGAAAATTAGTTTACAGTCCCTAGTAAGTGATGAAATTTAAAATCATACTTGGAAAAAAATTAAGAGAATAACTCCTGCACTAGAAGGAAAAAAAAAACTAAAGCTTTGCTGATTAACATGGCAACGTCAACAACGTTATTTTTTAGCCAGGTTTTTATGTGGAATATAGGTGTATGTACAAACTTTAATGAGGAAAACTCAACAGAAAAGCACATTTGTTTGATATCCTGGACAGTGTTCCATCACTATACAGTCACTTTCTTGAACCCGGCGCATTCTTTGGAAATGAACAATAATTACCTGATTGACTTAATTGTGAGGTAAAACTCCTTGAGAGCATTGTAAACATCGCCAGCTTGCATTCTGTGAAGTCAGTGCACATAGTCAAACTTAAAACCAATGTTTTATAAGATTAAAAGAGACCTGGAAAGGAAATAACTACCTAGCAGGAGGAGAGTACCTTAAACAAAATTGACAACTTTATTGTAAGCTAACAATTTCACATGAGGAAATTTAAGAATAAGATTAACTAAAAGAAAAAGAACGGTTCAAATGGAGAAAGACTGATGCTTACGTACAGCATGTGATGAAACCTTTTTTCAGCACAATGGGTAACAAATCTGTGTTACTCTCTTACCCGTTTTCGTTCTCAATGACTATGGAGGATCCATGCTTGAAAAAATCCAAAGCATAAGCATTCAAAGGTAGCGTACTCTTGACTGGGAGAATGGGTACAAGATTCATGTCCGTGTAGACATCCTGACGAATGATCTGAAAAAAAAAAAAATATTCGGGGTCATTTAATTTCGTTATGAATCAAAAATTTAATGAGGATCAATGAATTATTTCAGCTCCAACAAAAGCGAACGACAAAATTCGGGCTTGGTGAATCGAACTCTAATACCATAAATGATTCCTTTCGAGGGCAGAGCGTCACCAATTACCCTAATACCGGATTCACATCCAAGCTTAAACATGTTTTAAAACTATTTTTTGTTTCAAACACGGTTTTAAACTGTTTTCTTCACAGAAGCTGCTAAAACCAATGTTGTACTTCAAATTTGGGACATCGGAAAGTATAAGTTAGTGTGTACTTGAAACCTAGCTATGGAAAATTCAGCATTTCATTTCTCTGTATCTGATTTTCATCCAGTTAAACCCGGTCTAACTAAATACGTTTTGCTGGTGTGAATGGGGTATATTGTAGATTGTAGAGACATTTTTTCTTAATAGTCTGCTTAGAAAGAGCCCCGAGAGGGACACCCAAACGTGACAAACGAAAGGATCAATTTTCACCGTGAGCAAATATTTAAGTGGCTCCTCCTCCCACTCTTCATCATCACTGTTAAACTCATCTTCACTTTGGTCATCTGTTCTTTGGCTGGTGTTTTGTAACTGTAAGTCTGTATTTCCTGATAGCGCAGCGAAAGAGGAACAAGCTGAATACTGTACAGAAGAGTTCGCTAGGACTTTGATCATATCGTTGTCGTCAATGTCATCAGTGCTGGCTTTTGTGGGAAATTCTGCGTGAGAAATTTTTCAACTGTAATCAGCGATCTGTACACATCTTAATTCGAATACAGAGAAGCTGAACAACACAGGCATTTTGAGTTGTTCTTACTTTTGATCCGTAGGGGGACAGACACACTGATGAAATCACAATTTTTTTTTATCATGAGAAAGAAAAAATACAGATTCCAAGTCTCTGTGCTTCTGTTGAGTAATAGATCACAGATGAAGTCAAAACGTGGTCACGACATCAGTGACACTCGATCGACTGCGCTTCGTGTGCCACATTTTTGCTCTAACCACACTTTGACCTCATCTGTAATATATTACTGAATAGACTCACGGCAACATGGAATCTCTTTACCAAAGTGACATTTTTTTGGAATATATATTTCAATTTACTGTGCAAGCAAGTATCAAAATTATGCGAACAAGAATGCATATTAAATAATTCTTACCCATTCCTGATAAAGGGAGTTTGTTATCCTTTCCTCTGTCTTTTTCCAGCCACTGAGCCACTGTGGCAAGGTACTGACTGAACACATGGGTGACTTGACGGTTGTAGCTTTTGACTGCCTTGACAAATTCATTCGGTAGATCCTCCAAAATTACCTGTGTTTAATCCAAAATGTAAACGCTTCCATGATTTGTACACTTAAGACGCTTAGCAGTCAGACGCTATAAAATGTAGTTTTGAAGTGTTGGAGAGAAATTCATTAGTTTTGGTAAAACTGGTTTCAGTTTTTTTCCAATGCATTGTATTTCCTAAATAAAGTCCACGACCACCCTCAAAGACTTCAAATGGAACTTTTAAAAGAAGCGCAGTTTATAGCACTTTTTTCTAAACGTGGGTAAGTATAAAATGATGCGGCAAAACTAAACTTGTTTTCCATATGAGCCCCACCTCAGTTCGCGCTTTACAACCAACCAGTTTTTAAAATAGACCGGTAAATCGTCCAAGGGAAGGATATGCTTACTTTTGAAGAAGACGGACTCCTCAGCATGATGGAAGGATGAACATAAGTTCTTCCAAATAAGTGGCTTAAAACAAGCACCATTTTCCTCATAACATCTTCGGAAAATTTACCTGTCACAGTGAAAAAAGTTTACCAAAGAGTAATACGCCGGCGATAACAATAGAGTTGAAAGAAAACCTTTTGGCAGAAATCAGAGGCGCAGTGGCCTGACGATTAACGCGCCAGACTTTGGGTGCGGAAGTCTGGGTTCGAGACTTGGCTAGTTCATAGTGGTCTGGGTTCGACACCTGGCTGGGTCATAGTGTTGTGTTCTTGGACAAGACACTTTATCCTCACAATACCCTTCTCATCCCCCCCTCCCCCCTCCCCCCCCCTCCGGATGGAATTTCTAACCACTAAAGAAGCTGCGAGAGATGAAAGATCTGTAGTGGATAAACATTCCATCCAGGGTGGATTAGTAATCGTCCTATACACTTCATACAAACTAGTCCGAAATAAAGTGTGGCGCCTTATGGGCCACTCGAGTGTAGACTTTGCCTATGGTCAAATGTAAAGAGGTTCCCTAAAGCTAGGCGACTTTACTCCCTAATATGTTTCCCGGGCCTCCTTTGTTACCCCATCGCGTTAAGCCAGAGGCACGTGATTCAGCATCTCATATACTCGATGTTAGAAGCTGCTTCTTGTTATAAGGTATATACAACATTTGCCAATAAAACTTGAAATATAAAAAAATTGTTCAGTTCAGAGAAGAACTACAAGGTAAGCAGTAAGGGAGAACAAAGACTAAAATTTGGATTCCAGGCACGACCACTGATCGAGGAATGTTATTGTTCCGGGGTAAAAAAAAAACCTCTTGATTTCTCAAGTTAGAGATATTTTTCCCTTTTTATGATTTTACATAAAATTTATTTCAAAGGAATCGTTTTCCCCTAGCGTCTGAAAAGTGTGATCCTTACAAAAAGCTCTGAGTTAGTTACTGGTCTAATAAATCGTTCAGTTTGAAAGGAGCTACGGGTTTACCGTTTTTCCTTGGCTTACACAGCTTGTGGAAGAGACCACATCGTAGAAAACTGACCAGAGCATAATTGGAGGGTTCATGGTAGTGAAGATGGGTTGCCAGTCCGGCCATTTCCTGTGGAGCTCCGGTTTCTTTGTTTATAAGAGACTGGAAAAGAACGAGGAATTACAGACTTCGGTTATAAATCCCTTCGTGAAGGCTTTCGTGTGGTTTTGAAGTTCCATTTACAAGATATTGATTTGTCACTTAACGTGATCAAATTATGGTGTGCTAAGCTTACTAAACCCTAGGCAGTCCTCTCTCTACTCCTGTGAGAGATCACACCTCACCAAGTATACAGAAAGGCTTTGTCCATACTACTCACCAGTCTAGTTAAAAGTTCAACGCTGAAGAGGAAATGTAGCTTGATCTGGGTTTCCATTTGCGGGTACTTTCGGCAAATAAAAGGATTAGACAGCAATACTAGGGCCTGAAAAAGAGATGTGCGAGTACACCTAATTATTTTGAGCCTGAGTAGCTTGAACGAATTTTGAGCATGGAAATTAACTCTTAACATTGTAAACACATTGTAAACACATGTAAAAGTCGTAATTGCGAATTCTCTTGTCTTAATTTGATTATGAAGTATATGTATTCAATTAGGTTGGGAGTATCTCCTGCGCAGAACAGTGACATGGCAGAAACTTTTTTTAACATAACCGGGTAATTTAGTATTATCAACTGAGTTGATAACGTAAATTGGCTACCGTAAAGAGTTTAGAAGCTGACGTTTCGAGCGTTAGCCCTTCGTAAGAGCGAATGTATAACATTGTTTTGCAATATCAGCAAGAATAGCCTTTCTAACCAGGCGTGAGCCGAGTACAAGAGGCACACTTACTTCCTGAAGGTATCTTATCATATCTTATCTTATGTTGTCTATTGAAAAAAAGGAAACAGTAAAAAAAAACTCATTCAAAATAGTCCTTCGAAACCTTAGTGAGGGCATCTTCCTTGTCATCTGCTTGGGTCGTCATCAAAAGCAATCGCAGAACCAGTGAAACAGTGATGGGGAAGTTGCCGACAAGCTTCGGGATATTTGCAGTCATCAGGCGTTGCACTTTACGGTAAGGAATTCCGAAGAAAATGACATTTCCCACGGGATCGAAACCTCTCCGACCCGCCCTACCAGACATCTGAAAATAACAAATAAAGTCCTAGGTTGGCACTCGTGGTATTGGCAAAAGTATTAAAGCCATAACGGAAAATGTTGTTCAGTGATACGTGTAAGATGCAAAAAAGTCATCCTTTAAGTATTCGATGCATTCATGTGTATTAGACGCTATGAAGCCTATGCACCGCATGCGTAAAGGGAACCTTGTTATGCAGGGGTTTCCGAAACGTTTTCCATAAAAGGCTCTCGATGGCATAATAGGCGGCTGTGCCGAACACGAGAGCCTACTCGCGGACTCAACAGACGGCGGTGAGAGATTTTATGGGCGGCGATAGACCGCCGGTAATCGAATTTCATCGAAACTCCTGAGTTATGCTATCTAGGGATTGAAAGAGTTACATCGAAAGAACAATTTACAAAATCGTCAGCAATCACGGAAACGCTTAACTAAGAGAAATGTCGATCAGGGAGAACTGACCATGAGTTAAGTTAGATATATCCCACTTATTTACCTGCCGGTACTGCAGTGAATTTAAGTAGGGCGAGTCTCCAGCAAACACGACTGTCTTACAAGGCATGTGAATACCAAGAGCCAACGTTGAAGTTGAATTAACCACCTGACAGAGTAAATAAATACTGTAATGCGATGTACTAGATTTCAAAATGTGTGCCCAATCGCATGGTCGGTTCTTAAACGTTTGCCTGAAGATATATTTCCTACAAAAAAGCCTAATCAAATTCTCAGTATGATACCATGAGCGGATACGAGGGAAACCCCCTTTTTAATCCCCCTTTTTTAATAGGGATCATTGTTTACCCCCAGCCGTAAGGTGTAAATCTTCCTTTGGAATCCGGCAAACTTTACGTCAAAATGTTCAAAATCAAAGTGCTTTCGCGAGTCCACCTAAATATGTGACTTTTTAACAGTTTACATACAGTTAATGGCATCTTACCTGAAGGTATTTGCCTCTGAACAACATTTCCACCACCGAGCGCTTTTTGGCATTACATCCGCCATGATGATAGCTGATTCCTCGTTTTAGAGCCCGCTTGAATAACGATTTGTCAGAGATGAACCAGATTCTTTTGATTATCTCTTCGTAATCCTACAAATGAATGATATCAATCAATTTGCATTTTGTCTGATTGTCTTCATAATGCCTCTTTTGATAAGTGCGTCGGAAATACTTACTTTTTTCAAATGCGTTCAAAGGCATTTAGCTCCTGCAAGAGGACGTCTTTGTTTGGCTACCGCCAACATTTCAAAATCATAAGATGGAGTTGTTCCATTGTTCCGAAAAACCAGCATTTTAGCTTGCAATTAGAAGAAGTAAACTCAAAAACCGATTTTCAGGTTGAAAAAAAAAAAAAAATTTGCAAGACAACGGTTTTTTTTATCGAAACAACATTTCTTTGCTTCTTACCTCTTTTCCAATCCCAAATGTAAATGCCAATGAGCACTCTGGTAGAATTTCATTCACGGCTGAAATAGAACCCCTCTCATCTTGCTCATCCGGTTGGCTGTTTAATCTGTTTGGAGAGCAGTTATACCTTGTAAAAGGAACAGGAAACAAGCAAAAAGAAACAGCTACAACAACAAGGCCCTCGGTCGTTTTTGTACGGACCGAGCGCATAACGTCAGGTCATATTCCTCCGTACGACCCTCACGTTCGGTTAATGGGAAATTAGTATACAACAACTCGAACTCTGCTACAGAAGAACCCCTAGAACTAAAAAAAATACTTCGGAAACCCGTCCAAAGAAAAGATTGAGCAGTAAATGTACTAAAAGGAAAAAGGCAAGTCACAAAGTTTCTACATAACTATAGTTTCATGATCATAAGTCGATCAAGGCAGATCAAATCTCTGAACTGACTACCTTTTCTCTCTTTCTTTCTGTATTTCATCTCTTTTTCTCTGCAACTTTTTTTCAGCTTTTTCTTGTCTCTTCTGTGCAAGTCTTGCTTCTCGTGTGTCGGCCTCTCTTCGCATAACTAGTTCCTTGTTTTCTAGTTTCTGAGCATAACCGAGGGCCAAAACTTCGCAGAGTCTACGATCATCGCTATGACGAATAATTACACACATCTTAACATGGACTTCGTATTTTCTTCTTCTTTTACTTACTGTAAGGGCATCAAAGTGAACGGATACTCGCTCATTAACCTTATACACCCTAACATCAGTATGCATATTCTCCACACTGTTCTTTACACATTTCCTAAGGTGCTGACAAGGAGAATTTGCCTGCCTATTGAAAGGTTCCTTTCCCAGTGATCATTTCCTTTACTCTTATAACCTTAATGTGTGACTCAGGAGTGATACTGAAAGGAGAAATTAGATGCTGGTCACTCTTAGGATTTAATGGGTTAATGAGATGATAACTAAGATAGATGGAAGCCCCGCAAAAACAAAAACAAAAAACACAACAACAGGACAGCCTGCAAGGTAGCGGTTGAAAGCCAAATCATCACAGCGATGCTCAATGTTTCAAAAGCTGATGCCCATCCAGTCGACCTGTAGGCCTCACAAAGACCAACAGTTAAATGTAACAGTCACGATCCATATCAGAAATTATTACATCGTGGGGCAGACATCAATATGTCATGATCAATGTACTTTGCCACGATGAATAATCATAACCTTTCCTTACGATGTTGACAGACTGATTCGACTGCAATTTCATCAACCTTGATGGACTTGTTGAAATAATTGCTGGAAAATTCAGGCTTCCGTCATTCATTTATCACGTTCCCTATGCGTAATCCTGACAGACTAACAAATCTACCGGAAGATTTCCCCTTTTTGAACAAAGAGAAGGGGTATTCCAAATTAAAAGAAAATGATAATATATCTTGTTTAATATTTATGAATAAGTTTTGAAATGGCCTCGTGAACAACCTATCAGTTTAATATATTTCCTATAAAGTTGTGTCTTTCACACCGCACATTAGTGTGAAACTATATATTGTGCTTACCTATGCTTACCGATTAACCCTTTCATTCCCAAGATCTCATTAGTAACTCTCCTTATTACCTGCCATAAAATTCTTATAGTGTCAGTTCAGAGAATTTGGTATTGGATCAACTAAGAGTTCCCTGATCAACTAAGAGTCCCCCTTTAATCCCTTCACTTGTCTTCTTGATATTGTATTCAGTTGATATTGTGAGGAGAAATTCTCTTTCGGTCACTCATGGGAGTTAAAGGGTTGAGTAAGATCTAGTGTTGTTCATTAAAGTTGACTCTTAATAATTCTCATTTACCTAAATACCAAGGCAGGCAGTTTCTCCTGGGCTTTGAGCTCGTTGATAAGTTTTCCAAAAGTTTTCTTTATGAATGCTTTACCATACAAAGTCATTCTCTGTTCACCCCACCGTTCTTCCGTTGAATAATGAGTTTCCGAAAATACTGAGTTTAAAGAATCAATAACTAACTGAACCTAGGAAAAAAAACAATGATCCTATTCACTACATAATACAACTAAAGCCTGTATCCTACAAAGTGCGCGCTTCGTTTTCATTGTTTAGTTAAAAAAGTTGGTTTCCATTCGTTTTTGAGTATTGTTATGCAATGCGAAACAAAGAACGAACGACTGTCAATAAATGAAGATACATTTAAAACTGCGGATTAATAAATGAATTTGTGAGGGATCATTGCAGTTATTAAAATTAATCAAGCACCATAATGAAAACAAAGCCTTAATAATGCAGGCCTGTACAGCATTTGAACCCAGGACCCCTGCGACATCAGTGCAGTGCTCCACCAAATGATCTGACGAGCCAACTGAGAGTTGGCACAAAGAATTTATTAACCATTTACTGGACGAAGTCATTCTCAATTCACCCCATCGTTCTTCCGTTGACGACTGATTTTCCAAGAAAACTGAGTTTAAAGAATTTTTAACTGACTGAACCTAAGAAAACAAAAGTAATAATCCTCTTCAAAACACATCAACAATAGGAGCCTGTATCCTACATAGTGCGTGCTACGTTTCAATGTTGCATATTATTCCCTTTCTTTTTGAGCATGGTCATACCTTTGTCAACTCTCTGTTGTCCGCCCAAGACTTGAACTCCTTCTTCAGGTCACTCTCGTATTGCCGCGCATGACCCTTTTGGATCAATTTATTTTCCAGGAAATATGTCTCAGCACAAAGATTCTACCGAGAAAAATTTTACTTACATTAACCACTGTTTCTCCACCGGCATTTACAAGATCGAAATAGTAATGACAAGTGCGCTGACCTGAAGTGATTCACAGTCTGGCCACACACTAACCATAGTGTCATACAACTGCAGAGACTCTTTTGGTGTAAGTGCCATATCACCTGGAAAACCATTTTCTAGAAGCTATTTGTGTAAGAAAAAGAGCATGCGAGACTCTTAGGTAAGTACCTCGAATAAGGGGGAGGGTAGCGTTTGGGTTACAAATCCATGGATTTTGCCATAAACCGGACAAAACACGAATCAAGAAAGAACTCGACACTTACAAAGCCTAGCTTTTCGTCTAAACCCTTTGAACTTGACAAATAGATTCCATGATGCCATATGTCTGTTCAATAATGAATCACAGATGACGTCAAAAGGTGGTAAGAACAAAAGAATGGCACACGAGGTGCAGCCGAGTTTGTTCTTGATGTGCTTCCCACATTTTGACGTTTACTGTGATCTAGTACTGTACAGGTGCATCGCACCATAGAATTTATTTGTTTTTTAGCGACATGTCGGTGATGGCAACGTCATTTATGGCTCTGTCCTACCCGTGTATAATTTTCCCCGTGTATAGTCCTCGGCAAGTATAATTCATCTTAGCATATAAACTAAAACGGATAATTTGATTCCAAAGAAGAAAAATATTCCCTGTTATGGGGATTGAATCTGGATTGAAGGCAAACGAATAAACGGCCATCAAAAGAAAGAACACATTACTTAAATTATTTAATAAGCATAAACCAAAGAACAGATTATTACAGATGTAATAATGCAGTTTCACCTATAGACTGAGGGAAAATCAATGTAATCGCGATTACTTTCATCGGTGAAATGCAACCTTATGGTTCACTTTGGTCGTTGTCTTAAGTTACTAAAAGTAAACTGTTAAAATCTTGAATAAAGGGGGTGACCTTCTACAGAAACTGTGGTGCTGCGTCAGTGGTAGCATAGTTGGATAATTTGTTTTTACCAACTGAGGTGATAATGTAAATTGGCCTCTGTAAAGAGTTTCTAAAGCTTACAAATCTTGAATGTACTAAGGAAGAATCAAACGCCTGACCTGTTTGTATCCTAGCTGGGCACATGGATGAAGTCTCACGAACTCCTTGCTGTCGTTGTCGTTGTAAACATTTTTTCCTTCGTTATTTGGACTTGGAAGGAAAATGCTCTTCTCCAGATCGGAGTATCTTTCTTTAAATTGAACTTAAAAAGTAAGCAAGGAATCAGAAGCAATCAATGAAAAATTAGGAATAAGTAGAGATAAGTTCCTCAGTTAAAACTGATACGGCGTGTCACTATAAAAGAAAGAAAATTCTCGACTTCATGCTTAACAAGAAGTAGTATACCTTCGCGAACCGTAGTGTCATTAACATCTCACAAAAAAAAAACAAAAAAAAAACAAAAAAAAACAATTAGAAAAAATAGCACTGAGTTTAAGGGCCGTCTTAAAAGAAAGTCTATAAAAGCATTTGCGACATTAAACTGTTTTGTTTCCGCGGAGGAAGAGGAGTAAATGACAAATAGGTGAAAAGGCACTCAAGGATTTCAAAGTATTCTAATGATTTTTTCCCACCTAATCTGATCCGATATGACTTCCTCAGATTTTCATTGTTTTTCCTGTCCTGCTTTTCACGGAAGTCTTGAGCGGCTTGCAGCCAGCTGTACATAAGAGAATGAATGCTTTTAACCTCTGTTATCAAAAAGAAAGTCATAGCAAATAAGATACTTCCGGTAGCTCAACAGAAGCCTTAAGGAGAAAAACTGATATCTCTTCTTCGATACTTACCGTCTTAGATCCTCAGGATTTCCAATGGTTGCTGAGAGCGCCAGGAAGGGACAGCGAATCATAAGAAGGAGATGCTCCCAGACTTCAGCTCCAGTTTCTGAACCAATACAGTGAACCTATGTACAGCGTCACAGAACTTACTTCAGTCTGCATTATTGCCCTTAAATTCTACACTTGCGGATAAGGGTAAAAATAGATAACTTAATATCAATCAATCATTTATTTCAACACCTTTCGTCGAGGAGCTAGGAACTCGTTCAAAATACGAACGCGTATAAATAAGATCTTTAGTGATTACTTAAATGTTATACCATTCCATCTTATAACAACTCATCGAATATACAAAAACTAGCAATAAATACGTAAGATATAAAAAGCTAAATCCTAAACTAAAAAAAACTATAAAATAGCTAAAAACGTGACAGGAAGACTGTAAGACACGCTCTAAAAGGCTCCAATCTTGCAATTTACTTTTGAAGTCATTTACATCCCTTGAAAGACGGTTTTGAGAAGGCAAACTGTTCCATAACTTAATTAATGAAACTACGGCTATCGATAAAACAACACTCTATTCAAATAAGTTCGAAAGAAACAGACATGTAGGAAGTAGCCTTTAATAGCTTTTTCAATAAAACTCATCTACTCAATTGAACAAACCAGCTAAGCGAAACTGCATGTTCAACAAACGTTTACTTGTTGACGTGGCAACAGAAGGATATGATGCTCTTTTACCTCATCAAAAATCACGTATTTAACGTTTTTCGTCCAATGCTGTCTGTGCGGAGAGAGAAAGAGGATCTCCAAACACTGGGGGATTGTAACAAGAATCTGTGGGCAAAATGGCAAACAATAGGGTAGGGTGCTATTGAAATCTCATACTGTATTAAGAAGGCTTCATAGGGTTTTTGTTCAATGTTGGCGCGCGCGCCAGCGTGATGTTTTTCTAGAAAATTTGTTTCCGCTCTTCCAGGTCACTAAAAGCCATCAAAAGAGCGATGAGCCAGGTTCGGACTATCGTTTGCTGTAGTAAATATAATCAAAATGATTTTCGTTATTAAGCTAAGCCTCTGCGAAGGGAGGCGTTTGCCAATGATAATTTGGCTTTGCTTTTGATTTTCATCCATTTGCTTTGGTGAAATCTCTCAAAATTCTCATAATTTGTGAAATTTGTCGTGCCGATTATTTAAAAGCCGAAACAACATAGGGGTTACAAAGGCAGTCTCCTCGCTATGTGCAATTTTCTGCTTTCTTCCTCTATCTAAAATTTGGTCCTATGAATTTTTTCCATAACCAGGCACTAGGAGGGCACAAATATTTTTAACGGTTTAGCAAATCTTTGGAAATTCCACCGACGGAAACGTGATAACTCTTGCTCGAAAGATCCCTATTGTCTTTGTCGCAAAACATTATGTAATGGAATAGAACTTCGCCAAGATATATATCTGAGCATGTGTAAACTTTCGAATCTGTCGCGATCTGTCGCCTTTTGGCAATAAGTCCTACAATGTTTTCTTTTCGTTTGACCTCTTTTTCAGGCGTAGAAGGCCTATGAATATTACGGGTGCAGTAGCTGGAAACCCTAGATTCCATCACATAAAAACTGTATTTTGTTAAACTGTTTTTAACCTACCTTTTCAAATAACAATCGTGCCATCGTATCGAACTTCCATGCTTGTTTTACATGTTGACATTTCTAAAGCTCGCGCTGTTTTCGCACCCAGATCTCGCGCGGTCAACTAACCCAAAGAACCCTTCTTAAGATTAACTTTAAAAGTATTTCCTCAACATTTATAAGTTTCATGCCTGTGAAATCTAAGGCATTTTCTCATACTTTGGCAAACAAAAGGTGCTACGGTTACCGATTTTCAAATTCATTTCTAGTTACCTGGGAATTTAGTGTGTTGTGACGATAGTCCCTCGTAAAAATACCGAACACTGATCTCCCTTTGGGCATCTGTTTTGTAAACCGTGCATAAATTGTAGCAACGACTTGATTGACCAACGCCTAACGGGACAGTAAGAATTGATTAGTAGTCAGAATGATACAGTAAATGAAATTGGACAACCATTTTGTTTTGCTATTTCTTTAAAATTATTCTATATAGGTGCAAAACTGAAATGGGAACTCATTAACTCTTACACAGTTATCCAGGCTGAGAAATGAATAAATTTGAAACAGTAGTTAATCAAAATTTTCGCTTCATTGGGTTCTTTTGTGACATGATTTGACAATGATCAGAGCTAAAGAAGGCTGGCTTTTCCACAACACATTAAAGATGATGACAAATTTTGGCTCAGATTTAGGTAAGTATTTGGACTTTGAAGCACGTTCAGATGAGGTGGGCCCTTTAGCCATTGAGAATTTAAAGAGGAAACATGCACCAGAAATCGTATAAAGTTTCCCTCCACAAATAGAAGGATTAAACAAAATTATGCCGCTGACCTTGTTTTGAAACTCTAATGAATTACCTCAGCTCATCAACCTTGTCTTTAAGTGCTAAAAGCCACATTATTTGTACATTTAGGAGCTCCACCGATATGTATTTCTAACTCAAAAAGATTGTTTCAACGACAACCATACAGCATATATTGGTAAAAGGCGTGGCGCGGTTTTGCGTAAGTGGCCAAGTTATTAAGTTGTTTTCGCCCATGTTCGAGTTTTAGGCCTATTGATAGGCAATTTTAAGGGGTAAGGTCATTCTTTCTGATGAAAGAAAATGCCAGGGAATGCCACTTTACCTTTGTCGGTGCGACATAGACCACTATACTATCATTGTCTTGCCTCAGAACTTTCTCCATGCAGTAGTAGGAAGCGTAAGTCTTTCCTGAAGAAGTTGGTGCTACTATAACAGCTGATTCATTGTTATCGACAGCATCGAGAAGTTCGCGCTTCGAAATGAAAAAAAGACACTCCAGCATCAAACTAGAAAATTTCCTGAGCTTGCACAAACTGATACCAAATAAATGGCCTCGGAGGGGCACTTACCATAACTTTTATAACTATTATTAATGTTTCAAGCACGAGCATGTCTTCCATTACGCATGGTAAATATACTATTAATATATACCTGCCATGTATCCGGAATAAAATTTTCAATCCGAGGGTCCGGATCGGTTCTCTCTTCCCGTTTCAGCAAATGCCCCATGTATTCAAGTTGGAATCTGGTGCTTGTGTTGTGAACAAAAAGCCGTTCAGTCTAGGATCAAAAGACGTTTATGACATAATTCCGAGGTACTCATCATCCTTACCTCAATAGTCCTCATTACTATTTTTCTTTAGCGATATCTCTAGACAAAAGGATAACTTTAAAAACAAATATCACTAACATTATTATCAAAAGTTAAGAACTATGTAAGCAATTTTTTTTTATATTTCCTAACACGTTCATTCACATGTCACATGTTCCGTCACAGGCTTCTTTCTTGCAATTTATTTTATTGCAGCTCATCTCCGATGATCATTTCTTCACTTGTAACTTTAATTTATTGTTTATAATTGCATTCTCGCATGATATATAGTGTGCATCGTTATTTGTCTTTGAAATTCGAGATTCGTTACAATAAACAAGGCCAAGAGAGTAGTTTGAAAAGTAATTCGCGGTCAAACGGGTGGATAAATGCAGACGTCTGTTACACTGAGCTAGGATTTCTTTGGTTTACAGAAAATGTTTATTGATTGAATAAAGCGTCAATTTTTTTTGGAATAACGCATTAGTTTTCTAAAGAGAGAGAGAAGTTTGAGTCATATCAATTACTCCTCTGACTTTGGTGGCATATAATGAGAGTAAGAATGTTAAGACTACATTTGAACAATATTCGCTTGTAAACGTTGAATAGTTGATGTGGAATGGTATATTTACCCTTCTCTCACGATCTGGTGGCATCTCATAAAACAAAGGAACAAGGTCGTCAAATCCCAAATTTTGCATAATTCTAGCAAGTTTCTTTCTGTTTTTATCATTCAGAACACTTGGCAAGTCTTGAGATATTTTATGTACACTTTCCATCAAAAGTACAGGATATTTCATATCATTAGATTCTGGGTCAGCATCTCCTAGGAAAAAAAGGTAATTTGTTAAACTGCAGTGCAACTTTAATATCCTTGTCGCTCAAATGCGCTCTCAGATTTTTTTACTTTTGAAATCCCATCCTTGTTCTCCCAAAACAGCGTTTTCGATCGCGTTTGAAGTCGCAGGTGAATCAATTGAAAGGATTGAGAAAAAAAGCGAAAAGAGTTCCGATCTCAGAAAACTGACCTGGAACACCAACATGCATAAGGCCGCCTTTCCAATTTACCTACCGTAATGTCTTGTGAAAACACATTGTTTGACTCTGACTTACTTGTCTGTTTCCAGGCCTCAAAGCAACTGTCGACTTTAGTCATGAGCGCGCGAAGACGAAGTTCTGGAGATTTGCAAACTAACAGATATTTATCAACCAATTTAAGGACAGTTCTGAAGTCATTTCTCTTCAGACTTTTTTCCATGTCCCTCACAATGATATCCCACTTTTCTTGATCTTTCAATTCCGCTTTCTCTGTTTAAAAAAATTGAAAAAGTACTTTTCAATCCTTCTTTATCGAAATCAAAGTTTTGAGCACTCTCTTGTCTTGATCATGCTGATTACAAACAAACAAGCAACCCTTTACAGGTATTTTGTACTCAGGATATTTAACTTCAGATATCCAAGGCACAGAGGGACCGTTTACTTTTAATTACCGTGGAGGACAGAATTTCTGCATTGTCGCAAATTGCAGTAAACTCGAGAAGATCAGTTCGTTACTTGTCATCTTATCACGCTTGCTCCTTGTTTATGCCACATTGAGGTAATACAGCGAAACAGTTACGAAACACATGTAAGTCATGATATTTCATGGACATGATCCTTTTCATAGGTACAAGCATATATTAACGACTTACCAATGCTTTTTTTAATATTTTTCTTGATTATTTCTGCAGCCTTTCTGCTCTGTAAAATAATTAAAAGTGAGCGTGCTTCTTAGGATAAATTCAGGAAATACCTTTCTCGGACTAGAATTTCGAAGTGATTGTCGGGTAGACTCTTGAAATATATCTAATGAATTGGTTATTCCTCATTCCCAGGATGGGTGAATATCATTTTCCTGCTGACAAACAAACATATAAAACAAAACACAAACAAACAAATAAGCAAAAAATTATGCAATACACCCAAAATATCTCATATCTTATTCGAATCAAACATCCCAACCATGTAAAAAAAATTGTTATGTAGGACTTTATAATAAAATTTAGAGACTTGTGTAATATTCTCCCTGACAAAACTAACCTGTTTACTTTCCTTTCTTTTTCCTTTTTTTTTCTTTGATCCTGTTTCTTTGACTGTGATGATTTTTTGTTGATCAGTGCCACCAACCAGTGAATTGCCGTAGAATCTTTGAAAGCGAACATATTTCTGCTTATCTCTAAAATACCGTTTCTTTTGCCAAGGATTGTCTGGGGGATTATCTGAAAAGAGATATATCGACATTATAATTTAAGGATGTGCTGTAATTTCATACTGTGAAAGCCGTTATTTGCTGTTTAACTTTCAATTCTATTAAGCTTGGAGATATTTTACCGGTAATAGATTTCTTTGTTCTGTCGTAATCATCAGAAAGAGGCATTAGAGAATGCCAGTGATATCGTTCGTCAAATTCTCGACCAACATTAGGTATTTCGTCATCACTCGTTTCTCTGCGGAGCATGAACAAACCAAGCATAAAACAATATCATAAAAAAGACAAACAGCAAAATACAATTAATTAACATGTTTCTTTCAGGGTTTCTGTTGAGTTCACTTGACTTAACTCGTCAATTCAGTTAGTCTTGCATCCTCTCGGAGTGTTTGAAATATTTTTGAACTCGTAGTTGATAATTAAAGGACAGGGGTTTTGAAGCTCATCAAATTTCATAGTCACGTGTTTTTGTCGGGTTTTTCGAGCCTGAACGTGCGAAAAGTAGCACTCCAATTCTCTTAAGATAGACACTCAATCAATTAATTAGTCACAATGTGTGGAAACAAAAAAAATACATAAACAACAGCATCACTTTTTTAGCCTCCGACGTTTCGCGATTTTGAAAACTACGCATCTCGTTTATCTTTGTTAAAGCACAGTCGCAAGCCACACGAAGTGCAAGTTCAACGGACACGACTGGAGAAGGATGAGTCGCCAGACTTAACAAGTTCCCCCAACGAGGAAGAACCAAGCAAAAAACCACATGAAAGTTAAGACTTTAGCCTTTTATCAACTTACTCAGCCATGGCGTTAATTTCTGACCGAATATCCCCAGCATAGTCATTCACAAGATCGCTTTCCACCTCAGTAAGTCGCTTAAGCTTCATGGTGGAGTCTGCATCAGAATGCACAACCGAAACTGTTGTAGCAGAAAAAAAAAAAATGAGTGCTTAATATTTCCAGTTCTCGTCACCTACTTTGGCTGTTCAAAAATATGAATGCTTCACTTTTCAAAAAATGAAAATATCTTGCCTACAACTGAAAAAACGGATGTTTAGCTTCCTTATGAGGGAACAGAGTCAAAAAAGTCTGGTATTTAACTCATTTATTTGAAACGTCCAACTTGTTTTGTCCTGATCAGTTCAGACTGACATCTTTTGAGACTTTCAATTCTTTTTTTTTTTTTTTTTTAAATTTATCCTGGCATTCACGGAAATGGGACAAGTTCAAGACTTACAATCTTGCAAAAAACAATTCAATACATAAGTAAACAAGGTTGAACCATGTTTCCATGATCGAAAGAAGGGTAAAGAAGGGAAATTCACAAATAAAAAGAAAAACAAGCCCTTTAATTAGAGAACGTAGATATAAATTTAGCAAAGGAGGTGTAAATCAATAAAATGATTCGCACACAAGAGCAGGAGCTTGTTGAAAACATTTCTCACCTACTGCCGCATGAAAATCTGCCAAATCCTCGGCAAAGGGAAAAAACTGGGCTTCGAGGGAATGGGAACCGCATGACCTGTTTACAACATCTACAGCATTTCGCCACGCATCTTCTACTTCCGTGATGACATCCCCTGCTAGTTTGAGTCCTAATACCAGTACAAAATCATTATGAAGAAGACATAACCATAGGTGTAGTTAACTTTGAATAGTAACAAGCTATTGCACGCATACAGCTCAGTGAAAACTGTAGATATGAGTAATACAGCTGTAGCTAACGTGTATTTGCGTGCTGTCCTACAAAACGTGTAAGTTGAAAAAAAACAAAATGAACAAGAACGAAAAATATATCTAAACAAACAAAACAAAACAAAAATCCTAACGGTCCTAACAGTCATAAAGGATTCTATTTCTCCATCGTAAATTTAGCGCGCGAGATGAACGCGCCCATTGACTTACCACTTTTATAACCCACCTTCAACGCCTTTTGACCTTTGCTCCAAGACAACGGAAAAGAGGGTATGGACAAAACGACCATCCATTAAATCTGCTACTGACTTAAAAAAGTCATTGCCTGTTTGGTCTCTACTTGCATCTCTCTGCACAACTTGTATTGTCTTTAAAATCTCCCATAAACACGTATAGATCTGTCAGCAAGTAATAAACGCATCACGCGTATGAGTACTGGGTAATTTTTTGTTTTATGTTGTATGCTTTATAAAAAATGCTAAGCAACGAGACATAACTCCTTTCAACATAAATCCACTCTAGGGAAAAACTTCACAATAGATGTACACATCTCTGAAACGAAAATAGAGGCATGACAAGTTGAAAAGTAATTTCAGTAAGTAAGCCTTCCTTATTCATACATAGTGGGGAAGAGATAGACCACCTCTTTTATGCCGTTCTTTACCTTCCGGAATTATCTAATTCTTGGAGGAACGTTTACCGCCGTTGGAGATTCCGTGAGTGTACATTAACAGGAAATAGAAGAGGTGTGTTTGGTTAACCGTGTCTAGTCGCTTTATGCGTCTGTAATCCAAACTATGCATGGTTGTCTGGAAAACGATACGGTCGAAGTTGCACATCTCCGTTTAGGACAGTGTCCATTGTGAGAGAGTCCACCATATGAACATTTGTTACGTAACCTCACTAACCTCGTTAAAGGGATAGACGTTATCATCATTTGCTTTACAGAATTCATTTAACAAGTTCTCTTCTATGAGGTGAGCTCTACACTTCAACGGCAGTTTGTTCAGTAATACAATGTGAAGCAAAAAAAGCTTCATTCTGTCCTCTACAGTTTTCATCTTTTCCTGTAAGCGCAATGGAAAGAAAAACCCTCGTATCATTCCGTGAGTAACATATTTGAATAATTCATCGTTAAGAAAGTTCTACTTTCCACTTAATGTATCACTTTCGTACGTACCTTGGTGCTTCTAGGGTCCTTGAGAGCTTTAAAGAGGATCAGTGCACACCCAAGGACTGCGGTAACTTGTCGACAGCCGCCTTGTCGGAGTGGAGGCTGAAGAGCTTTGCGAACTTCTGCCTCTATGTCAATCTGAGGTTCGTCCACCTATTTTAGAAGGATTATAAATAGATCCATACCAACTGGTTATTCCACAGCGAACGACAATATCAAAGAATGATCATACATCTACATAATTTAGATCGAGCGGCGTCCCCCTCCCCTAATGATATGAAATTCATTTTTCCGAGTTAGGTGTTTCCCCGATCATAGTGAAATCTGCATGAAATCATGTGTGCACAATGAGAAGTAACATTTTGAGACAAGTGCTTCTCAGAACTTCGTCAAATTGAAAGAAGATCCAGACTCTCAACTTGGAATTAAAAGATTTTATTATTTGAAAAACAAGGAATTTGATTTTGCGTTGTTGGTATTTTTGGCATCGAATCAACAGAAAATTCAGCGAGAAGACTTTCCAAAATAATATTTCTTCAGAGACCGTCAAGTGATAATTATATTTTAGATAAAACCTTTATGGTGCACTCAAAATGTCTCGAATATCACCCACCAGAGCGTCTCCAGGAAACGTGTCCGACCATCTTGGAGAGTATTTATATGCCTGATCCTTCCAGTAACTCACCAGATATTGCCATGTTTTCCAAATTGGCTGTTCAAACTAAAAATCCAATCAATGTAATTAAACACGTTTGATAAACTCAGTTTCGTTACCTATAAAGGCGATGTTTCTGTGGGAAAATAATAACTATCCATATTTCATTCACGTTACACCTGATATCAAATGAAGGTAGTGAGAGGGAAAAACGGCCTCAAGGGTTTATCGTTAGTTGAGTATAATAAATCTGAGTCTGAGACCAAATTAACCAAAAATGGCCCATCACACTGAGGAAAATATCACAAAGACTCAACGAACAGAAGGAAAGAAGTCAGTGCCAAGTCAAGTTTGACTTTAGTTTTGCAACTGCTTGTTTAACTGGGAAATATGAGTTTCCTCGATCAATCACTAAGCTTTTAAATGTAAATCAAAGCAATAGCAGAAAATTAAAAACTATCCTCGCGTGAAAGTGGACCTTTTAAATTTTGTTAGTTTCCGGTGAGAATAATTTTTACCGTCATAAAGTAGTTTTTGTGAATAGCCGATGAATAGATGTAAAATCCCATCACTTTGGTCGCAGTTATCTCGATGCCAGAAACGAACACGCAATTCAATCCATGCGCGAGACAATGAAACAAGAAACACCGGAAAAAATATTGCATTGTTTCTTTTAGCTTTCCATCCTTCCAGGGAATGTTTTCAGCATCCGTCAACAGCAAAAAGGCAGGAACTTCGTCATTAACGTAATCTTTCCACTCCTGTCCCCAGAAATCTACCATTGACGTTTTCACAATTAAATCTGTGTTGCGCTGGAGATGAAGAATAAGAGCTTCTCGAGCGAGCAGCAGGGACGGATTACTTCTCCAGATGATTTCCATTTCTTTAAAAAAGACGATGTGGAAAACGCCACCTTGAGAGAAATAATCACCGTTTATAAGATAAAAAAATTTGAACAGATTAAAACAGCGATGAATAACCTTTCATCAATTGTTGGTGACGTCGCCTCCTTGCACTGTCGCAGCAAGTTCCGTCGCCCTATAAAAGTTCCGTCTCTCTGAAGTATGGATGCGTTGTCCCTAACTTTTGACCTAAGTTTAATAAAAGAACCATACTTCTGGGCAACGGAACTTCATTGGGGGACGACGGTGCTTCAATGGGGGCGACGGAACTTAAGGCCACCAGGCAAGGGGACCACGTCACCTGTTTACCCTTTCATCGTATTTATTAATTTGCCATAAAGTACACCACTCGTAAAACTCATGGAAAAAAAACATACGAGACCCGAGTACATTTCCAATCCTCATTAGTGAAAACGTGAAACGATGACGTCATTGCAGCTTAAACAGGCTGTTTTTGTTTGTTCCGGAAGGTAAAGAAAAATCCTTTAATGAGGAACAGCAACATGCCAGCGCAAGGACGAAAACTTCATAGGACTTAGAATTATGCGAGCAATTTCTTGTAAGTGAAAAAGGAAACGAGAGGAAGATAAACGGAGGCTTCAACATAAGATTGTAATTTCTGAGAATTAACAAAAATATCTCATTCACCCGCCGCGCCTATTCGTTAAATTCTACTTTCATTTTATAAAAACCAAAATGGAGTTTGAGTGTGCATTCCTATGGAATTTGCCCTGTGGGATGCGTTCAGCCATCTTTGCACTAACCTTTCTCTGTGAACTTTTGCAAAAATCGCTCTGTTAAGTATGTAAGATGCAGAAACTGCCCCCCGTTATTCCAATCCAAGCTTTTTTCACCAATGATTTCTAACAGCAAGGAGTCGCCGTCGATCAGGAAAATCTCCGCGTCTGCAAAGTCAGTCAGGATGTTGACAAACCTGTTGAGCAGAAAAGGGATACTGAGCACTTCTTTCTTAAGGAAACATTTTTTCGTTCTCAAAATATAAAATGCTTGTTCCAAGATTAGGTAGATTTGAGGTTTTAGTTCGCTGAGTGCAGTTGCCACCCGAACTCCACATTTCTAACAATCAGAATAAAGAAAAAACTTACGACTGATCCATTCCTGGGTACTTGTGATGCTTTATTAAAAATTCGTCATTTTATCAATTTTCACGCGCGTTATATAATTCTATTTCCGTCTACTCCTTCTTCCTCCATTATTCCCCCACCTCCTTCAATAAGGAAAATACTTATGGGGTATATTTCAAATTTATAAACAATAACAAGATCAAAACACAACATCAGGAGCTACGTTCTCTACTCGTTGCGAGATGTACGAGGGTCCTTAAACGTCCCCTGCTAACCAGTACAGCGATGCAGGAGATGGGATTATCGTCCTTAACCGAGAAGACTAGAATATATAACCATTTTCGGATGTTATAGCAAAGGTAGCACATTTTCCTTGGTTATTTTAAGACCCTGAGTGTTGGTCCGGTTAGGGGCTTGAACCTTCAACCTCCCACGCGGTAGTGCGGCACTCTACAACATAAGCCGACTAATCCCGGTCTGATCTGTATACTAACCTTGTATCCACTCCTCGGCCATAAAATCTTTTTCTAACCAAATGCATAATTTTGGAGAAGTTGGGTGGAGGTTTTTCATCGTTGTCAACACCATCCTCATGTGGTTCTTCTGATCCTCCACCTATAACAATCAAATAGACTGGTACGAAATCCTATCGATAGTTAAATAATTCTTTCTGTGGACTTTCTTAGGTTTGAAGCACAGGGTCCACAGTGACAGTTTCTCCACTGATATCGTTCAAAAAATTGTTTCTTGAGAAAGCTAAACTCTGTTCCACCACTTAGGTAGCGTGATGATTATTTACCTGAAAACCAGGGCGACAATGAAGGATGCGGAATATACAACATTATTTGCTACATGTTCGTTTGGAGAAGGGAATATTTAGCTCGGCAAAAGATGATTTGATGCAAGTCAGATAACCTTTATCTAGCTTCCCTGGCTCTTTTGAAAATTGTCCTTCCTCCTCCTCGTCAATTAGCTCTTCTTCCTCATCTTCCAATTGGAATTCTTCTTCTTCTTCACTACCAGCTACAGCAGTAACCACAAAATTAGATTTCCAAGCAAGTTGCATTATCAAAAAACAGCTTGTGTGCAAGGAATAAACCACGCAAACCGTATTATTTCATTGTTACCACTAGATTGTTATTTCTAGGGGGACAGTTAACTACATGTAAGTGAAGTCTGCACTCGAGCCTAGTACCCCATTCAGCCGGAGCTTATCCCGATTACCATAAAGCTACTAGGAGTATCAGCACTCCCCCCAGGATGGTATGCCAGTCCATCACAATGTAACCCCCAGCATTTCATCAGGCTTCCCTGACAATTCGCCGGCACCCATTTTTACTCCTGGGTGGAAAGAGGCGCTATGAGAGTAAAGTTTTGGCCTTTGAACAAAATACGTTGACCTGGCCTGGTCGCGCACCCGGACCACAAAACACGGAGTCTAGTGGACTGACCATTGGGCCACTTCCACAGCCACATGAAGAGAAACCACATTTTAGCTGACCTTAGAATTGAGATGAACCGCACTTTCAAGAACAGAAGTAACATGTTAGGATGTTTGATGCATTGTTAGAAGTAAAAATGTTGTTAGTGATGTTAGGGTTTCAGTATAATGTGCTGCGAAACACATAGTGCTGGTATTTCATTTAAAAGAAAGATGAATATCGTGAAAAAAAAAGATTTAAGAAAAACAGAAACAAAAGATTAAACTGAAAGATAAAAGTTTTCAAAACAATCATTTGAAATACTGTGTTCTACCGGTAGTTTGACAGAAAGCTGACATGTTCCAACCGACAACAATTGGACTGCATCTCCATTCGATCACCGGCACTCTGCAGACCTCAACAGGCCCGTAAAGGAGCAACCGGGGAAACTCAGTTTGACAATCATTTGCATACATTACAACTACCACAGAGAAACTTGAATTTCTTAATAATCTTACACAGGTTCACAACATCGTCATCCTCACTAAACTCCTCACTGACATCGTCGCTGTCAGTTTCGCCATCACTGGAGTCAACCACCGTAACATCAAAGTGCAAATCGGATGTTGAATAACAATCTTCGCCTCCATCAGCCATCCTGCATAAAAATCAAATAGTTGGGTTATTTAGGTGAATTAGAAACTGCTCCGAACATTTGTGGGAATTAGCCAATGTCAGTACGGTAAGACTACTGCCTTTCTTCCTCGCAAAGGCAAACTTCGAAACCTGGGGGCGAGGGAGAGTACTTGAGTAAATTTTTTTCTCGGCATTCGCCTTGGCTCTCCTACCCCAGTAAAGTAAATGGTAGTTCAAATAGAGGTAATGCAAATTAGAAAGAGAGATGCTTCATCGAAACATTTTCATTTACGTAATGATAAAGGTGATTTTAGAAGGCTTCATAATCTGACACCTGTCAATTAGAGAGCACGTAAAAAAAGCGCATTACACTTTTGAAAGAACAACGGAACTAGTTTGACAACGACTGTCATAACAATGTTTTATTCTAGAACAGTCAATGATCTTACGGAAAGTATTATTTACTCTTATCGATGATAAATTAATGTACGAAGTTGTACCTCTGTTCAGTGAGTAAATGGCAACAAAAGTAATTGTAAGTAAATTCAAGCTTTTTATTTTGAAGTTGTGAGAGCTTGCTCGTTTATTTGCTGCAATAGCGTGTGTAAATCTGGTCTTTCCTCCACAAAAACCAAATTCGAATGACACTTCAACGAGACACAAGGGGATTTAATGCGGCTTCCTATCATTGAATTTCCTCAGTTTCTGTTGTGCAATTTACGGTACAAATGTCCAAATTGAACGGACCTGGAGAGACTCACCGAGAACGTATTAGTAGTAGAACTGAAAACCTCGCTCACCCTTTCACCACGAACAAATTGTTTGAGAGAATTCAGATATTAAATAGATGAAAGTTCCATCGATTAATTCAATTGTAACCAAATACCTCACGTTTTAACTTACTGCTTACTGGGTACTCTTTGTGAAGGATTAAAATTAATTACAGACAGTTTTTAGGCCGCTTGTCCACCAAATTAATGACACTATTGCTTATACGAGCTAATTTAAAAACCAATATTTTTCTAACAATTAAAGTGATTTGAGAGACAGAGAAAAGAGAGGATTAATAAGTTATTTATCGGCTTGAGGTAGCGACTCACGTCATCGCTTAAAAATACTGCCCAGATGGAAAAAAGAAATATATTTATGGAAAATGGCAACGAAGTTAGGGATGTACTCGGCGACTCATGAAAGCGTGGGCAGAGATAGGAAAATAATGACCGCGCTAAGAACCGATAAGATTGCAGAATTCGTTACCGTGCCCTCTGAGAAAAAACATAAATCATGCTCTTACCTAGACTAATTTTTTCGCTATTGCAAGTGAATGTAACGAGAATAATAGGCATCTTGCCCGATGTAATATCAATTTTCTTTGTCCTTCGAAACTGATGGAAGGCAAGAAACGAGTCGTCGTACATGTCACACAAATTTTTTTTTGCTTTGTTTAGTTGATAGATGTATTAAAAATTAGAAATAATAGATCTAAGCGTTCTTGTGAACAAGAACGAACACAGCTACCCATTCTTAACATAGATTTCGCCATGGAAAACAAAACACAAACGCAAAAAATTAAACGTTCAGTAACGGGAGTTTTTGTTCTAATATTGACCTGAACACCGCACACGAGAAACCTTCTTAGTCAGTCTTCGTCGAAATCTTCGTTTGATGCACCGATTCTCCTTCGTGGAGCTGAACCGTACTCGCAACCTCCATTTCTTCTTTACTACTCGAGTACGATGTATCAAAACTCTCGGTAGAGCTTGCTGAAGGTAGGTATACATCGCTATCGAACATTATTTCAAGAGTATTTCAACGCTAACTGATTCAAAATTACATGAGATGTGGGAAATTTTCTAAGTGTGAACGTAGAGTTTTCACAGTTTTCCACGTCATCACCCGCTAATTCGTTAGCAGTCCAGGGGACACTATTAAGACAAAATAAGAGCACTTTAGGGCCCGAAAAAACCGAGTTTTAAGGTTTTTGAAATATTTCTTCGATCAGAATTGGTTTGTACATATGATAAGCTAAATATTTTGCAAGTATTATGGGCACTTCAACCACAGACACGTGTAAACATGATACACATGACCGGTTTTCATTTTTAAACTAAAAGAATATCACACAAGTCCAGTTTACAAATGGCAAACTCACTCCACTTTTTGATTTTCAATAACCTTTATTATCTCATCCAAACTGATAACGTTACTTTACATCAGTTGTTCCCCCAAATTTCACGAGCACTTGTGCTTTTTTTAACGGGGATTGTAAACTAAGTCGACGCCGCCGGCCATATTAATGTCGCCAGTTTATGTGGAACTTGAAAGATATTCAAACGAGACTTAATTGAGCGTGAAATGTTTTAAGCTTTGGTCAATCGTAGGTTTCAGCCACGAGCACCAAATCCCAACAGAAATCGGGGAGAGGGTAGGAAAACTTGATAATTTACTCTAAATATACAAAGCTTACCTGAGAAGCAGCCTCGTCGAAGTCAGGAGGTGTACCACCCGTTTAAAGCCTCGTGACTTGCAAACAATGAGCTTCTTTTTTTTCACTCTTTCACCGCGCAGAAAAATGTCGAATTATTTTAGTAGGAATCTTTGGATACTACACCAGAAAGTGAGATCATGAGAACGACGTTCACTGAAAGAGTAACAAAAACCTTGAATTTTAATATATTATATTGAAAGAGTTGATTTCTGGGAATTTCGGTTGACTTCCTGTTTGTGAATAATGTGTCACGCTCCCCAAGCATGGTCACGCAAGACTTCTGAAATTTCCGAAATCAAAAGAAAAGGAACAATTATGCAGTCGAAACTGTATAACGTGGCGCCGTATTTAAAAGCGATCACCCTATATAAAGTGGTTGGCCGTCAAAGTCCTGAAATGTTTCTAATTTTCACTATTTTTTCACCTTTATAAAGCGGTCTCTTCTATTAAGCGGTCGTAGTCACCTTTGACTAAACCTCAACAGCCTGTTTCTCAAGCAAAGATATGAAATAAGGGACCGGCCATTATTTATGTAGAGGAGGGGGAAAGACAAAAATATGTTGGAGGGATCAAAATTCTATAAGCTCTTCCCCTCCCTCCAGGCCATGTAAATAGCAAGTTACCTCCCTTCTTTCTTCAATATTTAGGTGATAACCCCCCTCCCCCTTCGTCACTCGTCACCTCATATCTCCCCTTACACGCTTAGTAATTATCAAAATTCATGTCACGTACAACCATAAGATGATTACTCTGTGTAACAAAAGGACTAATTTATTAGTATAGGTAATAACACGAGGTATTGAAAAGCTTTCACACTAGTTCTGATTCAGAAAGGCTGAAACACTGAGTCAACCAAACCTTCCTTGCTTGGGATGCCCTTTCAGCAATAGGGCAAATTTTGGACAATTTCGGTTAAAGGAAAAAGTTTGGACAAGTTAGGTATATAGCTACATACCAGTATTATTAAGTACTAAAAATTATGTTTTGTTAAATAAATACCAGTATTATTAAGTACTGAAAGTGATGTTCTGTTAAATATAGGGAAATATTTTTTGACTAGGGAAAAGTTGTAGATTTTACAAATTATTCATTCATGGTGTACAGAAGTATAATAGCCATGCAAAAAAACTATTTTCCAATGATTTTTCCACAGTTTGGAAAGGATAATACCTGTAAAGATAAACACCAACAAATTTCGAGAATGCTTAGTCCTGCTGACACGCATACCGTGGAACTTTTTTGAACACTGCAATAGGTCACAAATTTAGTACAGGTAATCACATGATTTCGAGTTCAATTTGGAATAAAGAAGCGTGCGTAAATTTTTGCAAAGACTAACAAAATTGCACGAGCCTGTAGGGCGAGTGTAATTTGTGGTCTTTGAAAAATTTTAAGCATTCTTATTTATTCCAAATTGAACTCGAAAAATCATGTGATTATGTATTAATAATATACATGAAAAAGCACGAGATAACTTATCATAATTATGCAGAAGCACGCGCAGGAGGTACAGAGAGGGGTAAGAGGTGAAAGGTTGGGGGTAATAGATATTTGTGAGTTTCTTTGATTATTGACCAATCAGAATGTCTGGTTTGTTACTTCTTTGCACTGAATTGAACCTCTTCTGCATTGAAAACTGCATTTATCTGAACCAATCAGAACTAAGTAATTTCTTCATGTATATTATTGTTACCAAAATAGTTGTGTTGTAAGCTTCCGGTATTTTCTGGAATACTTTGTAAATTTCTTTAAGGACTCAGTCGTGTAATAGTAGTTACTTGCTGTTGTCGCGAGTGACCGACTGTTTGGAACGCTATACCGAGAGAAAGCCACCGGGGAGATTGGAGAAAATTGTGAGTTTGTGTCAGTGGGGAGCTAAGATACAGTTTGAAGTTAAGTAAGTTTATTGAGGATAATTAGTGTACAGACTTTAAGATTCGCTCTTTATTAAGAATATACTACGCATGCCTATGTTCTCATCTTGAGCCGTAGCGCCAACGCTATGGCATTGCGGGATACAATGTTCGGCGTGATCTAAAAACCGGAAGTTGACCAGCATAATTTCCCTGAATTAACTATTTGCATTTGACCGTTTTATCCTGACGGACACTATTCATGTTGACTCGCTTTCTGAAGAACTCATCAAAGTATCTTCAGTCTTTCCAAACTTTGCAAGTTTAACAGGTTCTTAATGACAAATTCAACGCTCCATCGTCGACGAAACGTCGTTTTAAGATAAGCTTTGAAATAATTCATAAAATTAAGTGGATTTTTTTGTCTCAGCCACTCGTGTTCCATCAGTAACATTGCAAGTTTGTATAAAATAAGAAAAACTATTACATTGTAGAAAAAAAGACAACCCAGTATGATGTATGAGGTCTTGGCTTCATATAATCTTTAAGAAAAGTGGGTCTGCAACAACACACTAGGCTATATGATCGCAGACAAAAACAAGTTATGAAAAGGCTCTCGACCTAAATTAAAGTGCTGTGTCCCTGCTTTCTCTATTTTTTACAAGAATTCTTAGTGAGAACCGAGAAAACTGAGCGTTGCGAGATAATCTGAAACCCGTTTCCTTTTGATTTTGAATATAAATTAACGGCCACGTGTTATGTCCTTTGCGCACTGTAGAAATAGAGAGAGGAACCAGTTGTCACAAACACATGCTTCGAGTGGAAGATGTTGTGAACCACTCCTTGCTTATTAAATAATATTAAACTTGGCAGGTGTTTCCGGTCAGAGAAAAAATTTAAGGCGACAAATCAAAATACGAATTCTTTGAGACATCATTTTACTTCTTTTGAAACAATATAGGTTTAGATGAGTCAACAGCGTATACGTAATTGAATATATATCAGCCCATCAGTGGAAAATGACATCAAGCTGAAATCCAACTCCTAGACAGATTTTAGAATAAATGATCGTCTTCTTTGCTTTTTTCTGTCCTACGTAAAGTAACGAGTAAACCACATGCTGCTCGTTCTTGTTCGTCGCGGCTCGAGTTTGAAATTTTACGAAATTTAGAATGAGAGATTGCCTGATTGCAATGGTTTGTGGCCTTCGAGAGAGCCCTGTCGATTAAGGTTGAGATATATCGGGACATGAAAGGTTCGCATCATTTGCATAATTTTAAAGTTATGAAGTGTTCTTTCTCCGCTTCTTTACTGAACTTACTATGTAGTTTAATTTTTGATAAATGACGGACTGTCCTGGCTCAACTTAAACACTGAAGAATACTGATGTGGTGGTTGCACACCAACGTTCTAAAGAGGCAACGTTGTATAGGGGGATGTAAAAGCTAAGTTTAGCTAGCAGAGAATAACTAAATCGCCAAAGGGGGCTCACTGAAAATGAAATCCTTTCCAAGTTAACTTTTAGAATGAAATAGCCTTTCAGAGGGATTACCTTCGAAATATTATGGAATTTGTCACTTGATCTTATGTTTATTTAAATTTTAAAAAAAACGCTTTAGCTATTTTATGACACACACCCAGGGTAATCTGCAATAGACTGGCCTATTGGGAAAATACTATCCCTCGCGTGATCTTGCGGCGTAACACAATGTTCAGCGTGATCTAAAAACCGGAAGTTGCGTAGCATAATTTCTCAGAAATCAAACGTTTGAAATATTAATAACGAGTAAACCACCCGTATTTGCATTTGACCCTTTTATCCTGTCGGACACCGTTCGTGTTAAGTCGCCTACTGAACAACTCATCAAAGTATCTTCAGCCTTGTAAAATTTTACAAATTTTACAGGTTCTTAGGGACGACATTCAAAGTTCCGTCGTTGACGAAACGTCGTTCTAAGGTAAGCTCTGAAATAATTCATAAAACTGGGTGGATTTTTGTCTCACCCACTTGTTAACAGGTTCTTAATGTTATATTATATATATGAGGCATGAGGTCTTCGTATAGGTCTTTCAGTAAAGTGGGCATGCAACAACACATTAGGCCCGTATGATTGCAGACAAAAACAAAGTATCAGTATGATATTGATCTAAAGTGCTTTGTCGCTACTTTCTCTATTTTCTTATAAGAATGTTTAGTGAAAAACGAGAAAACTGAGTGTTACGAGATAATCTGAAACACTTTTGCTTTTAATTTTGAATATGAATTACCGGCCACGTGTTATATCCTGTGCGCGTTGAAGAAATGGAAAGAGGAACCAGTTCAAAGGGAGGATGTTGTGAACTGCTCCTTGCTTATGCTGCTCGTTCTTGTTCGTCACGGCTCGAGTTTGAAATTTTATGAAAATTGCTTAATTACAAAGGTTTGTGGCCCTCGCGAGAGCCTCGTCGATTAAGGTCGAGATTTATCGTGATATGAAAGGTTCGCATCATTTGTATTATTTTTAAGTTAAAACGTGTTTTTTCTCCGCTCTTTACGCGCCAAACAGCTTACATTTGCACCTGCCATGAAAACGTCCTAAGTCCAATCAAAACATACCCAATCACTGCACTAAAATGAATATTAGGCAGCCTTTCACGTGCTTGAATTGTATTCCAGCCAAATTAGACTTCGCTTCATCTCGTGTCATTTCCATGTAAAAGTATTGCATTTGATCACGTATTCTAACCACATTGCTCAACTCCACGGAAAAAAATCACATGTTACTAAATGCTTCTGATAGTGAATTTTTCACGCAATTCTCTCGCATTTAGACTTTTCACACACACAGAGGGCAAAGTCCAGATAGGCAAGGAGCCCTCTTTGAAATAATATCCTTTCCTCTTGATAATGTATCTTCCCTACTCCTCTACAAAAATATTGACGAGTTCTTTATTTCAACCCTCGCATAGGTAGTCACATGATTTCGAGTCCAATTTGGAATAAATAAGCACGATAGATTTTTTCAAAGACTGAAAAAATTTACAAGTGCTTATTTATTTCAAATTGCACGAGAAAAACCATGTGATTACATATTAATAATATACATAAAAAATATGACTGAGATAGCTTATCATAATTATGCAGAAGCAAAGCGCGTGTATGAACTGAAAAAATTATTTATTAAAATCCTGCGGGTGACATTGTGCGTTCGGTCAAAACAACCGCTTGCGATCAAAGGAATAATATACGATGATATTTTCTCATCTTGAAGGCGCAAAAAAGTTCAAAGTCTGGCGATACAGTTCAAAGCATCGTTTAGTCTGCTTTGTTACTTCTTTGCGCTGAGTTTTCCCTCTTTTGCATTGAATTACCTGAAAACTGCTCTTATCTAACCCACCCGGTACGTTAACACTGGATTCGCTATATTTCTTAAACATGTTTCGTCTTGCCGGCTGGGCAACGACCTAGTGACCCATATATAACTTACTTATTCTCTCTTCTCTAGACTTAGTTCTTGAAAATGCTAAAGCGTGCTATGGCCGTTTGCCCCCAACTTTCTGCCAAATTATGACATGCTTAAATTTCGCCGAAAATTTCAAAATCAACAAGCATTTCACGCCATTGCAAACCCCTCTTCTACTTCGTAAATGTCCTTCATTTTACGTACAAATTGTAGATATATCTTTAATCTTCAAAACTCAGCACATTGATTTGGAAATTAGTACCTCTAAGAGTCAGAAAAGTAAGTTTTGTAAAGCCTAGTGAACAAACTTTGCCCCATTTTTCTCTTAGTTGGGGCTCATCTAAGCGAAGTCACGTGAACTTTAAATGTTGGATTCATTGTCTCCTTGCAATCGTTTTCTTAACATCTATAGAATGCGAAAAAAAGTTATTGGCAACGTGTCGTTGGAAAGCACTAGTTTTTATATATTAGCATTTAAAGAGGTACCACTTCTTATTTCAAGTAGTCTGTGAAAATTCAAACATCAGTCTAAAATAATGCTGGCTGTCACCCCTTACTCCCCGTAGGAGTTTTTTTTTTTTATTTTAGAGTTTTTTTTTCAGGAATTTCTAACTTTGGCTCGAAACAAACAGTTTTAGAAAATTGAGAGTATTTCGACTTTTTTCGAAAACACTGAAACATTTTGCCTCAAGTTATTTCGAAAACCTCATAAAAAAAATCACAAACAAGCAAGTGTGTTATCAATGGAGGCGAAGATTTAGTATGTTCATGTTAATCTGACAACCAGAGCCGATGTGCCGGTCGATGTGTGGCACTCGTTTTTAAGCCTTTTTAAGCTATTATGCCTTTAGGGGGAGGGGGGAGTTCCTCCTATCTATAGGCTCGTAGGGAAGTGCCACTGGATGAAGGTTGCACGGCTGGATTGACTTCAATGGGTTTGCATTTTCAACGCAGTTACTAGTAAGTAGGGATTTAAAAATGGGAAGATTAGCGGTTAAAAAGTTGTTACCCTATTACCAACAGTGACTAAGTTGTTGGTCTATCATTGGCCCAATGATAGACTTAAATGGGACATGCGTTCTGAAAGACCAACGGCGCATGCCACCAAAAAAAACCTACCCAAATACTCTCCCTCGCCCCCAGGTTTCGAAGTTTGCCTTTAAGAGGAAGAGAGGCAGTGATACGTACCGTACTGACATTGGCTAAGTTCCACAAATGCTCGGAGCAGTTACTAATTTAGCGGAATAACCTACATATATGATTTTTTTATGCAGAATGGCCGATGGAGGTAAGGATTATTACTCAAAATTCGACGAAACTGACAGTGACGATTTCAGGGAGGAGTTTAGTGAGGATGACTATGCTCTGAACCTTCGTAAGAGAATTAAGAGATTTTTCTCTGTAGTGGTTTTAATGTATGCAAGTGATTGTCAAACTGAGTTTCCAGGTGGCTCTTTACGGGCCTGTAAAGGTCTGTAAAGTGCCGTTAATCCGGAATGGAGAAGCAGTCTCTTTCTTGTTGTGGGTAGTAACATAACGTTTCAGCTTTCTGTCAAACCACCGGTCGAATAAACGTAGCATCTCAGGTAATTGCTTTGAAAACGTTTATCTTTCGGGTTAATCTTTGTTTTTTCTTTAATCTCTTTTTGTGTGTGTATGTTATTGTTTTTTTTTTTTTTACAATAAAATACCAGCACTGTGTGTTTCTCAACTCATTTTCTCTAAACATTTTTACCCTAACAATGCATCAAACATCGTAACATTTTACTTCTGTTTTTGAAAGCGCGGGGTTCGTCTTTATTCTATGGTCAGCTAAAATGCGGTTTCTCTTCTTGTGGTTGTGGGAGATGAAGTGGACCAAAAGTCAGTGCGCTGGTCATCGGGTGTTGTGGTCCAGGTGCGCGACCTTGCCGGGTCAATATGTTGTGTTCTTAGGCAAGAAGACGCTTATTTTCCCTTCCTAGCGCCTCTCTCCACCCAGGAGTAAAAATGGGTCCTGGCGAATTGTCAGGGAAGCCTGATGAAATGTTGGGGGGTAACCTTGCGATAAACTGGCATCCCATCCAAGGGCGGAGTAGTAATACTCCTAGTAGCTTCATGGAAATCGGGATAAGCTCCGGCTAGATGGGGTACTAGGCTCTAGTACAGACTTTACCTACATGTGGTTGACTCTCCTCCTAGAGATATCAATCTAATAGTAAAAACGAAATAATACGGTTCGCGCGGTTTCATTCCTTGCACATAAACTGTTTTTCGATAATTTAACTTGCGTAGAAATCTAATTTTGTGGTTTCTGCTGTAGCTGGTAGTGAAGAAGGAGAAGAAGAAAGAGAAGAATTCCAACTGGAAGATGAGGAAGAAAAGCTAATTGACGAGAAGAATGAAGAACAATTAGCAAAAGAGCTAGGGACACTAACTATAAATGAAGGTTATCTGACTTGTATCAAATCATCTTTTGCCGAGCTAAATATTCCCTCCTCCAAACGAACCTATAGCAAATAATGTTGCATATTCTGCATCCTTCATTGTCGCCTGGATTTTCGGGAAAATAATCATCACACTACTTAAGTGGTGGAACAGAATTTAGTTTCCTTACACAACAATTTTTTGAACGATGTAAGTGGAGAAGCTGTCATTGTGGACCCTGTACTTCAAACTTAAGAAACTCGACAGAAAGGATGCTTTAACTATCGATAAGATTTTGTACCAGTCTATTTGATCGTTATAGGTGAAGGATCAGAAGAACCTCATGTTATGCGTTGGGTCAGAGAGAGTTTTTATGGCCAAAGAGTGAATACGAGGTAAGGATACAGATCAGACCGCGATTGGTCAGTTTATCGTCGTAAAACGCTGTACTTCCATGCGGGAGGTTGAGGGTTCGAGCCCCAGACCGAACCAACACTCAGAGCCTTAAAATATCTGAGGAGAATGTGCAGCCTTTGTCATGACATCTGCAAATGGTTATACATTCTAGTCTTCTCGGTTAAGGACGTTGTTGTAGGTAATTTAGTGTTAACAACTAGGTTGAAAACGTAAATTGGCCACCGTAAAGAGGAAAAAAGCTGACGTTTCGAGTGTTAGCCCTTCGTCAGAGCAATTGGAGTAATTGCGGGTTGTGTGTGTGTTTATATGCAGAAAGTGGAGCTACGTTATTGGTGGGAGTATTGTGATGAGAAAACAAGAATAAATTAGTTGAATGAAAAGCCCTCGTTGATACCGTGGGGATTGAGAGTGCCGATTTGGAAGATAAATTTTTGCTCTAGTGTTTTGCGGCTTTCCGAACTGCCTAGATGTAAGGAAAGGCCGCAAATTACCATATGTTGTTTAAAATGATTAGGGAGATTAAAGTGTCTAGCGACCGGTTTGGATGCGTCCTTGTTATTTCTTTCCACGTCGCGTAGGTGTTCTCGGAATCGGTCACCTAGTCGTCTTCCTGTTTCACCAATGTATAGCTTATTGCAACAAGTGCAAGTTATGCAGTCAATGACATTGGCGGAGGTACACATAAATTGATCAGTGATCTTAATGGATCTCTTAGGTCCCGATATTTTCTCTACGTTATGAATGAAAGGACAAGTTTTGCATCGTGAGCGAGCGCGTTTGAAAGTTCCAGATTGGTAATGGGTTTGAAATGAATTTCTGACCAAAAAGTTGCCTATGTTTTTGTCACGTTTGAATGAAATTAGTGGGGGTTTCGAAACGATAGTGTCAGTCTCTGAATCGTTTTTGAGTCATTTAGACTTTTTAAGAATGAAAGATTTATCCGCGTGGTTGTGAGGGCGAAATATGAGAGTGAATGGAATGCGGTCAGTCTTTTCCTTCTCAGCCGTTTGTAATGCTGACTGTCGATCAATTTGTTGGGCGCGATGGTCGCCCACCTGAACGACAGAAACAGGATAGCCACGTTTATCGAAAAACTGGCACATTTGCCTCTGATTTTTCGGAAAAATCAGATTCGTCACTAAATAAACGACGAAGTCTGAGAAACTGTGAAAAAGGTATGGAGTTCTTGACGTGTGATGGATGCGAAGATGAAGAAGGACGCTGATGTGTTGCGTTTTGGTCTTGTTATTGTTTATACATTTCAAATATACCCCATAGGTATTTTCTACATTGAAAGAGGTGGGGCAGTAAGGGAGGAAGAAAAAGTAGATGGAAAGAGAATTTATAAGGCACGTGAAAATTTATGAAATGACGAATTTTAAATAGAGAATTACAAGCACCCAGGAATGAATCAATCGTAAATTTTTCGTAATTCTGATAGTAAGAAATTTAGAGTTTGAGTTGCAGCTGCATTCAGCGACCTAAAACTTAAAATCCACCTAATCTTGGAACAAGCATTTAATATTTTGAGAACGAAAAAATGTTTCCTTGAGGAAGAAGTACTAAGTATCCCTTTTCTGCTCAACAGGTTTGTCAACATCCTGACAGACTTTGCAGACGCGGAGATTTTCCTGATTGACGGCGATTCCTTGCTGTTAGAAATTGTTGGTGAGAAAAGCTTGGACTGGAATAACGGGGGACAGTTTCTTCATCTAACTTACTTAACGGAGCGATTTTTGCAAAAGTTTACAGAGAAAGGTTAGTGCAAAGATGGCTGAACGCTTCCAACAGGGCAGTTTTCATAAGAATGCACATATAGGTTATCTTCACCTCAAACTCAAACTACATTTTGGTTCTTATAAAATGAAAGTAGAATAAGCGCGGCGAGGAAGTCAGATGATGCTGTTAATTTTCAAAAATAACAATCATATGTTGAAGTCACCGTTTAGTTTCCTCTCGTTTTCTTTTTCACTTGCAAGGAATTACTCGCTTAACTCTAAGTCGTATGAAGTTTTCGTCCTTGCATTGGCATGTTGTTATTCCCCAGTGGAGGAGCTTTCTTTACTCTCCAGAACAAACACAAACAGCCCCATTGAAGTGCTCAATGACGCCATAACTATTTTCACTAATGAGGATTGGAAATGTACTCGAGTCCAGTATGTTGTTTTTCATGAGTTTTCCCAGTGGTGTATTGTATAACAAATTGATGAATACGATGAATGGGATAACAGGTGACGTGACCCCCCTTACTTGATCGCCCCGAGTTCCGTCGCCCCCAAAGAAGCACCGTCGCCCCCCAATGAAGTTCCGTCGCCCAGAAATATGGTTCCTCTATTAAACTTAAGTCAACAGTTAGGGGCGACGAATGCATACCTCAGAGCGACGGAATTTTTATGGGGCGACGAAAATTGGGGCGACAGTGCAAGGAGGCGACGTCACCTACAACTGATGAAAGGTTATTTCCCGTTATTATAATCCACTCAAATTTTTCATCTTATGAATGGTGGTTGTTCCTTTCAAGGTGGCGTTTTCCACATCGTCTTTCTTAGAGAAATGGAAATTATGTGGAGAAGTAACCCGTCCTTGCTGCTCGCTCGAGAAGCTCTTATTCTTCATCTCCAGCATAACACAGATTTTGTTGTGAAAACTTCAATGGTGGATTTCTGGGGACAGGAGTGGAATGATTACGTTAATGACGAAGTTCCTGCGTTCTTGCTGTTGACAGATGCTGAAAACATTCCTTGGAAGCATGGCAACCTAAAAGAAAAGATGGAATATTTTTTCCGCTGTCTCTTGTTTCATTGCCTTGCACATGGATTGAATTGTGTTTTTATTTCGGGCATCCAGATAACTGCGACCACAGTGATGGGATTTTACATCGATTCCTCGACTATTCACAAAAACTACTTTACGAAGGTAAAAACAATTCTTACCGGAAACTAACAAATTATCAAGAGGCGTAGGACTAGACTGATCCACTTTTCAATTCACTGCTATTGCTTTGATTTACCTTTAGATGCGTGACTGGTCGAGGAAACTCATATTTCCCAGTTAAAAAAGTAGTTGCAAAACTGAAGGAAAACTTGACATGGCCACTGACTTCTCCCCCACACACCCACGTCTGCTTGCTTCCTGTTCGTTGGGACCTCGTGATATTTTCCTCAGTATAATTGACCATTTTAGTTAATATGGTCTCAGATTAATTATACCCAGTTGACGATAAACCCTTAAGGCTGCTTTTCCCTCTCACTACCTTCATTTGGAATCAGTTGCAATGTGTATGAAATATGAATAAGTACTTTTTTGCACAGAAACATCCCCTTTATTGGTAATAGAACTAAGTTTTACAAAAGTGTTTAATTACATTGATTGGTTTTTTAGTTTGAACAGCCAATATGGAAAACATGGCAATTTCTAGTGAGTGGCTGGCAGGATCAGGCATATAAATCCTCTCCGAGATGGTCGGAGACTTTTCCCCGAGATGCTCTGGTGGGTGATATACGACACAATAAAAGTGCACCATTAAGGTTTTATCTAAAATACATTCATAACTTAACAGTCTCTCATGAAATATTCATTTTGGAAAGTCTTCTTGCTGAATGCTCAATTGAATCGATGCCAAGCAACGCAAAATCAATTTTCCTGTTTTTCAAATAATCAAATATTTTATTCCAAATTGAAAGTTTGGATCCTCAAAGAAATTTTGAGAAGCACTTGTCTCTAAATGTTACTTCTCATTTTGCACACATGATTGCATGCAGATTTGACCATGACCGGGTAACAGTAATCGGATTTGAACTCTGAAAAATTAATTTCACACAATTTGGGGGAAGGAAGCGCTTATGTATGTAGGATTGTGGTTGTTCTTGATATTGTCGTTTGCTGGTGATTAACCAGTTGGTATTGATTTATTTATTTTCTTACTTTAACACGTGAACGTACCTCAGATTGATGTGCAAGCAGAAGTTCGCAAAGCTCTTCAGCGTCCTCCACAAGGCGGCTGTCGACAGGTTGCCGCCGTCCTTGGGTGTGCCCTGATCCTTTTTAAAGCTGTCAAAGACTCTAGAAACACCAAGGTACGTACGGAAGGGACACATTAAGAGCAATTAAGAAATTTCTAAATAACTGTCTATTCAAAAATGTTACTCACGGAATGATACTGAAGTCTATCTTTCCACTACGCTCACAGAAAACGATGAAAACTGCAGAGGACAAAATGAAGCTTTTCTTGCTTCACATTGTATTACTGAACAAACTGCCGTTGAAGTGTAGAGCTCACTTCATAGACGAGAAGTTGTTGAATGAATTCTGCAGAGCAAAGGATGGTAACGTCTTTCCCTTCAACGAGGTCAGTAAGGTTATGTAACAAATTATCGTGCTGTGGACTCTCTCGCAATCGACACTGTCTTAAACGGAGATGTGCAACTTCGACTGCATCGTTTTCCAGACAACAATGCATGATATACATTATAGGCATGAAGCGACAAAACACGGTTAGCTACCTCTTTTATTTCCTATTGACGTCCATATTGATAGCGGTAACCGAGCCTCGACGAATTAGGGAAATCCTGGAGGTGAAGAATTTTCTAAAGAATTCGGTATAAAGGAGGTGGTCTATCTCTTCCTGCAGTGTATGAATAAGCAAGGCTTAGTTATTAAAATTCCTTTTGCACTTCATACCTCCATTTTCGTTTTGGAAATGTGTTCATCTATTTTGCAGTTTTGCCCTAGAGAGGATTTACGTTGAAAGGAGCTACGTCTCGTTGCTTCGCATTTTTGTAAAGCTTACAACTTTTAAAAAAAAAAAAAAAAATCACCCAGCACTCAAACGCGTGATGCATTTATTACCTGCTGACAGATCCATTCGTGTTTATGTGAGATTTTAAAGACAGTACAAGATGTGCAGGGGGATGCAAATAGAGACCAAACAGGCAATGACTTTTTTAAGTCAGTAGCAGATTTAATGGATGGGCGTCTGGTCCATACTGTCTTTTCCGCTGTCTTGCAACAAAGGTCAAAAGGCGTTGAAGGTGGGTTATAATCAAAGTGCTCTGTGAGCAAACTCGTGAATTGACAGATGACTTACATGATTTTTTGGATTGTGTTTAATGTAATCTGGTTTAGGGAATTTTGTGGTTGATTGTCATATTTAGAGTACGAGCAGTAGTTCAGTGTTCACTAATAATGTAGCAAAGAAACAAAGTAACATTGGGATAAGAAGGCGTTACAATTGAAATGATCATGCTATTTCATTTGACAAGGGTGGATGATGTCATGTGTTTCAAACATATATTATTTTTGTTTCTGGTTCAAAAGAAAAATTTGGTAGTAAATGTGGGTGAAAAGTGAAATTTACCGTCTATCATTGTAAATATTGGAAAATCAAGGCAATACTGTATTAATGAAAACATTAACGATTCTCTTTTTATCAAATAAGACAAATGGAAACGAGTTTTGAGTGGTATAACTAAGCCCAGACTGTCACCGTCATTTTGGATTTACGCCTGGGTAGATTTTGGTCACGTGCTAGGCAATGTATAATCGAGTTAACAAATAGATTCCAAGTTGCCGTGCGTCTGTTCAGTAATAGATCACAGAGGACGTCAAAATGTGGTAAGAACATAAAAGTGGCACACGAGGCGCAGCCGAGTGTGTCACTGAACAGACGCACGGCAACTTGGAATCTATTTGTTTTATATTATAAAGAATTAAAATATACGGAAAAAAGCCTTTTTATTTCAAATTTCCCCACTTTGACAAACACGAAAATAGCTTTTGACGTAATCTATTGTCTATACAAAATGAAGCGAACTGATTGGTTGCTACGCTTAGCAAAGAATTGTGATTGGTTCAAAGAATCACGCCACTGTCAAATTTGAATCGAGCGTCGCTTGTCCTGGAAGAGATAATCGCTTTGAAAGCTGAATCAAAACTGCGTAATCAGCAAATCTGATACAAAATGCCGCAAAAAATCAAGTCACTTTTTGTCATCAGAGCGGCTCTGTAAGCCGAAAAACACCTGGACGTTGCCCTGAATATTACAGGAGTTAAAAAAGCCACTCGGAAAGCCTTCGGTTGCGGTCGACATCGAAACGTTGGAGGCCATTCGGTTCGAACTTTGCATGAGTGTAGCACTAGACTGTGGAACGGGCTGGCTCGAATTTTGGCAAGGTCAGATGGTACAATAACTGGCTTATGTTGAATATTTTCTTAGCCAGCGCGGCGGTTGATTCTGAGTTTGGCGTCGAGAATTTTGTTGCTGTTTTGAAATACTTGGTTTTTTGATATTTTCAATGTAACACCGTTGTTGTTTAGGTGTCGTTCAATGGGATTGCGAAAACCGAGAAGAGCTGAACGACTGTACTCTTCGCCTTTTTTTGTTCTGGCTTCCACATAAAATCTTGCTAGGTTTTGGTCTAATTCCTTACTGTTCATTTTAAGAAGTGGTGTTGTGATGTTTCTTTCCTGACACCAATCTGTGTAAACAATTATTTTGACATTGAGAAAAAAATTTTTTTTATTCAAATGAATCAATCTCAGACAACTTTTGCTTATTGAGTTCATTAATTTCGAAGCAAAGCAATGGCTTCTTACCTTGAAATAATTCACTACCCATTTTGTGTTTCTTTTAGTCGCGTTCGACTGCGACTGCTCAAGTAGTTTTGTCAAGTCGTTTTCGACAGAGAAACGTGATTTTCTTTCTTTCTCCTGTTTATCTAACTGTCCACAGCCTCGACAAGACTTTTTTCGAAATCTTCGTTCACCCAGTCAGCTAAAATATCGTCTAAATTTTCAAAACTTTCCGCCATTTTAGAATAACAGAGAGCAAAAGTTTTAATGATGACGTCATCTATGCGTCTGTCCTCCAATAGATCATAAGTGAGAACCAATCAGAATGCGTGCATAACTGAGCTTATTATATAAAACAAAATCGAATTTCATTTCAGGCATATTTATCAATTTTTGTGGTGTGCAACTTTCGCATTTCGCATATTTATTTTGAATCTTCAAATTGTCTTGAAACTTAAAAGAAAATTATTCTTTAAAAATTTACTGAAAATCGGTAGCAGAAGTATTTGTTTAGGTGTTGTTCCATTTTCGTGTTTACTTGTAATTTCGTCAGTCGCCGGCACTTTTTGTCGCTTCACACGGAAAAAACACACGACATGAGATGTAATGATCGATTTTGTCCCCAGTCTCACGCCATAACAGAAAAAGCATTTGAACACCTGTAAACTCCGAACGCTTCGGAGTGAGTGATATTTTTTATGAATCTTCGGATTGTTTTCAAGTTCAGTGATTGTAATTTACAATTTTATGAAAAACGGAGGTTGTTCTGTTATTTCAGTGTGAATCCTCGCACGCCTGCCAGTCGCTGGCGCCGCATGTTGAAAATAAAGCGAAAATAAAGGAATTGCTGTTGAGCAGTAAGCCGGCTTAAGAAAACTGGTCGATTCTATCAGAAAAGGTTAACGGCCAGAAGCAAGAATTACAAAAAAAAAGACTGTATCATGGTGCAGTTCAGTACGATAAACGTTTTGTTTTCATTACACGCACTGTTAATAAAAATTCCAGTTGAAATGGAATTTCCTGATGGAGAAATAGAATTCTTTAGGACTGTTAGGACCGTTAGATTTATTGTTTTGTTATGTTTTGTTTGGATATATTTGTCGTTCTTGTTCATTATGTTGTTTTTCTACTTGCTTACTTTGGTGGGAGAGCACACAGGTACACGTTAGCTACAGCCGTGTTTATCATATCTACAGTTTTCACTGAGCTGTATGCGTGCAATAGCTTGTAACTATCCAAATTTAACTACACCTGTAGTTATATCTTCTTCATAATCATTTTGTATTGGTATTAGGACTCAATCTACCAGGAGATATCATCAGAGAAGTAGAAGATGCGTGGCAAAATGTTGTAGATGTTGTAAACAGGTCATGCGGATCCCATTCTCTTGAGGCCGAGTTTTTTCCCTTTGCCGAGGATTTGGCAGATTTTCATGCGGCAGTTGGTGAGAAATGTTTCCAACAAATTCCTGTGTGCAAATCAATTTACTAATTTATATCTCCTTTACTTAATTTATATCTACGTTCTCTAATTGAAGGGTTTGTTTTTCGTTTCATTTGACATGGCTTGTGAATTTTCCTTCTTTACTCTTCTTTCGATCATGGAAACATGGTTTAACCTTGTTTACTTCAATTACTACATTACTTTTTTTCACAGTGTTGCACGTAAGAGACAAAAAAGTCTTTAAAAAGTCTTACTAGGACTGAAAACATTTAGGGGCTCATTTTTTTTCTGCCTCAACAGTTTCGGTTGTGCGTTCTGATGCAGACTCCACCATGAAGCTTAGGCGACTTACTGAGGTGCAAAGTGATCTTGTGAATGACTATGCTGGAGGAATTCGGAAAGAAATTAACGCCATGTCAGAGTAAGATAATAAAAAGCTAACGCCTTGTCTTTCATGTGGCTTTATGCTTGGTTTTTCCTCGTTGGGGGAACTTGTTAAGTCTGCGCGACTCGTCCTTGTCCATTTGTGTCCATTAAACTCGCAGTTCGTGTGGCTTGCGACTGCATTTTAACAAAGTTAAACGAGATGCGCAGTTTTCAAAGCCGCGAAACATTAGAGACTAGACCAGTGATGCTGCTGGTTATGTTGGGCGTTACTGTCAATGTACAATTGTTGTTGTTGTTGTTTCCACAAATTATGACTTATTCATTGATTGAGTGTTTCTATTTGTCCTAAATATAAATACAATTGGAATGCTAATTTATGTACGGTCAAGCTCGAAAAATGCAACGACAAGAAATTTGTCGAGCTTCAGAAACTTTTCCCTTTTATTATCAACTACGAGTTCAACAAGTTTCCAAATATTCCGAGAGGATGCAAGACTAACTGAATTGATGAGTTTAGTCAAGTGAACTCAACAGAAACCCTGAAAACGATTGCTGTTTTATTTTATTATGCAGTTTGTTTGTTTGTTTTTTGTTTGTTTGTTTGTTTGTTTGTTTTGGGGATATTATTTAATGCTTGGTTTGTTCATGCACCGCAGAGAAATGAGTGATGACGAGATACTTAATGTTGGCCGAGAATTTGATGAACGATACCACTGGCATTCTCTTAAGCCTCTTTCTGATGATTACGACAGAACAAAGAAATCTATAACCGGTAAAATACCTCCAAGTTTATTGATATTGAAAGTTAACCAGCAAATAACTGTTTTCACTGTATGAAATCACAGCACATCTTTAAATTATGTTGTCAATACATCTCTTTTCAGAAAAACCTCCAAAAGATCTTTGTCAAAAGAAACAGTATTTTCGAGCTAAGCAGAAATATATTCGCTTTCAAAGATTCTACGGCAATTCACTGGTTGATGGCACTGATCAACAAAAAGTCATCGTTGTCCAAGAGCCAGGGTCAAAGAAGAAAAAAGGAGGAAGAAAGGAAAGTAAACAGGTTAGTTTGTTTTTAGTCCTTCATAACAATATTTTTGAACACTGTTGGGACGTTTTATTCGAATAAGATATGAGACATTTTGGGTGTATTGCATGATTTTTTTTCTCATTTGTTTGTTTGTGTTTTGTTTTGTTAATTTTTTTGTTAGAGGGAAACTGATATTCACCCTCCCTGGGAATGTAGAGTAGCCAATTTAATTAGATATATTTGAAGAGTCTACCCGACAATCACTTCGAAATTCCAGTCCGAGAAAGGTGTTTTCCGAACTTGTCTTAAGAAACACACTCACTTTTGATTTTTTTACAGGGCAAAAAGGCTTTGGAAATAAAAGAGGAAAATCTTAAAAAAATTACCAGTAAGTCGTTTACATATAGTTGTACCTCTGAAAAGGATCATGTCCATGAAATATCATCACTTTCATGCGTTTCGTAACTGTTTCGCTGTATTACTTCTATGTGCCATAAGTAAGGAGCAAGCGTGATAAGATGACAAGTAAGGAACTGATCTTCTCAAGTTTACTGAAATTTGCGACAATACAAAATTACGGAAGAGAGCAAATTCTGGCCTCCATGGTAATTAAATGAAAACCGTGCCTCTGTGCCCTGGATATACGAGGTTAAATATCCTGAGTACAAAATACCTGTGCTCTTGCAAGGGATGCTTGTTTTGTAACTAACATGATCAAGACGTTGATTTCAATAAAAAGGATTGAAATTTACTTTTTTTTTAACAGAGAAAGCGGCATCGAAAGATCAAACAAATTGGGATACCATTATGATGGACATCAAAAAATGTCTGAAGAGAGATAACTTCAGCAATGCTCTTGAATTAGTTGATAACTATCTGTCAGATTGTAAATCTCCGAAACTTCGTTTTCACGCACTCATGACAAAAGTCGACAGTTGCTTTGAAGCCTGGAAACAGACAAGTAAGTCTTAGTAAAACAAAGTGTTTTCACAAGACATTACGGTAGGTAAATTGGGAAGGCGGCCTCATGCATGTTGGTGTTCCAAGTCAGTTTTCTGGGATCGGAACTCGTTTTTTCATGTAAATCCCTTCGATTCTATAAATAAATTTACCTGCGACTTTAAACGCGTTGAAAAAGCTCTCTTGGGAGAACAAGGATGGAATTTCAAAAGTAAAAAATCTAAGAGCGCATTCGCGCGACAAGAATATTAAAGTTGCACTGCAGTTTAACAAATTACCATTTTTTTTTTCACTAGGAGATGCTGACCCAGAATCTAATGATGTGAAATATACAGTACTTTTGATGGAAAGTGTCCACAAAATTACTCAAGAGTTATCAAGGTTTCTGAATGATAACGACAGAAAGAAACTAGCCAAAATAATGCGAAAGTTGGGATTTGACGACCTTGTTCCTTTGTTTTATGAGATGCCACCAGATCATGAAAGAAAGGTAAATATATACCATTTCATATAAACTATTCAAAGTTTGCATGCGAATCTTGCTCAAATGTAGTCTTTACAGTCTTACTCTCATTATAATTCAAACGACTCTAAAGAAGAAAGACTCTTAAAGAATCTCGAATCTCATAGACACCGTTATACACTATATGTCGTTCGAGATTACAGTTAAAAAACAATAAAAGTTACTAGTGAAGAAATGATCATCGGAGATGAACTGCAATAAAGTAAATTACAGGAAAGAAGCCTATGGCAGGAGACATGTGACATGTGAATGAACATGTTAAGGATTATCAAACAAAATTTGCGTACATGCTTACCGTGACATAGTTCTTAACTGTTGATAATAATATAAAATCATTTTTTTTAAAGATATCCTTTTGTCCAAAGATATTGTTAGAGACCAATGAGGTAAGAGAGGTAAAATGAGGTAAAATGTCTTTTGAACCTAGAATGAACGGCTTTTTGTTCACACTACAAGCACCAGATTCCAACTTGAATACATGGGGAATTTGTTGAAGCGGGAAGAGAGAACTGATCCGGACTCTCGGGTTGAACATATCCCGGATACATGGCAGGTATGCATGAATGTTCCGAAGTTGTACGGCACACAAAAGCACTCACGATGTACTGACAATTCCCGGGTTTAATAACGAAAATGAAACGAAAAATTACAAAATAACTGGCCTCACGATCCTCGTGTTGTTTGCGTTGTTTGTCCTCAAAAACCTCCTTCTTTCACAATACTCTTCTGTCTCCTATTACAATTTCACTTGTCAATCATATGAATACTAAATGTGATATCCGGTTGTAACGCTAGACAGTCACGCTAGTTCCGGTCATGAATATAGATCCTTTTTCCATACGTAAGAAAAAAATATGGTCATAATAGTTAAAAGTTATGGTAACTGCCCTTCCGAGGCGGTTTTTTTCGGTATCACTTTGTGCAAGCTTAGGAAATTTTTTACGTTAACGCCGAAGTGTCTTTTATTCATTTCGAAGCGCGAACTTCTCGATGCTGTCGATAACAATGAATCAGCTGTGATAGTAGCACCAACTTCTTCAGGAAAGACTTACGCCTCCTACTACTGCATGGAGAAAGTTCTGAGGCAAGACGATGATAGTGTAGTGGTCTATGTCGCACCGACAAAGGTAAAGTGGCATTATTCCCTGACATTTTATTTCTGTAAGGAGACTATCCCGGCCTAGTATGTATCGTGGCAGGGTTCAAGGAAAAGTGTGCTAAAAAAACCATTTGATTAAACATATAGAAATGTTCCACTCACCAAAGTTTGAGAGTCCAAAGAATGTACAATTGAATGACCTTGCCCTTTAGAGTTGTCTTTAAAATTCGACCATAGGCGAAAAACGACTTAATAACTTGGCCACTTACGCAAAACCGCGCGACGCCTTTCACCGATATATGCTGTGTGGTAGTCGCTGAGACAATGTTTTTTAGTTGTACATATAAGAGAGAGAGAGCCAACAGTGGAGTGAACGTAAGTGGCCATGTTGGTAAGCGAGATTCAGAATGTAGCCTCCGCAGTTTAGCACATTCGAATACAAGGTGACGAGGTGAGGTAACTCATTGGAGTTTCAAAACGCGGTCAGCGGCATGATTTTCTTTATACATTTTATTTGTGAAGGGAAACTTTATATGATTCCTGGTTCATGCTTCCCCTTCAATGGCTGAAGGGCCCACTTCATCTGAACGTGCTTCAAAGTTCAAATTCTCACCTAAATCTCAGCCAAAAATTGTCTGGTTTGTTGAGTTGAATAACATCCACTCGTATGTACATGTGTTGTAGAAAAGCTATCCTTATTTAGTTTTGATCATCATCAATGCATGTCACAAAAGAGCCCTATGAAGCCAAAATTTTGATAAACTTTCAAATTTATTCATTTCTCACCTTGGTCAAGTCTCGAATAACCGTGTAAGAGTCAATAAGATCCCATTTAAGTTTTGAACCCATGTAGAATAATTTAAAGAAACAGTAAGACAATATTGTTGTCTTATTTTATTTACTGCATCATTATGATCACTAATAAATTCTTACTGTCCCTTAAGGCTTTGGTCAATCAAGTCGTTGCTACAATTTATGCGCGGTTTACAAAAACGATGCCTGGTGGTAGATCAGTGTTCGGTGTTTTTACGAGGGACTATTGTCACAACGCACTAAATTCTCAGGTAACTCGAAATTAATTTGAAAATCGGTAGGCTTAGTAACTTTCGTTTTCCCTTGGATCAACTCATCTTTTTTGCAAAAGTATGAGAAAATGCCTCAGATCTCACTGGCTTAGAAACTTACAATTGTTGGGTAAATACTTTTAAAATTTAATCCTAATACAGAATGAGATTTCAAAAGTACCTTTCTGTTTGCCATTTTACCTACAGATTCTTGTTACAGTCCCCCAGTGTTTGGAGATCCTCTTTCTCTCTCCGCACAGACAGCATTGGACGAAGAACGTAAAATACGTTATTTTTGATGAGGTAAAAGAGCATCATATCCTTCTGTTGCCACGCCAACAAGTGAACGTTTGTTGAACATGCAGTTTCACTGAGCTTGTTTGTTCAGCTAAGTAAATGAGTTTATTGAAAAAGCTATTATAGGCTTCTTCCTACATGTCTGTTTCCTTCGTACTTCGTATTTAAATAGAATGTTGTTTCATTATGAGTTGCAGTTTCATTAACTAAGTCATGGAACAGTTTGCCCTCTCAAGTATGTCTCTCAAGGGATGTAAATGACTTTAAAAGTAAATTGTAAGATTGTAGCTTTTAGAACGTGTCTTATAGTCTTCTCGTCACGTTTTTAGCTATCTTATAGATTTTTTGGTTTAGGATTTAGCTTTTTTATATTTTACGTATTTATTGCTAGTTGTTGTATGCTTACTGAGTTTTTTAAGATGGTGTGATATTATATGTTAGCTCTAATTAGTTTAGATCTTATTTATACAGATTCTTATTTTGAACGAATTATTAGCTCCTCGACGAGACGTGTTAAAATAAATAATTGATTGATTAATTGATATTAAGTTATCTATTTTAACCCTTATCCGCAAGTGTATAATTTAAGGGAAATAAGTCAGACTGAAGTAAATTCTGTGACGCTCTACATAGGTTCACTGTATTGGTTCAGAAACTGGAGCTGAAGTGTGGGAGCATCTCCTTCTTATGATTCGCTGTCCCTTCCTGGCGCTATCAGCAACCATTGGAAATCCAGAGGATCTAAGACTGTAAGAATTGAAGAGATATCAGTTTTTCTCCTGAAGGCTTCTGTTGTACTACTAGAAGTATCATATTTGCTATGACTTTCTTTTTGATAACAGAGGTTAAAAGCATTCATTCTCTTACGTACAGCTGGCTGCAAGCCGCCCAAGACTTTCATGAAGAGCAGGACAGGAAAAACAATGAAACTCTGAGGGAGTCATATCGGATCAGATTAGGTGGGAAACAATACTTTGAAATGCTTATCCTTGAGTGCTTTTTCACCTATTTGTTATTTACTCCTCTTATTTCGCGGAAACAAAACAGTTTAATATCGATAATGCTGTTGATAGACTTTCTCTCAAGACGGCCTTTGAACTCAGAGCTATTTCTTTTTATTTATTTTTTTTTTTTTCGGGAGATATTTGCAACACGACGGTTCGCGAAGGTATACTACTTCTTGTTAAGCATAAAGTCGAAAATTTTCTTTCTTTTATAGTGACACACCATATCAGTTTTTACTGAGGAACTTATCTCTACTTATTCTTATTTTTTCATTGATTTCTTCTGATTCCTTGCCTATTTTTAAGTTCAATTTGAAGAAAGATACTCCGATCTGGAGAAGAGCATTTTCCTTCCAAGTCCTAATAACGAAGGACAACATGTGAACAACGACAGCGACAGCAAGGAGTTCGTGAGACTTCATCCATGTGCCCAGCTAGGTTTCAAACAGGTTAGGCGTTTGATTCTTCTTTAGTACATTCAAGATTTGTAAGCTTTAGAAACTCTTTACAGTGGCCAATTTACATTATCACCTCAGTTGGTAGAAACAAATTATCTTGTTATACTACCAATGACGCAGCACCACAGTTTCTGTAGAAGGTTACCCCCTTTATTCAAGATTTTATCAGTTTACTGTTAGTGACATAAGACAACAACCAAAGTGAACCATAAGGTTGCAATTCACCGATGAAAATAATCGCGATTTCATTGATTTTCCCTCAGTCTACAGGTGGAAACTGCATTATTACACCTGTGATATTTTATTCTTTTGTTTATAATGCTTATAAAATAATTTAAGTAATGTGTTCTTTCTTTTGACATCCGTTTATTCGTTTGCCTTCGATCTCGATTCAATTCTCATAACAGTGCGTAGTTTTCTTCTACATCGCGCAGAATGCTATTGTCTTTCGCGACATGTACTTACAGTGCCCAGTTTATCAACGACCAGAATACAATTTGCATGTCTAGAACTTATCAGCTGTGATTGGTCAACAAATTTAGCTTTGGGAATACTTGAGTCGCACTGTAGATTTCAGTTGCTGTCAATCAAACGGTTTGGTGCATGATGTCAGTCCCAAGATGCGATAGAGTTAACAATAGCACGTACACTAATTAAAGAATGGAATCAGGTTTTAGTTCATATGCTAAGATGAATATACTTGCGGAGGACTATACACGGGGAAAACTATACACGGGGAAAATTATACACGGGGAGGACAGACCCATAAATGACGTCACCATCACCGACATGTCGCTCAAATAAATTCTATGCTGCGATGCCTCTGTACAGCCGTAGATCACAGTAGACGACAAAATGTGGTAAGCATATCAAGAGCAAACTCGGCTGCACCTCGTGTGGTACTTTTTGTTCTTACCACATTTTGACGTCATCTGTGATCCATGATTGAGTAGACGCATGGCAACATGGAATCTATTTGTCAAGTTCTGAGGGTTTAGACGAAAAGCTAGGCAAAAGCTAGTCCGATATATGGCAAAATCCATGGATTTGTAACCCTTACGCTACCCTCCCTTTAATTCGAGGTACTTACCCAAGAGTCTCACAAGCTATTTTTCTTACACAAACAGCTTTTAGAAAATGGTTTTCCAGGTGATATGGCACTTACACCAAAAGAGTCTCTGCAGTTGTATGACACTATGGTTAGTGTGTGGCCAGACTGTGAATCACTCCAGGTCAGCGCATTTTTCATTAATATTTCAATCTTGTAAATGCCGGTTGAGAAACAATGGTTAATGTGAGTAAAATTTCTCTCGGCAGCATCTTTGTCCTGAAACATATTTCCTGGAAAATAAATTGATCCAAAAGCGTCATGCTCGGCAATACGAGAGAGACCTGAAGAGGGAGTTCAAGTCTTGGGCAGACAGCACAGAGTTGACAAAGGTAAAAACGTAGGGGTCGTGGGGTTCATATCCTGTACATGCCTGCATTTTTCAGGCTTTATTTTCATTACTGCTTGATTAGCTTTCAAAACTGCATTGATGTCTCTCATTTCCAATTATCAATCCGCAGTTTTAAATATTTCTTATTCATTTATTGACAGTCTTTCTTTTTTTGTTTCGCATCGCATAACCATGCTCAAAAACAAATGCAAATAAATTTTTTAACAAACAATAAAAACGAAACACGCACTTTGTAGGATACAGGCTCTAGTTGTATTGTGTATTGATCGTTGTTTTTGTTTTCTTAGGTTCAGTCAGTTATTAATTCTTTGAACTCAGTTTTTTTGGAAATTCATTCGTCAACTGAAGAACAATGGGGTGAACAGAGAATGACTTCGTATGGTAAACCATTCATAAAGAAAACTTTTGAAAAACTTATCAACGAACTCAAAGCCCAGGAGAAACTGCCTGCCTTGGTATTTAGGTAAATGAGAATTATTAAGAGTCAACTTTAATGAACAACACTAGATCTTACTCAACCCTTTAACACCCATGAGTGACCGAGAGAGAATTTCTCCTTACAATATCAACTGAATTCAATATCAAGAAGACAAGTGATGAGAATAGGGAACGTGTTAAATGAATGACGGAAACCTAAATTTTCCCGCAATTATTTCAACAAGTCCATAATTATTCATCGTGGTAAAGTACATTGATCATGAAATATTGATGTCTGCGCCACGATGCAATCGTTTCTAGTGTGGATCGTAACTGTATGTTAAATTTAACTGTTGGTTATTGTCAGGCCTACAGGTCGACTGGTTGAGCGTCAGCTTTTGAAACATTGAGCATTGCTGTGATTATTTTGCTTTCAACCGCTACCTTCCAGGCTCTCCTAATGTTGTATTTTTTGTTATTTTGTTTTGTGGGGCTTCCATCTATCTTGGATAACATTTCATTAACTCTTAAAATCCTAAGAGTGACTATCATCTAATTTCTCGTCAAAATATCACTCTTGAATCACATACTAAGGTCATGAGCGTAAAGGAAATAGTCGCTAAGGAAGGAACCCTTTGATTGGCAAACAAATTCTCCTTATCAGCATCTAAGGAAATGTCTAAAGAACAGAAGGGAGAATATGCGTACTGATGTTACGGTGTAAAGGGTAAATGAACGAATATCCGTGAAGAAAATCCAAATGTCAATGTCAAGATATGTGTAATTCTTCTTCATAGTGATGATCGTAGACTCTGCGAAGTTTTGGCCCTCAGTTATGCTCAGAAACTAGAAAACAAGGAAGCAATTATGCGAAGAGAGGCCGACACAAAAGAATCAAGACTTGCACAGAAGAGGCAAGAAAAAGCTGAAAAAAAGTTGCAGAGAAAAAGAGATGAATTACAGAAAGAAAAAGAGAAAAGGTAGTCAGTTCAGTGATTTTTCTGCCTTGTTCAACTTATGATCGTGAAACTACAGTTGTGTACAACCTTTGTGACTTGCCTTTTTCCTTTTCGTACATTTATTGTTCATTCTTTTATTTAGACGGTTTTTCAAAGTATCTTTTTAAGTTCAGGGGTTCTTCTGTAGCAGAGCTTGAGTTGTTGTATATTAACTTCTTATTAACCGAGCGTGAGGGCCGTATGGAGGAATATTGACCCGACGGCGTGGTAATACGTGGTAATACCGAGGGCTTTGTTGTTGTTGTTGTTGTCGTTTGCTTTTTTCCTATTGCTTTTACGAGATATAACTGCTCTCCAAGCAGATTAAACAGCCAACCGGATGAGCAAGATGAGAGTGGTTCTATTTCAGTCGTGGATGAGATTCTACCAGAGTGCTCATTGGCATTTACATTTGGGATTGGAAAAGAGGTAGGAAGCAAAGGAATGTTGTTTCGATAACAAAACTGGTGTTTTGCCACTTTTTTTCATTTTTTTACTCAGAAGATCGGGTTTTGAGTTTACTTCTTTAAATCGCAAACTAAAATGCTGTTTTTTTGGAACAATGGAACAACTCCATATTATTATTATGAAATGTTGGCGGTAGCCAAACAAAGATGTCCTCTTGCAAGGGCTAAATGCCACTGAACACATTTGAAAAAAGCAATTATTTCTGATGCACTTATCAAAAGAGGCATTATGAAGACAATCAGATAAAATGCGAATTGATTGATTTAATTCATTTGTAGGGTTACGAAGAGATAACAAAAAGAATCTGGTTCATCTCTGACAAATCGTTATTCAAGCGCGCTCTAAAACGAGGAATCAGCTTTCATCATGGTGGATGTAATGCCAAAAAGCGCTCCGTAGTGGAAATGTTGTTCAGAGGCAAATACCTTCAGGTAAGATTCCGTTAATAGTATGTAAACAGTTAAATAGACACATATTTAGGTGTACTCGCAAAAGCATTTTGATTTTGAATATTTTGACGAAAAGTATGATTCCAAATGAAGATTTACACCTTAAGGGTGAGTATAAACGATGATCCTTATTAAGAGGGGTGTTTCCCTCGTATCTGCTCATGGTATCATCCTAAGAGTTTGATTAGGCTTTTTGGTAGGAAATTTATATGCAGGCAAACCTTTAAGAACCGATCATGCGATTGGGCACACATTTTGAAATCTAGTACATCGCATTACAGTATTTATTTACCTTTTCAGGTGGTTAATTCAACTTCAACGTTGGCTCTTGGTATTCACATGCCTTGTAAGACAGTCGTGTTTGCTGGAGACTCGCCCTACTTAAATTCATTACAGTACCGGCAGGTAATTAAGTGGGACATATCTAACTTAACTCATAGTCAGTTCTCGCTGTTCAAAATTTCTGTGGTGAAACGTTTCCATGATTGTTGGCGATTTTGTAAATTGTTCATTCGATGTATCTCTTTCATTCCCTGGATAGCATAACGTAGGGGTTTCAATGAAAGTCGATTACCGTCGGTCTACCGCTGCCTATAAAACCTCTCACCGTTGTCTGTTTAGTCTACGAGTAGGCTCTCGTGTTCATCACAGCCGCCTGTTATGCCATCGAGAGTCGTTTATGGGAAACGTTTTTGAAACCCCTGCATAACGATGTTCCCTTTACACATGTGGTAAATAAGCTTCATAGCGTCCAATACACATGTATGTATCAAATGCTTGAAGGATAATTTTTGACATCTTACACGTGTCACTGAACAATCTTTTCCGTAATAGCTGTAATAATACCACGAGTGTGAACCCAGGGCTTTATTTGTCATTTTCAGATGTCTGGCAGGGCGGGTCGGAGAGGTTTTGATCCCGTGGGAAATGTCATTTTCTTTGGAATTCCTTACCGTAAAATCCAACGCCTCATGACTGCAAATATCCCAAAGCTTGTCGGCAACTTCCCCATCACTGTCTCACTGGTTCTGCGGCTGCTTCTGATGACAACCCAGGCAGATGACAAGAAAGATGCCCTCACTAAGGTTTCGAAGGACTCTTTTGAATGAATTTTTAATGGTTTCCTTTTTTTTTAATAGACAGTGTAAGATAAGATGAGTTACCTTCAGGTAGTAATTGTGCCCTTTGCACTCGACTCACGCTTGACTAAAGCTTATTCTTGCCGATATTGCTCAACTATGTAAAAATAAGTTTCTGCTGCGTCATTGTTTTGCGCAGGCGATACTCCCAACCTAATTGAATACATATACTTCATAATCAAATTAAGACAAGATAATTCACAATTACGATTTTACGTGTGTTTACAATGTTAAGAGTATAAGGTGCGCTCGCACATCTCTTTTTTAGGCCCTAGTATTGCTGTCTCATCCTTTTATTCGCCGAAAGTACCCGCAAATGGAAACCCAGATCAAGCTACATTTCCTCTTCAGCGTTGAACTTTTAATCAGATTGGTGAGTGGTACGGCCACAGGTTTTTTATATCTCTAGTTGATACAAGAGTCACTGGCAACGTTTTTCCTGCACAGTATTATCCTTTCTGTATATTTAGTGAGTTGCGATCTCTCACAAGAGTAGGGAGAGGACTTTCCAGAGTTTAGTGTGCTTAGCACACCATAATTTGATCACGCTACGTGACAAATCAACATCTAGTAAGTGGAATTTTAAGGCTAGTCGAAAGCCTGCACGAATAGATTTACAACCGATGCCTTTAATTACTCGTTCATTTCCAGTCTCTTATAAACAAAAAAACCGGAGCTCCACAGGAAATGGCCGGACTGGCAACTCATCTTCACTACCATGAACCTTCCAATTATGCCCTAGTCAGTTTTCTACAATGTGGTCTCTTCCACAAGCTGTGTCAGCCAGGGACAAACGGTAAGCCCATGGCTCCCTTCAAACTGGACGATTGATTAGCTCAATGACACTTTTTCAGAGCTTTTTGGAAGGAACACACTTTCCAGATACTCAGGGAAAACGATTCCTTGGCAAATGATTGTTTGTAAAATCATAAAAAAAGGGGAAAACGTCTCTAACTTGAGAAATCGAAGGGTTTTTTTCTCTCAACTGTAATATTTCTCGATCAGCTGTCCTGCCTAGTCGTTTTTTAGTCCAAACTGTAGTCTTCTTTCGCCCTTGCTGCTTACCTTTCACAACTATAGTTCTTCTCTGAACTTAAAAATTATGCATATTTGACGTTTTATTGGCAAATGTTGTATGTACCTTATAACGTGAAGCGGCCTCTAACAACAAATAAAATGAGATGTTGTATCGTTTGCCTCTAGCTTAGAGCGATGGGGTAACAAAGGAGGCCCGGGAAACGTATTAGGGAGTAAGGTCGCCTGGCTTTAAGGGACCTCTTTACGTTGGTTGGTAGGTTAAGTCTGCTCTCGATTGGCCTACAAGGTGCCACACTTTATTTCGGATTTGTATATATAAAGTGTGTAGAATGATTACTAATCCTCTCTGGATGGAATGTCTATCTGCTACAGCTAATTCGCAGCTTCCCCGACAGTTCCCCGCTAATCAGATATACTCTCGGGGGAGAGAAGTATTGTGAAGATAAAACGTCTTGTCCAAGAACACAACACTATGACCCAGCCAGGTGTCGAACCCAGACCTCTTTACCCAAAGTCTAGTGCGTTAACCGTCAGGCCACTACGCCTCTGATTTTTTTCTGGAGAGTCTTTTTTAACTCTATTGTTAACGCCGGCGTATTTCTCTTTGGCAAACTTTGCATCCATACTTCGCGTTTCAATTTGCGTTAATTATGTTTTTTCACTGTGACAGGTAAATTTTCCGAAGATGTTATGAGGAAAATGGTGCTTGTTCTGAGCCACTTATTTGGAAGAACTTATGTTCATCCTTCTATCATGCTGAGGACTCCATCTTCTTCAAAAGTAAGCATATCCTTCCCTTGGATGATTTATTGATCTGTTCTAAGAATTGGTGTGTTGTAAAGCACGAATTGAGGAGGGGCTCATCTTGAAAACGAGTTTAGTTTCGGTACGTTATTTTGTACTTACCCACGTTCAAAAAAAAGTGCTCTAGAATGCGCTTCTTTAAAAGTTTCATTTGAAGTCTTGGAAGGTGGTCGTGAACTTAATGCAGGATATACAATGCACTGGAAAAAACTGAAACCAGTTTTACCAAAACTAATGAATTTCCCTCCCGCACGTCAAAATAAATGTTATAGCGTGTGACTGCTAGGCTTCCTAAGTGTACAAACCATGGTAACGTTTGGATTTTGGACTAAACGCAGGTAATTTTGGAGGATCTCCCGAATGAATTTGTCAAGGCAGTCAAAAGCTACAACCGTCAAGTCACCGATGTGTTCAGTCAGTACCTTGCCACAGTGGCTAAGTGGTTGGAAAAAGACAGAGGAGAGGATAACAAACTCCCTTTATCAGGAATAGGTAAGAATTACTAAATGCGTATTCTTTTTTGCAAAATTTTGATGCTTGCACAGTAAATTGAAACGTATCTTCTGAGAAAATGTCACTTTGATAAAGAGATTCCATTTTGCCGTGAGTCTGCTCAGTAATAAATCACAGATGAGGTCGAAGTGTGGTTAGAAGAAAAATGTAGCACACGAAGTGCAGTCTATCGAGAGTCACTGATGTCCTGGCCACAATGTGACCTCATCTATGATCTTTTACTCAACAGAAGTACGGAGACTTTGGAATCTGTATTGTTTCTTTCATATAATAAAAAAAAAAGCAAATGGTGATTTTATCAGTGCGTCTGTCCTCCTATAGATAAAAAATAAGTACAACTCAAAATGCCTGTATTATTCAGCGAATACAGTTAATTATTTCTATTGCAGAATTTCCCAAAAAAGCCAGCACTGATAACATTGACGAGAACGATATGATCAAAGTCCTTGCGAACTCTTCTATTCAGTATTCGGCTTGTTCCTCTTTCGCTGCGTTATCAGGAAATACAGAATTCCAATTACATCCTTCAAGCCAAAGAACAGATGACCAAAGTGAAGATGAGGTTAACAGTGACGAGGATGAATGCGAGGAAGAGCCACTTAAATATCTACTCACGGTGAAAAATGATCCTCTCGTTTGTCACGTTTGGGTGTCTCTCTTCGGGGGCTCTTTCTAAGCAGACTATCAGGACAAAATGTCTCCACAATCTACAATATACCCCATTCCCACCAGCAAAACGTGTTTAGTTAGACCGGGTTTAATTGAATGAAAATCAGATACAGGGAAATGAAAAACTGAATTTTCCATAGCTAGGTTTCAAGAAATCACTAACTTGTATTTTCAACGTCCCAGACTTGAAGGAGAACTCTAGTTTTAGCAGCCTCTATGAAGAAAACTGTTTAAAACCGTGTTTGAAACAAAAAATAGTTTTAGAACATGTATAAGCTTTGATGTGAAAGCGGTATTAGGCTAATTGGTGACACTCTGCCTTGAAAGGTATCATCTATGGTATTTCGCTTTTTCAAGAGCTAAAAAAGGAATTCATTGATCCTTGTTAACTTTTGATTTACAACGAAATTAGATGACCCTCAATATTTTTTTGTGTTGTTTAGATCATTCGTCAAGATATCTACACTGACATGAATCTTGTACCCATTCTCCCAGTCAAGAATACCCTTCCCCTGAATGCTTATGCTTTGGATTTTTTCAAGCATGGATCCCCCAAAGTCATTGAGAAAGAAAACGGGTAAGAGAGTAACAAAGTTTTTTTATTCAATGTGCTGGAAAAAAAAGCATCTTGTAAATAAGCATCAGTCTTCCCCCATTTGAACCGTTCTTTTTCTTTTAGTTAATCTTATTTTTAAATTTCCTCACGTGAAATTGTTAGATTACAAAAAAGTTGTCAATTTTGTTTAAGGTACTCTCCTCTTGCTAGGTAGTTTTTTCATTTCCAGATCTCTTTGAATCTTGAAAACATTGCTTTTGAGTTTGACCATGTGCACTGATTTCACAGAATGCAAGCTGGCGATGTCTTCGATGCTCTCAAGGAGTTTTACCTGACTATCAAGTCAATCAGGTAATTCTTGTTAATTTTTAGAGAACACGCTGGGGTCAAAAAGGTGACTGTATTGTGATGGAACACTGTCCAGGGTATTGAACAAATGTGCTTCTATATTAAGTTTTCCTCATTATAGCTTGTTCATACATCTATTCCACATTAAAAAAAGACGTTGCCAGCCACCAAAGCTTTAGTTTTTTCCCTTTTTAGTGCAGGAATTACACTCTGCAGATTTATTTCCAAGTATGATTTTAAATTTCAGTACGTATTGTGGGCTGTAAACTAATTTTCCTTTACCACAAAGCCTCGCAATTTGAAAGAAAGCGCAGCTTTTATATCATTAGTAATGTACACAATTCAGTGACACTTCACAATTACTGTTGTTTGATTAAGTTACCAGGAAAATGACATGTTTATATTTTCTTTTTTGCAGTTGTTCACTGGAAGAGCTCAGTGTCTATCCTGAAACTGATAATGTAGTTTTGGCTTTTAAACAGCTGGCACAGGAGTACGGGGAGAAATTCAAAGAGGCGTTTAAATATGAGGCATAGGAAGTTGCGAATTCTCGTGTTCAACTCGACATCTGACTCGTTTCGCTGCGCTCACTAGTGAGCTATTGAGTTAAACACTCGAAGAGAAATTCCTTATCTACGTGCGCCCATGTATTATTCTCTATTTGTTTATGACTTATTTCCTCGGGAAAATCCACAATGTTTTAAATCACTAACTTCCGGTTATTCTGTGAATGCTACGCAATGGCAAGGACAACAGATCCGTTATGATTTTCCATTAAACGATTAAATGTTTATCATCAACGTCACTCCGTTGTATACGATTAAATAAGAAAAAAAAGGGCAATAACCGCTTTGTGGCGCCTATATCATGCCCGATCTGACACCATTATCCGACGCTAGGCGGTGTGTGCACTCTCATTGCGTTGTATCATGGTCGCGAAACAAAAAGTGAGTCATTTGGATCCTGTCGCGGTCGGGTGAGCTACAGCTCAGTTCCTACCACGGTCACAGCGAGAGGTGACTTTTAGTCACACCATCCCCTGCTCGGAGCTCGGCTTCTGTGCTGCCGTGTGACTTCAGTCACTAAACCACAAAAATGCTGTCAGAAAGCTTCACGACATGATGTCGAAAATAATTATCATCGTATAGAAAGTAGTATACAGAGTTCTTTCTAAAACTGATCTTGAGCCGCCGACTCCTATGCTACTCAAAAGGTCTAAGAATCTCAACGTTTTCTCTAAAAATCCGTCACTGATAATAAATAAATGAAAGATCAGTCTTTCGCATGCATATGTAGTTAAAAAATATGAAAGGTTCGCAGATTAAATAGTCTTTTACTTTTTTAGCTTTTGATAAATGTGTTACCGGAAAATTTACTGATTTCCATGTGGTTGTTCAGAGTACATTTATTCGTAAACTTTCACATTTAACCATTTCCAATTTATTCGAGTTCATTCAATTTCTTTCATTCAAAAAATATATATATATATATATTTAAAAAAAAAACCACATTGGCTTTTGGAATAGATTTTTTTGTTACTCGCTTTCATTATGCACCTGCACGTCGGCACTTTTGTTATTTATTACTGGTTTCTTTTAGGTAAATATAAGTGTTAATGGTCTTTCTGGAAAAATTGGTTCTCATGGTAGTTAGCAGCTGAGTTTCTACCCGTAACTTTAATTGCTTTTCATACGATAGTTTCCACGCCAACCTTGCATAGATAAGTAGAAATTTTTAATTGCTTTTCCGTTTTTATTTCTCAAGCTGCGCTACTGCAGTTAAGATAGATATTATTTTCTATACCAGAGCTGTGAATCCGCACCTAAGTTCCTATTTTTAATGGCCTCGAGTTTGTTGTCTCCGTCCTTTTAATTTTTAAATTCTTTCCGTCTTAGAAACAGATGGAATATCTAAGTAGTTTTCGTTTAACTTGCCTCACACCAGTTAGTTCTTAAGCAAGTACCTTGTACAGCTTTGATGATTACAAACTTGATTACGCTAGAGGTCATGTCGCTTGTTGACCTGACCTTGAATAAAAGTCTACTGCGGAACCAAAACGCTGTCTCATCCTTGACGTTCGTACAAGCTCGCTCGAAGAAGATCTCCGTGTACCAGGAAATCGTGGCGAGTTTCCGTTCTTGTTAGCCGAGTGGTCTCTACCGAGTTATTTTACTCCGTTTGTATGTTTCCCGCAAGTTCAGTTTAGAGTGCGCGAAAACCCTATCGTCACAGCGACCGAAAACCTATCGTGACAAATGGTGGACTGTCATAGCTCAACTTAAACACTGAAGAATACCGTTTCTGATGAGATGGTTGCACACTGATGTTCCAAAGAGGCAACGTTTTATGGGAATAAACAAGCCATGGTTAGATAGCAGAGAACTAAATCGCTAAAGAGGGGTTACTGAAAATGAGATCCTTTCAAGTTAACTTTGAAGTGTTATGGAATTTGTCACTCAGATTGATCTCATGTTGATTTAAATTTTAAAAAACACTATAGCAATTTTATGACACACACCCAGGGAAATCTCCAATAAACTAGCTTTATGAGAAAATACTTTCCCTTGCGTGATCTTGCGTGACACAGTGTTCGGCGTGATCTAAAAACCGGAAGTTTCGGCCCCTAATTGGTGTAGAAGACACAGAATACGTCACAATAGAATTTCATCACACCTGGGAATAAGAAAACAATGAAAACAATAGTGTGACAAATACTGTGTGTTTGTTACACCAAGTAAGAGCCGTAATTTCTCAGAAATCAAACCAATAAAATATATAAATGAAGGGGTAAGTTTCTAAAGAAACTGTGGTGCTGCGTCGGTGGGAGAGTATAGCAGGTAATTTAGTGTTAACAACTGGGTTGAAAACGTAATTTAGCCACCGTAAAGAGTAAAAAAGCTGACGTTTCGAGCGTTAGCCCTTCGTCAGAGCGTCCTTCGTCTGACGAAGGGCTAACGCTCGAAACGTCAGCTTTTTTACTCTTTACGGTGGCTAATTTACGTTTTCAACCCAGTTGTTAACACTAAATTACCTGCAATAAAATATATAAGCTATTTGCATTTGACCGTTTACCCTGACGGACACCGTTCGTGTTAGGTCGCCTTTTGAAGAACTTATCAAATTATCTTATCAATTTTATAACTTTAACAGGTTCTTAGGGACGAATTCAACGCTCCGTCGTTGACGAAACGTTTTAAGGTGAGCCCTGAGATAATTTATAAAATGAAGTGGATTTTTGCGTCCCTGCTTTCTCTATTGTTTATATCAATATTTGATGAGAACCGAGAAAACTGAGTGTTAAGAGATAATCTGAAACCTTTAGTTCCTTTTGATTTTGAATATAAATTACCTGCCACGTGTCATATACTGATCGTATTGTAGAAATGGAGAGAGGAACCAGTTGTCACAAACACATGCTTTGAGTAGATGTTGTGAACCGCTCCTTGCATATTAAATAATATAAAATTTGGCAGGTATTTTCAGTGCGAGGAAAATTTGAGGCGGCAAATCCAATTTTGTCCTACGTAAAGTAACGAATAAACAACACGCTGCTCGTTCTTGTTCGTCACATCTTCGCGAAAGCCTCGTCGAGTAAGGTCGAGATTCATCGGGAAAAGAAAGGTTGGCATCATTGGAACCAACGTCCAAAGTCCAATCAGAACATACCCAATCATTGCACTACATGAACATTAGGCAATTTTTCACGTGCTTGAATTGTATTCTACCAATCAAATTCCATTTTGCCAAATCAGACTTCGCTCCATCTCGTGTAATTTCCAAGTAAACAGACTCCACTGAAAAAATTTCACATGTAACTAAATGCTACTCATAATAGATTTTTTACGCAATTCTCCCTCGTTTTGACTTTTTGTGCGAATAAAATTGGCTTTTAGCCACCTTGGACTTAATCCAATCGCAACAAAAACCTGCATTTGATCAAGTATTTCACACACAGAGGGAAAAGTCCAGATTGGTAAGGAGCCCTCTTTAAAATATTATCCTTTCCTCTTGTTAATGTATCTTCACTTATTCGAGATCGCAGTATATCTTTCGTTACGGACCATTGAAGAACAGACAGAGTTTCAGTTTGCTTTTCGTTATAGATTTTTCGTTTTTTTTTCGTTTAGATTTTCTTTCTGTAAGAAGAACGGCAGTAAGCGTAGGGAGCTTATCGAAAAGTTCATCTTTCCAACATACTCTTCTCTTTCCCCTTCCTCTACAAAAATAATGACCAGTCCCTTATTTCAAGCTTAGTGTAGGTAATCACATGATTTCGAGTGCAGTTTGGAATAAATAAGCACGGGTAAATTTGTTCAAAGACTAAAAAAATTTGTTTGCAATTTGTGGTCTTTGAAAAAATTTGCAAGTGCTTATTTATTCCAAATTGAACGAGAAAAATCGTATGATTACGAGTCAATAATATATCATAATTATGCAGAAGCAAAGCGTAAGCGTCAAGTGCAAAAATAATTTATTCAAACCCTGCAGGTGATATTGTGTGTTCGGTCATTTTCACATCTTAAAGGTGCAAAAAGGTTTAAAGTCCGGCTAAATAGTTCAAGGAATTGTTCAGTCTGGTTTGTTACTTCTTTGCACTGAATTAACCCTCTTTTAAAAACCTACCTAAAATTACTAAAAAACTGCATTTATCTTAACCAATCAGAACTGAGTAAGTTTTTCATGTCTCATTAGCATAAAAACAGGCGGTTAGGGCTTGATCAAAGGTGACCACGACCGCGTAATAGAGGTGACCGCTTAACAGAGGTGAAAAATAGTGAAAATTTAAAAAATTTCGGTGTATTTCGGCGCCACGTTATACAGTTTCGACTGTATTATTTTTCCCTTGTATTTTGCTTTCGGAAATATGAAATAGTCTCGTGTAACCATGTTTAGGGAGCGTGACACATCATTCACAAACAGGAAGTCGACTGGAATCCCCAGAAATCAACCCTTTCAGTTTGGTAAACTCTTTTCAGTTTTGTATTATTTTCTATTTGTTTATGACTTATTTCCTCGGCAAAGTCCACAATGTGTTACATCATCAACTTCTGGTTTCTCTGAGAAAGCCACGCAGTGGAAAAAACAATACATCATTAACAAACAGGAAGTAGACTGGAATCAACTCTTTCAGTTTAGTAAAATAAAAGGTTTTTGTTACTCTTTCACTGAACGTCGTTCTCATGGCCTCACTTTCTAGTGTAGTATTCCTACCAGAATTCGACATTTTGTAGCGCAATGAAAGAGTGAAAAAGAAAAAAGGGCACGAGGCTTGAAACGACTGTTACGCCTCGTGACTTCGACGAAGCTGCATTCACTTGCAATAGCGAAAAAATTACTCTAGGCAATAACATGATTTGTTTTTTGCTCGATGCGTGAGCGGGCGGTGTTCTATAAATTCTGCAATGCTGATTGGCAGTATTGGTCCACCGGGCCCGCTAAGATTGGTTTTGTTGATAATTTTCCCAAATATATTTTGTCTTGCCGGCTGGGCAACAACCTAGTAGCCGAAAAATAACTTTCTTGTTCTCTCTTCTCTAGATATAGTTATTGAAAATACTAGAGCGTGCAATGGCCGTTTGTCCCCAACTTTTTACCAAATCATTACAGGCTTGAATTTCGCCGAAAATTTCAAAATCAATAAGCAGTTCACGTCATTGCAAACCCCTTTTCTACCTCGTAAATGTCCTTCATTTTAGATGCAAATTGTAGATACATCTTTGATCTTCAAAACGCAACTCGTTGATTTAGAAGTTAGCGCCTCTAAGAGTCAGAAAAGTAAGTTTTGCAAAGCCTAGTGGGCCAATTTTGCCCCATTTTTCTCTTAGTTAGGGACAGGTGAAGACAAGCCAAAACGCATCTGTAAACGTGGGGAGATTTGCTTCGTTTTTGTTCAGACGAACACTTCTCTGTGTAAAACTCTCCAGACCACGAGTTAACCGTTGTTATTGTTAATTCAGATGGCAGGGCGTTAATTTATTATCAAGTCGTCTTTTACTTTTGCAATCGTTTTGAAGAGGAAGTTCACAAACACTATTTATTAGGGTTTTGTTTTACATCCGCACCGCCCCGGAGAAACTCCCATCGTATCGACAAATCGAAACGTTAGACGAGTGCCGAGGTTTCCTGTCGAGTAAGTGTAGCAAATTGTAGGAATCAAGACCAAACATGATAATTGAATGATGAACGCAATTTCTCTCAGGGCAGTTGACAGCTAGTTCGACATCTCCATTTTCGTTAAATAAGCTAATTCAGATTTTATTCAAACTGTGCGAGGCAGTATAATTCCTTCAGCTGTTTTAACACAGTGACATAGACTAAGAGTAGTCCTTCCTTCTCGGCGATGTCCGTCGCACAAGTTAAAAAAAAAACGAAAAATCAGTGAAAAAAATTTATTGTTTCGCCCCATGTAAGGTAATCCAGGACAGTATTAGATTCTGGATTCCACGCTGTGGATTCCGGATTCCAGGTGCTGGATTCCGGATTCTACCTGTGCAGATTCCGGATTCCAAAACACAAAACATTCCAGATTTTAGTTTCTGGTTTGCTCCTAATTTCTGCATTTCGTTTTCTAGGAATGACTTCAATAGCGAATTTTGTAATTGAAGGACATGTTGTGTGAATGCATGTTTGTCTATTAATATTTCCATAACAACATTTGATAATTACAAGAAATGTATTACAGCAAATCAAGAGATAAATTTTTCTTCTAAGAATACTTATTGAGACTGTCCGTTTCTTAAGTCCAATGTCCATTCATTCCACATTTTTTTAGCAACTCTGAAGAGTTTGAGTTTGCCTGAAGTTTTTCAGTTTCTAATACAGAATCTGAAAGTGAAATGTTCAGTGAAATTCGGCCCAATCGTGGCTCACAAAAATACAAAAGTTATTTCACTTGACAAGTAGAAAACAAATTGTCCAAGGCAGGACATGAAGATCGCTCGGAACGACAGCGCCGTAAAACTCGGCTGCAGTGACTGATGTGGCCTTCCACTCAACGCATCGGAAAGGTAATCAGAGCAAGCTCTTATTTTTTCCACTCGAAGGGTAGTCGATTTAGTTCCTGAGGCTTGCTCCACTGCGATGACCGAAGATCGCCATAATGAGCTAGCCGTGATAGACCTCAGCATGATCGCAGTCGCTCTGACACCGTCATGATTAGTATGAATTTTAACAGTTATGCCAGGTTATATTTTTCATCATTCGTGTTTTTTTCTGTTTTGTTTTTGAAAAAACGAAGTTTTATACACTATAGAAGTGTTAGCTGTGTTTGATTTTTATTACCGTACGTAAACTTGCAATCTAACTGAGCGTGAAAACCGTTAAAACTCGGACTGTCTATTTTGTTTTATCTTTGAGGACTTTTGTCTCTGCTCACGTTACAGTAACGTAAATTACTGCGCCTGGCATTTTTGCAAACCTTTGCTCGCTTGTTCCGAAATTTCACCTTCAGTTAACGAAAGAAAAGCTATAAAGAAGTCCTGGAAAAGGTCGGACATAGCACAATTTGGCAGATGGCGTGACAGCTTTAGCTCAGTTCTATGCTCTATACTCTCATAGAGCACGCTCTTTCAACCAATGACAGTACGTGTTATATCCGAACTTTATTATAATTGTAATTTTGGCTTCTTTCCTGCGAGCAAGGATCGAAAATTTCAACAAAGACTTTTTGTGACAGATCTTTTCTTTCCAAGAACAATTTGTGTTGTAATATTAATCACGCAAAACTAGTTCCCTTCGGTAACAATTTGTGTATTTCCCATTTAATTCCGCTTGCTCTACTATACTGGATTGAATAGTTTTCTAAGAAATCACTTAAATTATCTTATCTTCAGTTCTTTACCCATTAGGTATCATGGGAAAGGCTAAAAACTAAAAACCCCGAAGAAATTGTCCTGTAATTTAAACACATGGAAAATTTTTTGTTTTAACCCTCCATAAAGCTTAGGTAATGCTTGTCAAGCCAATATGTAAATTTGATTTTAAAATCGATATCGTCACCCAAAACATTATTTTAAACTAGTAAAAGGTAACAAGGCGCACACGGCAATCATCAATGAATCAATCAATCAACGAAAGAAAGAAAGGATTTGCCGATTACTAACCGATTTTAAGTTATAATTTTGATGACAACCCTAGGAGATTAATGCGAAAAACTCGTGTTATAAAGGGAGAGTAAACAACAAATTTGCGACAGTAATCGTATTCTGATAAAACTCGTGATTATCTTTGAGTCAACCTCAAACCAGCGACATTTGTTCTGACAAAGCGAACTGTGCTTGTAGCACAACAGACCAGCGAGATTGTTTTGACTGTCTTCTGCCACTTTTTGTGACTCCACAGTCGACATTGTCCAAAAATTACGAACTTTGTGTACCCGCACTACGCAATTTTTTTTCTAGCGCGGAATGAAAGCGGGTAAGATGAGCTCGGCTAGCCAATCAGAACACAGTATTCGCTTCCTAGCGCCCACGGGCGCTACCAGCAATATGATAACAAGAAGTACAATCTTTTAAGTGTTCATGTAGAGTGATTCACTTAAATATTTCGTTTAAACTACAATTACAGAAATAAGTGGGGACACATCTATTAGACATACATTCAAAATCAGATTTACTTCACTCATGCTTACAAAAGGTCCACTGATTTTATAAACTACCTTATTTGTACTTAATTTGGCGCTTTTGGTATTTCTCGGGGCTTTACTATTGTAAAGTCAATAGCGTTAAATATCGCGAATCAAACCTACCCAACTTCATTTTACTTTTCAAGATGTCGTAACATTTGACGACTGCACGAAAGATATTCGAAGGAGGTTTTTCAAATAAAGGCGATTCAGATGGAGATTTCATTTCACAACGGAAGATCTAACATAGAATTTACCAGTAAGACCAGTATATAATTTTTGTATTTGCCGACACATGTTCTGAATATGTTGTGGTTATTACATGTTGATCTTTTTTTACCGGTGATTTGAATTTTTTATGGGCGATTCAATTCCACATGTTAAAATTCTTCGAGGACTTTTATTCCTAGGTCTTCAATTTCGCGATTTTTTCACAATCGCAAAAACACGACCTCAAAGACCCACAAAATTTCTCTACTAATACGGTACGTTATTTAATTTTGTCTTGTAAGTAAGTCAGGCCATTTTCTTTGACAATCCGAGGAGTACCGCTGAAGCTACTGTTATCTGTCTTGGTGAGGAGCATCGACGAGGATACGACCCTCTCGATCTTTGACCCGCACCCGTCCCGAAGCGTAACGGGTCTCTGTGCGACCATCGGGATAGACCGTCTTTACTGTCCCGTCAGGGTATTCTCTTTTCTACACAAGAATGGGACAAAAAGATAACCAGTTATTGCTGTTGTACTAAGACAGGGTAGAAGTTCTTTTAGGCAGAGAACTCTTGACTCTGTAAAAAAGAAGTTCGTAACTGACACTGGCTGTATACGGAAATGTGTGAAAACTGAGTTCACATAGCAGTAAGTTAAAACAAACTGAATAACGTTTTTTAAGTTGTTCGGTCCGCTCAGAGAAATTTTATGTCACTAGGCATCCGCATATTTCCCAGCATGCATTGGAGGTAAAAGGGTGACATTTCATCACTGTCGCCAAAGCGATCGACGAGCTAACAAAAGGCTGGCGGGATAACAAAAACCTGAGTTTCGACAATCTCAATTCTTGGCAAAAACAATGTCATTTCTTGGCGCTTCTCTCCACTTAGAAGAATAACTGAGCACACACGAGCATTCTGGGAAACCTGATGAAATGCTGGGGTTTTACCAGCGATGGATAGTCACCAGAGGGTGCCATAGCAAGTGGCTAAGCAACAGCTTCAAACTTCAGAAACCGGTTGTCTGAGAATACTGGCCAAAATGTTTAACTAGAAACTAAGACTAATTCTGCTCACTTTATAGAATTTCGTGTGTGTCTCTCTTTGTCCATTTGGGAATTCAATGGTTCGTTCGCCATCCACGCTAACTTTCTGTATAGTACCGTCACTAAATACACATTCCTCTGCTCCGTTCGGGTACAAATACTTTATCGTCTGATCTGGGAAGATAATTTCTTTAGTCCCGTCGGGATAATGCTTCTCAATTTGTTTGCTAAAAAGACAAAAGTGAAACTGGATATGAAGCGGAAATTGCGATCAAGTAAGGCGTATTTTTTATAAGGCACGCAGACACATGAACCAAAAGTTTATTCGCAAAGGAAAGTTGAAAAGGAAACTCGTCAAGCCAGTCCACGCTAGTTAGAAAAATTTGACAAGATAAAAAAAACTTTCCATCGCTACATTCTGAGGTTGGTCTAAAAATATTCAGCCACAGCAAGTCTCTTAATCAGTCGGATGCAAAGCTAACATCGATGGTGAGTTGGCGTTTTGCTGCGGTTTAGGCTTTAAGAAACTTCAGGGGTGTAACATATTTTACTGTACTCAAACCTGGGAAACTGCAAAACCTCCAGCCCGTCTGGATAAGTAGTATGAGTTGTTTGAACGTCAGAATAATAGTACATCTGATAAAAGGAATAGAACATGAACATGAAAAGTAAATTTCCATCCTTGGCGTAACCGAAAAACAAAATCGGGATTATATAGTTAAGAAAGTGACGCCACACGAGCGTTGCTTCGCCCGGAAGAAAGTTGAGGCCTTGAGCAATGCCAGTTAGCGGAGTTTTGGCACTAAGTATTAGTGCTCGACCCCTTGCAAACCCATCGCTTTGATCCAGGCTTTCACCTTTCTCGCTGTCTAAGAAACGCTCTAACCGCAACGCCAATAATGAGGTCCTGCAAGCAAGGGAGAATGTTTGGTGCTTAACATTTGCCTCACCACTCGTTGGTCCGGCATGATCTGTTTGACATCTCCGTTGAAGAAAGTGACAGTGATAGTTTGGCCGTCGACACTGATGTCTTTTCTTGTCCCGTTTGCAAAGGAGATCACACGAGAGCCGTCACTATTAACTTTCTCCACCTGGAAATATAATTCGTTTAATGTATCTTTTGTAGAGAGATGCTGGTCTTAGATTGCTAGGCTATAGAGAGAACTGGATTAGAGCCTTCTTGTGGAAAAGAGACTTGACTCTAACAGCACCTTTCTCCGACAGAAGTTCTAATGTGAACAGTGCTTGCGAACTTAAAAACAAACCTGACAAGTATTTTTCCTTTTTCTTGTCTTTTTTTTTTCGTTTTTTTTTTTTTTTTTTTTTGGGGGGGGGGGGGGGGGGGTTTGAAGGTGGGGAGGATAGCTTGGCATCCCACTTAGGGGAAATAGAAAATCTCATTGTCACTTCATAGTGAGGAAACTGGCATAAGCTCCGGCTGGATTGGCAATTTTGGCTCGAGAGCCATGTTCCCAACAGCCAGAGAAATATTCCAAACCGGTGAGAAGTTACTGCCATGGACCAGCATACCATTCGGGAGGAGTAACAATATTTCAGTTTGACCGATTTTGTCAATTGAACATTACCTTTCCATCAGGATGCACTATTTCTCTTGTATCTTGTCTATTTCTTTCATCTGAATTGCTGCTTTCCCTTGCGTTATTCTCATCATATTTTTCCTCATCTTGGAAATGAACGTTTCGTTTAAACTTTTCTCCTCTTTCTGGCGTTTTGCTTCTTCTTCGAGGACTAAAAAAAGCAAAAGAGGTAATAATAAACACGTGATGTGAAGTCTTCTCCCTCCTTCTCTTCACTCTCTTGGAGGATGTTTCAGAGATGATTCAAAACGACGCAGCATAAACGACAATATCCCCTTCCACCCACTGAGAGACGTGCACCCACTGAGAGACGTGTTCGAGACAGCCTCGAATGGCTGCTTTGTGCACTTTGCCGATTGCGTCGTAGCGCATTACTGATTGGTTGATACATTCCCTTGAGGTTTCTCAGCTAATCAGATATCTTTAAGGATCTACACGTCAAAAAAGTGTGGAAAAGAAGCTTGGTAGAAAATAAAGGAATTCTGACCTTCGTTTAGATTTCATTGTATCGTGATTGTTATCATCCACAGGCTTCAAAGCAGAGCTGATTTCTTCCTTTTCATTATAAAGTACATCTGATGGTGTATTTTCGTCTTGGCGAGAACTCGATGACTGATTGTTATTTTTATCAAGTTGTATAGCAGCACTTGGTAGCCTGCCAAAAAATTCATAAAGAAGTCAGTCTACGTCAATTTCTCAAAATCCGCTTTTAATCCGCTTTCCATCGCTTCCTATTGGTAATGCCAACAGGAGGCAGTTCTTCATCAGTTCTAGGTAAGATCACGGATCGAATTGGACGACAAAAATATCGCAATTTCCGAGAAAAATTGTAATTATTGGAAGATTGGCTTCCAACTTTCAAACTGAAGAACTGTGGACATAAGTCCTATGAACTAAATCCCTCCGCTTTGGTACTTCCCCAGTTTGGATGAGAATTTTGTCTTTGTCATGGTTAATGTAATCGAGGCGGTGATTGGTGGACTCATTTAAGTGTACTCAGTGTTATCAACTGATATAACTGTCCACATACAATTCGAAAGAATAATCGGTTGAAAGAAAAAGACCAACAACAACAGCATCAACAACAGAAGAACCGGTCATCCACCAATCACATTTTGGGAAATAGCACTGGTTGTAATTATGATAGTTGTAATACATCAAGCCAGTGTGTCTATATCACCTGGTCTCAGGATCAATGGTAGCATTTTCAGGAGTAGATCTGGGCAGTACTTCAGCAAGAGCTGCTCTCATAGGAGGAGATCGGTGACGCACGGGGAGCTTGGGCCCTGGCTCTGAGGAATTAAGGTAGTTAAGAAGACGAGTTAAGTTTGTATATATTATATACAGGTTATATATTTAATATTATTGGCTCAGAGAAGAGCATCAGTGCGCGGAATCCGAAGGTTTGAGGTTCGATTCCTCATGAGGGACTCTTCTTTTTTCTTTGCCTCACGCATCTTTCTTTATTTATTAATAAATATTAATTATAATAATAATAATATATTTCTTTACGGAGCTCAAAACTTATCATCTTACTTATTCTATTTACAAGAGTTAAGGTTTATTAAGCAAACTTGATCGAAAGAAATGTACAAAAGCATTTGTTGAAAAATATGACAGGAATGATGACGTTTGCAATCCTTATGATTATAGCAGGAGTAGTTTGAGTTCGCTATTTCCAGTGCTAAAAGCTCCATTAAAAGCAGATTCCTACCACGGGGTAAACATTTTCTTCATTGCTCTCAGTTTTGTTGCTTTTTGGCATTCCCAACCATGTACGTCGGTAATGTAAACCTCTTTCTTCCCAGTTTGACATCCATTTGGAATATTAAACGAACTCTTCTTAAGTCAGAAGAAATCAAAATTGCCTCTGCCGGGATAAAACAGAAATCCAGCTCACCATGTATCAAGTTACCTTCTTCCGTCGCCTTAGCAGTTTTGCGCAGCAAAGGTTTTTTCGGTCTTGACTCCTCTTCTTCTTTCGCCTGTGAAAAGATTTTAAGTTCTCAAAATGAATGTTAATTTTGTTTTGTGGGACTCACTAGGGGAGCTGAACAGCGAAATGCTACGTAACAAGTAAGCGGTCAATAACGTGGGCTCAAGTGTACGAGGTTGAAAAATCAGCGAAATTTGAGGAAAAAAAAGGGCTGGCATTTAAAACCGAGGCATCTTGTTGTCGTTGAAGGCCTTTTCCTATTTCCAGGGGATGTAAAGATTTTTTGAAAGTTCCTGTAAAAGAGAAGCGGCAAGGGAAATATCACCTAGAAGTTCGTTTTCCGCGCCAAAGCCCAGCGCATGCGCAGACGTTATTCAGCTCTGTCAGACTTACTAACACCCTGGTAAAGTCACACACAGCTAATGTATCTCCACATTGTTTCACTGGGGTATATCTCACCTTCGCTTGTTCCTCTTCTCTCCACTGTTGCAATCGATAGTGTTCTAAAAGCTTCACCTCTTCTTGAAGTTCTTTGTTCTGTTCTTCCAAGACCTCGATCTTTTGGCGGGAACGTGTAGAAGCCGCTGACCAACGAGATTCGCGTCGCTTAAGTTCTTCTTGCAAATCTGCCATCTATTGAGAGGGGTATGGTAGTTTAAAGTAGTCAATTTTTGCCCACGTTCATTTATCCATGATAAAAACCAGCGAGAGAACAATTGGTTTGTTCCAGTCTACGTTTGTCATATTAGACATGAGACAGCTCAATTCCTTTACCGTTCTTTGTTCAAGGCTGCATAAACAAAACTTATTTTTACAGAATAACGTTTTTACCTGTTCTCGTAAACTCTCGATCTCTTCGCGTTCTTTCTTGTCTGGCATTGAACGGGCAGCTTTCTGATACTTTTCAAACACTCGTCTTTCGCGGCTAAAATGCACAAGTTGTAAGATTGAATTTATGGTATCTTGATCCGAAGACACTTTGTGATTAAAGTATACTAGGCACTACTTAAACCTAATTGATGATCCAAACTTGATGGAAAGCTCATATACGAGTTATATGATCGATCAGTAAACTTATGAAAAATCCTTCACCTGGCATATGAATGGTTTAGAGGCTGTGAGCAAGCGAAGTAACAAAGGAAAGTGAGAAAAGCACATGGAAATTCCTTTGCAAAAAGTGCCCTGCATCACATCGATAAAACCGCTGCAATGACTTGAGAAGCTTACCTAAATTTCAGTTAGCCTCAACAAGCATTAACGAGCACACGAACGGGCGAGCTAACGAGAATCTTGTGTTTAATCCAGTGGTAGCTGTCTCGAATCTTGAAATCACGCTTGTTACCGGTTGTTAACTAGTCATGAACCGGAGCGAAATAATAAACAGCGGAGGAGTTGCTGAGGAGTGAAAAAAACGAGAGGAGCTTGGGTCGGGTCAGGTAACCCGACCCAAACCTCACTCGTCTTTTCACTCCTCCGCTACTATCTCGCCATTTACCATCGCGCTTTGTTTTAATAACTGAAGGCATGAAAAGACCAGCCATGAACACATACCGTAGCTTTCGCATCTCTTCCTCCCTAAACTGCTCTAGTCGTTCGAGTTCATCCGTTTTCTGTTTCTCAAACGCAGCTATTTCCGCTTGCAGCTTTTTCAAGCCCTGTAAAATATGAGACTGTTTGATCAGCATGTAACGGATACAAACACCAAAAGTTAGGTATAAGGTTTGCAATGCATCATTTGACATGGCAAAAATAAAAAAACGTAATTTTCAACAAACGAGATTCTTTGTATTCGGCTGTGGGATTCCCCTCTGCTAACGTCGTTATTTTATCTCTTAGTTGGTGCATGCGCTATGATTGGTCAAGTTTGCGAACCGTATTTCACTGTATGGCCCGCTAATTCAAGGTTTGTTTGATTTTAAATCTTTCCCCTCTATTTGAACTCAGAGAGATAAAAAAAATGTCTTCATAACCTCGTTTTCTTGATCCGTGCTGAAATTTATAGAACCGAGTTTTTTTCCACTCGGATTTCTGGCCCGCACGCCTCGCCCCTGGACCTTAAATCCGAGCCGAAAGAAATCGTTCTGCAACTTACAGGACGGACCTCGAACTCGGTTAGTAAGAGGTACGTATACCGCATAATGTGACACCATACACTACTATTCGTCTTACAAATAAATAACAAATTGTTCCCACACCTCTTCCCGCTCTTTTCTAATTTTGGCCAGAGCTGCATTCTCAGTCCTGAACTTTTCAATCTCTGCTTCCAATTCTTTGAGCTTCTCCCTGACCGCAGCACTCTGAACCGTGTCTACAGGCTCTTCCTCCTGCCCCTGGGCATTAGGAACATCACTTGTGGCTTGTTTGGCGACAGCCGGCTTTGGTGACACAACGATAAAGATCATTGAAATTGTTTTTCGCTTGAAATCGATGAAGTCCATCTCCGAGCATAACTGTTCACGCCAAAAGCTATTCGAGGGTCTGAGATAGACCATTCGACCGGCGGGAATTGAAAGTCTCAAGTTCATGCAATCAGTTCTTTAATTACTTACGGGAAGGAATCTTGATCGAGTCAGGTGAAGTATCTCGATTATTTTATGAGTTTTCGAGTACAATATACCAATCCTGTGGTTGCCAGTATTGCTAAGTGCAATGCTTTTGAACAGGTTTTACGTAAAAAAAGGTGAAAACAAGCACCAGGATATATCGAGAGATATGTCACGGAGACAAGTCGCAGCGAAAAACGTATGACGTAGAACTTTTTAAAAAGAACCTTCATACTTTCGCCAGAATTTTTTTTCCAAAAGAGGTCGCCCAAATGCACTGTAAGCGAATAATTCAGCCATAAAATCACTGTTTTTGTATTGTTTTGGAAGCAGTGCTAACACGGCAGTTTTTCTCAAAGATCTGGCCAAACAACTTATCACTTCGTGAGGCCAGGCCTTGAAAGTTACAAATCGGTACAAGAATAATACAGAGGGCTTTTTGCTTATGTTCATGACACGAATTAACACTGAGTAACTTACAGCAGCTTTCTGCTTCGGCTTCAGCTGGGGAAACAGCTTAGTAACAAGCGTTGATGTTGGTGGGGTCGACGCAGCCAGCATCCGTTCATCCTCAATTGCATCTGCTGCTTGGCTCTTTGGAGGCTGACCCCTCTTTAGGGCAACAGGCAGAGTGGAGGTTACAAGAGGGAATATGTCACTGATTGTCACATCACTGTCATCCTCATCATCGTCGTCGTCATCGGAGTCGACTTCTCCTCCCTTCTCCGCATTTTCAAATTCTGTACCTGCCTGTTTCTTTATTGCAGCCCACGTGTCTTCGTCATTAAACTCGTTGTCACTCTCAGTCGAGGGAGAATTGAGGTAAGCTGGGGCCAAGACTGTAAGAAAATTGGAATGGCACAAAGGAGTGACTCGGTCTTGGAGTATGACCTCTAAACGTTCATCAAATTCAATTAATTGAATGATCCTCACGTGTGAGCTGTTTTTTAATCAATTCTGGAATCAGACTCCAATACGGGAACGACAAACCCAACACATGGCTTCAAAGCCCAGTTAATAGTGGTGCAAATCTAAAATTTTACCTTTTTGCAGGTCTCCAGCTGCTTGTCTCTTTTCATCTTGACCAGAATCAAGTTCCAAGGCACTGTCTAAACTCATCTCCTGTAGAGTCACATCACTATCGTCATCTTCACTCTCTGTTACGGAATATAAACGGGATAACATCACCATCTTATTCCCTGTTCTGACACAGGGTCACCACTCTTTATGCAGTGTCATTAACAACAATATTTTGACGGAGATCTAAGTCGGGAAGAGACCTTCATGCGACCAAAGCGACAAGTAATGTTCTTCTTGACTGGGTCAGAGAGAAAAATGTGGCTCGAGGTTATGATGTACGGACCTCGCGCACCAAGAAACAAATATTTTACCGTCAAGCCCCACGTAACATTTTATCAGATAATCTTTGCTCTTCATTTCCTTCCTTTCTCCTTTTAGTTCGCAGCTCGCGCGTCCGTGCGGCTTTTTCCGGCCCTGCTCACGAAATCTCGTCCAGCCCTGATACACGAATTCTTGTCTAATGTTTTTCAATAAAAGTGCGTCCGATAAGATCCATTACTTTTAACTTACCATTTTCATGAGGTTCTCTCAATTCTACCGCGGGTAGTCGTCTTGATTCATCAATTGACACAGCCCCTTTACCATCCCCACTGCCATAACCTGTGTCAACAGGGCTCAGAATTCCACCTGCACCTGCAAAAGACATCACCGGGAGCTGAACGTCTCAAGTTTCTGATTGTCTCTCAAACGAAAACACTCTTTTTGTTTAAAACTGGACATCACACTCGCATACATAACTTTCTGTACTGATCTGCTACCTCTGTTTTCGGGCTTGTTCCCAGCTCCTCGCATTGTGTTATTTTTACTGATCTGTGCACTTCCTCCTCTGGCTTTGGCCAACACTTTGACAACCACTGAGGAGTTGGATGAAAAGGAAGCATTTGCTGCCGCTTGTTCTAGGAGCTCAAATTCTTCAAGTTCTTCTTCTTCCAACTAAATTAGCGCAGCAAAGAGAGGACGGCAACAGAAGTCAAAACTAAGAGGGAGTACTAATTAGAGACTAATTTTAAATATAAAGCAGTTATCAATAACATTATCGTTATCACGAAAACATAATAAAAAAATAATATCATTAAAATCATCATCATTTTTATGAAACATTACCATCCGGCATGCTTGTTGAGACAGGTTAGAATCGACCAGCGGCTTGTGTAAGAACCGACTCAAACTGGGAACGAATCATCTCAATTTGAGTACGAATCAACTGAGTATGATTTGTAAATTTTGTGATTTGTGGTAGTAATACTTGGGTTTTCCAAATGGCGCAATCCGCAGAGCCATCTCTCACCGTGAAGCTCAGAAAACCATGAATGAGAGAGACATGGAATTTTCCTCGTAACAAGGAAAACTCAGCTAGGTGTGAGAAAACAATAACGTGCTGGTAACAAAGAAGAAAAAAAACTACGAAACGTCCATGAGTTCGAAACGACTAGATACCACCATTATCATTTTTATCGCCATTGCCATTGTTAAGGTATCAAGGTACACTGTACATGTACAAAATTGACTGTTTACCTCTTGTTTTTCTTCTAATTCCTTCAGTCTCATTTGGAATGATGCATCAATACTGTTAAACACAGAAGGTGGATTACTCTCCTCTGGTTCATCGGAAATGACACTGCGAAGCATACACATCCAATGAAGTTGACAAATTAGTAAAGGGGATACGTTTCTAAAGAAACTGTGGTGCTGCGTCGGTGGGAGAGCATAACAAGGAAATTATTATTTTGGTATTATTAACTGAGTTGATGACTTAAATTGGCCATGTCATTTGCTCTGACGAAGGGCTGACGCTCGAAACGTCAGCTTTTAAACTCTTTACGGTGGCCCAGTTAACGATATCAACTCAGTTGACAATACCAAATTACAATGAAGATGACATTTGATACAGTATAGTTCAATTGCATACGGTGCTCCAAGCTGGGGCTGGTTTGGATTTCGATATCAACTAACTTTGCTGCAAAAGTTTCCAATTAGACGAAACACTCAACCGACAGCTTAACTTTATGTCACATGTAAATGTACACTGTACCTTGTGGGCATCGCAGCAGGCTTGGTAACAGCTATGGCGACAGGTTTTCCATCTGAGGAAGCTGGTTGGGTTTTAAAAGGTTTAGACCCCCTGATCTGCTGTGACTTTACAGATGCTTCTGTCATCACCTGTGGGCTTCTCGAAGCCACCTTGCGAGTCACCTGTGTTAAAGGAAGAGGAAAGAAGCTGACCAATAAGTTCGAGTTGGTAAGACAGAAGTGAATTCTGACCAGAGAAAACACTGCGCCATTAGCAGGAGAAGAAAAATATTACAGAACATAGATTTGCCAAAGCCTAGATACACGTATGTCTCAAATTTACTCCTTTTCCATGGGACTATAGACTTGACCCACAATTAGTGCACACAGAAATTTTTTTAAGTTCTTTGGTCTTTGATGCATCAGTCTCCAAAATTTGAAAAGTTCTCTGGTGGAGTATTTGTGAAACTCTAACACTCCTCTCATTCCCTTTCCTTGGAAAAAAGTGTTCAATTGTTTGTTTGTTTGTTAACAAAAATGGTCATTATCATTAATAGCAGAGAAAACTATGTCTCACCTTGGTCTGTGCCACAGGACCTCCACTAACTCCACCTGATTTGTTATTCCCTTGAGATGAAGCTGCCACAGCATTCCCAGTCTTCTTTTGTTTTTTCTGTTGAGCTGTTGTCAGTGGAACAGCTGGTTCTTGGGGTTTTGTTATTACCTTAGCTGAAGCTGACTTTCCTTTAAATCGGGCAAGTCCTTGACCTTTTCTTAGAAATGTTCTTTGAGGTTTTTGAGTTGTACTTTGAGTTTTAGTTGCTGCTTTAGAAGCCTTAATCAAAAACAATTTATGTAATTATCAATAACCAATTTCTGAATGTTGCCATTTGCTACCATAAAAAAGACATGCAAGTTAAATGGAATCACAAAACAGTTACAGGTATGTGGTCATGAAACTAACCTCTGCATCAAGTTTCAGTTGTTCCTCTAAAAGTTCTTCAAAAGTCTTAGCCTGAGATGATCCTCCTACAGAAACAGAAACAAATAATTGAAATTCAAATAGAACTTTTGACAAGAAAAAGCAGTATTAATTGATTCAAAATTTATTTTAAATTCAATGAGACACTGCACTCCCTGTGCAATAGTTTAACGACTCATCGGCACTGGTAGATCCAAATAGAGGGTCAGGGGGTGGGGGAACCCCTCCCTTGTGGGTAATTTTTACCACCTAACTGATATGAAAAAATTTCTTAGGATGAAACATAGACCAGAAACAGCAATAGATGGTGTAAATACACCTTGAACACAAGAAACTAGGTTTTATGGGCATGAAATATTTTTAGAAATGTTCATGGTCTTTGGATCATGTTCATTGGTTTCACCATTTGGATAAAACTTAATATTGTGTGTCATTTGAACTTTGTAATAGGTCTTGCTTACCATGGAGTCTCTGTGGCTCAGTGGTAGAGCATCAGAGTGTGGAATCCCAAAGGCCTGGGGTTCAATTCCTCATGGAACTCTGAATTTTTTTTTTGTCCCATGCTTGTGACAAGACAAAAAAAGGCATCTTTTTCTATTTCTTTACCAAGCTCAAAACTTACCAACTCTATTATTTTATTAACAAACTTAATATTCTTTAACACTTCATAACTTATACCTATGCCAGGTTTTATTGGCATCTCATCTCCAACTTCAGTCTGACAGTTTTCTTCCATACGTTGTTCATTCTGATTACAGGGGAAAAAAAAGCATTCATTCATTAATTCTTATTTATTCAAAATAGGGAACAGTGTGTCACAATTTTGTAACACAAAAATTTGAAATGATTCATTTTTGTGCTAGCAAATGCTATCATTATGATATTCTATTGTGCATAATCCATATAGTTCAGTTAACTCCATTCCCATTAAACACAGTCAAATGCAATTTAACAGAGTTAAGAACAAAGATCATCAGTGTTCACTGGTAGTCAGCTGTTTTTGCATAAGCCTATGCACCAGAATAACATGTGCTCTTCTATTAAGGCATTCTTGCATGTGCTTTGAGCCTGAACTTTCAGAATTGTTTGGAGTGGCAGCTCATTGTCTTGGTAGTTTTCCACACCCCTTCCCTCCCTCTTTCCACTGTTTATTCAGTGTGACAGGTACCTGTTTCCATTTCCTGTGAGGGGGCTCATGGCTGGGTTGCCAGGATGTGCCAACCATGGGAGCAATCTCCATCTAAGAGCTAGCTTCCAATAGTGGAAGTTCCTGGTTGTCTCAGGCACCCAACCTCCACTTAGTAATGCAGTTGTTTAAGAGACAGCAAAAAATTTTTAAGGGGGGGGGGGGTTGTTCATCATACAAAAGCAGAGCCTGTTCCCCATTCCAAAATGACCTTTGTGTAGTTTTCTGCTGTTAACAAACTTCTTTGCAAGCATATTAAGTTTTTATTTTTAAGCAAGATGGTGTTTAAAGTAAGTCCCCTCACATATTGTGTTGATAAAGTAAATTGACTGTGGCAAAGAATTTTAAATCTGACATTTAGATCATTAGCCCTTCATCGCAATGAACTTAAAACATCGGCTTTAGAATCTCTCTGCAGTGTCAATCTACGTTATCAATCTACATTATCAACTCAGCTAACAAAAGCAATTTCATCTCGGTGAACCCCCCATCAATGCAGCACCAAAGTTTCTTTAAAAACTTACCCCCTTTATCCTGTTACATTATATTAATTGAATATCTCACTAAGACATCCTCATGAAAACTCACCATTTCCATAGAATCCTGTGATTGAGCATGTAAGTCTATAACAGTTCTATCCCTTTCATTACTTTCCTCTAATTCTTCCTCATCATCTGACTCTGCATCTTTATCATCTTCATCATTTTCATCCTCTATCTCATTAAAGCCCATGTCAGGCTCAGAATCATAGAGAGGGTAAACCCCACTCATAGTGTCTGCTTCAGAGTGTTCATCAACTTGAGAATCTATGTCAGCCACACTTTTTACACCAGCATTGTGACTCCATAACCTCTCTAGATCTGGTGTCATTGCTGGATTTCTATCATACTGAGAGGTATCAATTCTTTCAAGGTTCAGTTCTGGACAGTTATCATTATTTGTTACAGGATTGTTCTGAAACATATCACCTGGTCTTTGACTTATGACTGGACTTTGAAACTGTGGAGGAATTTTAGTCATCCCAAGGTGGGATAGGGGGTTACTTGTCATTGCTGATCCAATCACAGGCTGTTCTGATATGGGCCTGGTCCCCACCACAGAAGGAATAGTACTAATGGGGAAACGGTAATTTGATGAGTTCCACATTACAGGATAAACTGTCTCATTCAAATGAGGCAAACTTTCTTGAAATCTGTCTTTATCATTGACGGAGAATTTTGGATCAGGTTCGCCAAAGTGTTGTGGTCCAGGCTGTCTAGTTTGCATTTCAAAATCCATTTGGCTCATAGCAGAAGAGGGCAATGAAAATGTTGGTATGGATCTTGGAAAAACATCTGAACCATTCCTCACAGACTCAAAGCCTCCATCTTCAACTTGCACTCTTGACCCCATATCTAAGGGAGCCTGCAATCTCACACTTCCCTGTTGTAGTTGACTTGTGACAGTCACTGATCCTTCTCTGATAGGTTCAGCTTGACTTGACACAGTTCCTACAAAGTTTGGAGGATATGTTGGGGTACTTGTAGCAGTTTGTCCTTGAAGTTTTCTTTGGGCAGCCAAAATACTTTGAAGTTTGTTTTGTTCCATTCTTAGTGTCTCCATTTGTTGTTGTTGTTGACGGAACATACTCTCCTGCTGTTGTTGTTGCCACTGACGTAGCTTCCTAAACTTATCCACAAGTTGTGCCTGATCATGGGGCCTGTGGTTCTGTGCCTGAGTTGTCATGTTCCTTACCTTTAAAGGCTGCTGAGATTTTGCTATGGAAAAGAAAGGAGAAAGAGAAACAAAAGGTAAACAAAAAATGAATAGGGAATAACTTTGTTGTGTTTCATCAGCTGTTCAACTTAACCTCAGCTTTTTACCTCCGTAGCAATGGGAAGGAGGGGAGGAAGGAGGTATTCTCTCTAGCATTGCTTCTACGAAACCAAATTTAAAAGCGCTCTTGGACAAATTTCTACGAAAACTTGATACTGGAAACTAAACAGTGAAGAGGCTTACAGGTGTTACAAAAGAGATGCACTTCTAACTATGTGGCGATTATCGATATTAATGACCCAACATGACAAAATCAACTGTAATATCATTTATCTAGATCATAACGTCCTAGTACTACTACTACTGCTACTACTATTGCCCGTTGACAAACCAACTTTTACATACCGTCGCCTTGATCTAGAGCAAACTTCGGGTCTGCGTTGGATAACGGAACCTCTCTCTGCAGACTTCTCTCCTTTAAATATTTTGTCAAGAAAGGATTATTTTCCTTTTGCGAAGTATCATCGGTGATCGCTTTGAAACTTTCCATACTTCATGTGATCAGCCTTAGCTGAGGTGTAATCCAGTTCATTTTGTAAATTCCAGTGCATCGCGAAAGATCGCCATGTGGAATTTAAAATTCAGTCTGTAGTGGTGTGTGAAAAACAACTCGATCTATCCGAGGACTTCACAACTTCTTTTTAGACGACAACTGGCAGGTATTGAGCGTTTTAAGTTACAGGAATCTATTGAGGCGAAACCACATTGGAATTTGCATGAAAGGAACGCGCCATTTTTCAAAGTTTACAATACGAACAAGTCTATCAATTGGCATGCGCTCGAATAAATCCGCTGACTATCGTGATTGTGGTTTCAGACATGGCGAAGGAGGCGACTTCGAGGAAACTCGTAGATCTTTTGAAGAAGGAACTTAAATGCGAAAAATGTGAATCTTTAGGCTTTGCAAGTGGTGGCTGTATTAGTGAGGGAAAAAGTTTTGACACTGACAATGGAAAGATTTTTGTCAAAGTGAATACCAAATCGGAGGTATTGGTTCGTAAACAATGATCCAGGGAATCACCCTTCCTGAAGCTTACGATCAAAATAAATATTTCAACGAATCGATATTTATTTATGCTTTCTTTCAGGCGGGAGAAATGTTCGAAGGCGAATTCCAGAGCCTTGAGGAAATTTGTAGGACGGATACTTTGCGAGTACCTAGGCCAATAAAGGTTAATTTTTACATGAGCAAGATTAATCCCTATTAATTTTTTAAGTCAGTTTTACGTTGTTTCTGTAACAAATCGCACCATGTATTTTAATTTCATTAATTTTATCTAAAAATTTATTATTTAATTAATTTTTCCCCTTATGAAATTTTGATATTGACCAAAACCTGCTTTAGGCATTTAAATTGAGCAGTTTCAAAATTGATGTCACAAAGTGGCTAAGGTGAAAATTGAACTTTGAGTCGTTTAATCATACTTAAAAGAAGTGATTTAGAAAAACATTGAACTATAAAAAATTACGATGAAAAATTTCTTAAAAACATTTTAAGACTGCTAAAAAGCGACGACGTTTCGACGTTAGAGTTGATAATCTTACAGGAATCACTTTGGGACAAGTTACAAATCGTCATCTTTATCAATTTTATTATGCGCGGACTTCTTGAAAATAGTTAGCACCAAATGAACAACAGAAGATATAAATTTTGTGAAATAAAATCAAGTCAAAAAATATTGCAGTTTGTATATACCTAAATAATTAATCAGTAGCTTTTTATCACCCATTGTTAATTTTGGTATATATAAACTGCAACTTACAAGCAACAGTATGATGCTGTCTTTTCTCTGCATTTTAGGTGTTACCTCATCCATCTGGAAGTGGGGCAGTTTTTGTTGCAGAACATCTTGAGATGAAAAGCTTGAGAAAATACCAGTCACAGCTAGGGACAGACCTTGCAAGGTTAATGTTAAATTTTTATCCTTGGTTGAAAATTTCATTGCAGGAATGTTCTCCTTGCTGCAAGAATGCTAATAATATTTTCTTTTATAACTACTTGTTACAAATCTTCTGATATATATCAAATAATCTTTGACACACCCTTTAGGCTTCATCTGGACAATATAAACAAATTACAAAAAGAAACATCAGAGGAGAACAAGATTGGAAAGAGTCATAAACCAACTACGGTTGTAAAATTTGGCTTCCCATGCACCACTTGCTGTGGTTATATCGGTCAAGACAATGAATGGCATGACAATTGGGTGGTGAGTATGACCAGTAATGTACAACATTTAGCAACTCTTCTTCAGTCATTTTACTGACAATACCTTGAGATGAGCTTTTAAAATACTCTTTCCCATAGACTTTTTACACCAGATGTCGCTTACAACTTCAGATGGATCTTATTGACAAGCAGGTGAGTGAGGTTCATGGTATCAGCCAGCACATCTCTCTACAACTGTTAATAAATGAAAAGAAATGTGCTCACTGTCATGAGTACAAGACAAGGAATAGATTTAAGTCACTTACCAGGAATTCAACCCCAGACTCTCAGATCTTGGGTTCTGAGCCTTTACCTTGCCTATAGAGAACTCAGTTGTGAGTTAAGCCACTATTAGGCTCATGAAAAATCAACTACTCATAACAGTTGTAATAAAGGAGAGATAAAATGAAATTAGACATTTTTTTTCCTCCCAATGTTCTGAGTAATAATGCAGGATCAGATATGCTTGCTACATATGAACCTTACACGAAGCCTCAAGCTCACCATAAAGTTTCTCTGTATCTCAGTAGTAGAGCATACGAGAGTGGAGGTCTAGGGCTCAATACCTTGTGGGGGATTCTTTGCTGTGTCCCATGCCCCTGACAAATAACTTTGTAACAGTTACTATGCACTGATTAAGTAATTAACTTAAATTGAGTTTTTTTTATTTTTTTATTATCATGTTATTATCATGCAGTATGGTGACACAGAAACCAGATCCCTTTGGTCAAGACTTCAGCTCAAAATACCTGAGTTTTTCAAAGGCATGGACATCAAACCTTCTCTACTCCATGGTGACCTCTGGAGTGGAAATGCAGCAGAAACAGAGGATGGTCCAGGTTAGCTTGTATTTTCAGCTAATTCTTAGGAATATTTTGAATTTGTTAAATTATTATTTAACAATGCTAAATGTAGTTTACATAGGTGAGATTTAACTCTTGGGAATGCTAGCAAGCATTTTTGGGTCTTTAATATGTGGGGCAGTCTAAAGGCTTCACAAGGCCCAAGTATTTCTTATAGCATTCTTATGGGTGTCAAGCTATATTCATTTGCTCATGTTTCCTTCAATGCACAGTGACTGACAGCCTTTGTCATCCCATTCCTCTCCTTCCTTGTCGGTGGGTACTGGTTAGGAATGTTAATAAATTTCCCCACTGAGATCCTCAGTATGACTCTGCCTGCCTGATGAACTCACAGTGTTGCCTTGGCTACCTTATACACACACACTTCCCAGTCACTTTTTCCACACTTATGTATTAGTTTACTCCACCCAGTTTTGTTCTATAACTTCAACAAATTATTAATATTTGTTAATCTAATTGTTTGTTTAATATTCAAGTTGATATTTATACAATATTTTTTTTAGTTAAGCAACTCACATTGATAATGATAAAATATTATTGCTGACAATGACATTATCTATTATTACTGTTTTAAAGTCCAGAACCCTTTGACCCCAAAGACTGACAAGTATCTAATTTCTCCATACATCATCACCCCTGAATCTCACATTAAGATCACAAGAATAACAGAAATGATCACAAACTTAAGAAGCTATGTATTGTTAATAAATTCTCCTTCTCAGCACCTCAGGAAAGATAAGGAGAACAGTATGGAGAATATGCATACTGATATTAGGGTGTAAAGGGTTTAACAGAGATTGAGGTGAGGCTACATGATTGGTCTGCTCTCTTGCAGTTGCATTTGATCCAGCATCTTTCTATGGTCATCATGAGTTTGATTTAGCAATAGCAGGAATGTTTGGTGGTTTCTCCAAGGCCTTCTATGATGCATATCACAAACTGATACCAAAAGAAAAAGGATTTGAGGAAAGGCACCAGCTTTATTTATTGTTTCATCATTTAAATCATTGGTAAGTAACTTACTTTCCGACAACTGTGCATTTTAGTGGATGTACCTTCATTTGGCTTCTCCATGTTTCGTTATTTGTTTTGTTTTTTTTTTCCACTCCAAACAATTAGTAAATATTTGATCATGAAAAACAAGGTGTGTAAAGTTTGGAAGTGGAATATTAAAAAGAATTAGACAATACAAATATAAAGAACAAGAGTGGTATTTGACACAGTCATTGACAACATTGAAAAAGCACTGGGTAATCTTGAAACTTTCCACTTTTACTTTGTGTTCTGACCAAAATACATCCATGACACATTTACTCTTCAATCCTTACAATCTGTTTTTGCATGGTTTTCAAGTTGGCTTTCAATGACAACAAAAAGCAGTAAGAGGCTAGCTTGTGTCTCTCTGCTTCACCACCCATGTTACATGGTCATTGGGATTGGGTCCAAGAACTAGTCTCTATGTAAGCTACCACACACTTGCAGTCTGTAATTTAATTCTCATAATCAGAGTTTAAATGGAGTTTAAATTAACTGCAAAGGCAATTCGAATATGTGTTTGGAAAAGGGGGGAGGGATAGGGGTCAGGGTATATTGCCAATGAATACCATTTATTACCATAATGTGGAAAAGGGGGGAGGGGTAGGGGTATAATGCCAATTATTACCAGAATGCAATGTGGTCATCTAAACCTTTTTACTTCAAAACAGTTGGATATCATTAATAGCATGGAGTTAATCATTTTACAGGAATCACTTTGGGACAAGTTACAAATCATCATCTTTATCAATTATGCGTGGACTTCTTGGAAATAGCTAGCACCAAATGTACTACAGAAGTTATGAATTTTGTGAAATAAAATCAAGTCATTTTGAGTTTTTAGTTATGTTTGGTACATGAAAAGAACACACTTGATTTAATTAAACCCACTGTATTGTGCTTAAGTTTCAGATTATTCCATACAGATATATGCATCTCACAAACTATACTATGTAAACATAATTTTTAAAATTATTTAAGTGATTTTTTAAAAGTATTTACAGACTGATACCCAGTTGTCTCTAATAGGCCATTTTAAAGTTGTGTACTAACTTACCTAGCCTTTGATTTGGAGTGAGGCTGAAGTTGACCATGTTGTGATGGAGACCAGTATCTAGTTAGCATGATAACAAAATCATTTACATTTGAAAAGCAGCAGGGTTTGTATCATAGCAAGGTCACCCATAGTCTCACTCCTGTTCAAAGGCTTGGCAACCAAGCACGTAACTATAAAATGGACTGTTGGTCTGCAAGTCTGAAATCATGACCAGCCTGGTTGTTGGTGTTGTTGCATGTTCTTGAAAATCAAAACATGTCATCCAGATCATTCAAAGAAACATCTTCAAACCTTTCCAGTATTTAATTTTCTGCAGAGTAAAAATTTAATGTCCTGGACTTTTTGGTGACAAAATTGTTCCTCCTCATAACTGAAACAAACAAGTCTAATAGTGCACTTAGTGTTTGTATAGGAGAAATAAATTTGGTTCCTATGGAGAAAGAGGAGTGCATCACACTTGTGCAGGAAAAAGGAGCATAAAAGACAACTGAGCACAAGTCAGTTACTTGGAAATCATCTTAAAGCATGAATCGTGCAAAATTAAATATTATTACATAAATCAATAGCTGGTCAAAGTTTTGCCAAATGAACCATTTCTACAAAACAGTCTTAAGCGGTGTATCTTTGTTCTCAAAAGCCAGCAAATTCAAAATAAACAAGTTTGGTTTAAGAGCCACATTGTAGACTACTTACTAACCTCACTTGCTTGAGCCATACTGGGGAATATTGCACTAAGGTTTAAGTACTTCCACAACCTTGTGCCAATACCCCCCAGTATGGCCCTTAAGCTTGGTAAGTAAGAAATTACTATCACTCTGTTCAGTGAACATATGCACAATTATATGACCACCAACTTCTCCAGGTGTAAATGGAGGCATCAACCAGACTTCTAAACTGCAGTTTACAGTTTCTCTTAGTATATATAATTCTGTTTTCAGCCAACTTTGACAGATCAACGAAAAATTCAAAACTTTTGCCCACAGCATTATCACTTGTTTTGGCTTTAGTGTTATCTAACAAAGCATTTAATTTACTTGGTATAAAAATAAACAGGCTTCCTGAAAGATAGCCAAATCTACCACTTAAATAGTGTACAGGTCACAATCACCATTTGGGATTAATACACAACAAAAACACATGAATTATTTATGATCTATGTTTAAATCATCGATTATGTAAGTACTGATGTCAATGAATATAATATCATAATTCCTATCATCTCATTCAATTCACTCATCTAAAACATTGGTAAGAGCATCTAAAAAAAAAATATGATGAACCCAAAATGTAATAATATTATATTAAATCATATCCCTATATTATGACTTATGAATTATGACTTCTGTGCACGCTTGCTTGCCAAGTAGATGTTCCAAACAAATGCCATCAGGTTTCCACAGAGAACTCTATACTAAAAACACAAATTTCAAACCATTTGATTATTTATAAATTCCACCTTGTAGAACTCATTGCTGCATTCAAACTTTGCTATTTTCAAGCAGGCAGGGGAGATAAGTTGATAACCATTGAACATAATAAGCTATAGGGCTGTTACTTCAGGGAAGTTAAATGGTATATTTATTTTTTTAAGATATTGATAAAGAGTTTAATGATATTTTCCTTTTGTTCCCTTTTCTCCTCTGTTTCTTGTCCTTTCCTTTTTAATTTTAATTTTTAATGCTTTGACTATAGTTTCTGTGGGAGACACAATGGCCTAACAGTTAACCCTTTGACTCCTCAGAGTGACCAGCTTCTAATTTCTCCTTACATATCATCCCTAAATCAAACATTACGGTCCCCAGAATTGAGGAAATGATCACCAACTTATAAAGCTCTTGATTTTTTACACAAATTCTCCTTGTCCGCACCCTTGGAAATGTATAGAAAACAGTATGGAGAATATGCACACTGATGTTAAGGTGAAAAGAGTTAATGTACTGGACTCTGAGTCAAGAGGTCTGGGCCAGAGATTTGGCTGGGACAGTGTGTTGTGTTCTTGAGCAAGACAACACATTGGTAAGACTGGCATCCCATCCAGTGGGAGGGGAGGGGGAATTTTAAGACTTCTTGTCCCTTCATGCTACAGAAACTGGGATAAGTTGCTGCTGTATAGGCCACTTGCCTCGCGTACAGACTTTACCTATGTTCCATTCCCAATTGGAGTTTGAACAAGGATTTAGCTGATCCTAATATCACCAGTAATAATAAATTTTCATTACCTGTCTGGGTACATAGTTGAGATTGACATACTGAAACACAATCCACACTCTCCAACTCATTTTCAGTGCCGTCCAGTAAGTCTCGCGTATTTTCATTATTGCTTCTCTATGAGACTTCCCCTGCGCACAACGAAACAAAAAGCCCTTCATAGTCAAGACCTTGCCACCTTCTTTGATCAGGAGTGAAGCAAGAAAAAAGAAAACTTAACTGGATCCTAACCTAGAAGCAGGCCCTCATTACATGTATTTACAAGACACACCTTTCTCTGCCTACAAGTAGATTTGAGAGGAGTCATGAAGAGGTTTTCCAGGGTTCTGGCACAGATAATCAGTGTGACACCCCTGCCAGACCTCTCGCTGACTCCCTTGAGGCATCATATTTTCTCAAGGGCAAAGAAACCTTTGTACCAAGGGACTAACAATGCGGCCCTTTGCACAGCCTAACTGGATCCAATCTGGATTATAATATCTTATACTAAATATTAATTCTGGGTTTTTCATATCTCTCATTTAACATATACATTGTGATAAGTTAATTTAGTAGGCTGTATTCTTCTGTATGGCCTACTTATTACTTTAGGTCATTTTTGTTCTTCATTTCAGTAAGAAAAATGAATTGAATCTTTACAGGGCCATAATTGGTCCATTTAATGGGCCAGAATTTCACTATACAGCTCACTCAATTCAAAGTTTGTTTGAAGTGAAATCTAACCCCTCTATTTGAACACAGGGATGTAATAAATGTCTCATTACCCTTGTTTCTGGGTCTGTACCATAAGTTACAGTATGGCCTACACACTTTGTGCTTGGGCCATCGAGTGGAAAAAACTGGGTCTGAAACTTACAATATGAACCTTGAAACTCAGTTGTAAGAGGTCTTAATTACTAGTTGCACTTTTTGAAAGGGTCTGGCCCTGACATTTTAAATAACTAACCCTATACAACATAACTGCAGAATAAGCTTACCTCTAGGATTGCAACAACATAAAAGAACACCAACAAAAACACAGGGCTGAATATGCCTCTGTCAACAAACAATCTTTTGGCTTTTGCATAGGAAACCTGCCTAGGGACTAGTTTGTCCAAAGCCTCATAGAAATAGTGTATGAGAGGACCAGTTGCACAAAACCTGTTACAAAAGAAAAGAAAACAAGAGAAAAAATAATTTGGCTCTTTGGCAAAAGAAAAACAAACTATTTCCCCTTCCTGATATTTTTCAATCTTCTTGTCACCTATCTACTTGCTTATGTATGGATGTTTGTGGAGAAATCAAAGGATAGCCACTCTGATCAGCACCTAATTTCTCCTTACAGTTACACCGCTAAATCATTCATTACAATGATGAAAACGAAGGAAATGATTGCCAACCTAGGAAGTTTTGATTGTTAAACTCTCCTTGTCAGCACCAAAGGAAATGTATGGAAAATAGTTTGGAGGATATGGATACTGATGTTAGGGTGTAAAGGGTAACTCCTCTACTTCTTGTATTGAGTATAAACATTGCTGTTAATCACATGGTACTCACCCAAATGCGGCAAAGGCTATAACGGGTCGGTACTCAATAAGTCCACCTGTCCCACGTTTGACAATCTTTTGAGAGACAAGATTGCCAAGACCAGCTGTAAGGCCACTGTAAAGATGGAAATTTTGAAATGACGCATTAGAATGCTTTAACTATATCTATGGGAGGTTCAGTTGTCCAGCTGGAGGGGGAGAATTGACATTCAGATCTCAGAAGTTAAAGGGATCACTTGAGCTTTAAAATCAGGTCGGCAACATGCTAGTCTTCAGAGAATGACAAGTGCAGGCTAATGTATCCTCGAGCCGAAAGTCTCCTCCTGCTCGCGGGATAACTGCGCGAGCGCACAGGCAGAATTATGTCATTACATCGCACGCAGTATGCAGCTATAAAACCGAGAGCCAGCACTGCAACCAAGCACGAATGAGTTGCACGCATTCCTTATATTTCATACAGTGCAAGTGGCTAAGGCTGGTCCAATACCTCAACGTACAATCGATGTTGTTCGGTTCTACATGAAACCTAGGAAACTTATTGAGTGGAAGGTGATTCAGTGTCAGTGTCATGATATATGAGCGACTGAATATGCGAATCGAAAAAAAGTAACACATTTTTCATCACCTTGTGACGCTCTTCGTCAATATTGGATGCTCCATGATACAATGGTTGTAGCGCGTGACAAGCTGGGACAAAATGCTTTCGATCTTTTTTTCGTCGCGGGATTTATCGGAAGAACCCTCCATTTTGGATTAGTTTAGAACTCAAAACTAGAGGGGTGGACTGGGAGTAAAATTGTATTGGTACCCAATCTTTTGACAGGAGCCTGGGGAAGAAAACACTGACAACGTGTTTTGGCATCAAGCGTGGTTTCTCCACAGAATTTTGTCTTTCCAATCATCTTTGTGATGAATAAGGAGTGAGATATGCAATCGAAGACTTGTGAAGTCTGTAAAGAAGCCTGCCACAAGTACAAATGCCCATCCTGCAGTACGAAGTAGTAAGTAAACATGCAAGAAATTCTTGATATTTCCAATACTTTGGCTCGTGCTCCAAATATTTATAACTAAGCTACTTAATCTAGACTTACCCCGGAAAAATTTCCGCACAAGCCCATACTTCATTATGCATGCACATCTTATTGGTTTTGCACTGAATAATAAATCCACATATACGGATGCATGATGAAGTATGGGGTTGTGCGGAAATTTTGCCCCTACCCCTTTCACCCAATATCACCTTGTTGATTCTCTTTACTTTTCGCCATACAATTCTTGGAATGTTCGTTCAGAGAATTTGGTTTTGGATCAATTTTTTTCCCTTGTTGATGTTTTTCTTTTTTTCTTTTCATTTCCTTGTCTGGTTGATTGTAAGGAGAAATTCTGTCTTGGTCACTCATGGGAGTTAAGCAATTATTGATTTTTTTTCCGTTTTTTAGTTGCTCTCTTTCCTGCTTCAAGGCTCATAAAGGTATGATATGAGGAGCCTTTCCTTTTTAGTATTACTTCTATGTATGTGAGAGTTCCAACATTGCTCTTGTCACAATTAATTGAATATATAGTCACAAAACTCTTTTTGTCACAGGATGATTGTATCCTGTTTCCTTATGAGCCACTGGTATCCTGAGTAAGAACAGATCAGATGGAGTGGTTGCATGCCTTCCTCAGCTAACCTGAATAGGAGAGTTTTATTTTCAATGACTGGATGGGCTTTATCTTGAATAGCTTCAGGAATAGGATTTTTTTTTCTGAAATATCGCATATTTTGGGAGGGTGTTGGGACCTGAAAAAAGAACTTCATCTGGTGATTAACTTTGGGCCATGTCTAACCCTTTACACTCTAACATTAATATGCATATTCTCCATACTGTTCTCTATACATTTCATAGGGTGTTGACAAGGAGAATTTCTTTAATAATCAAGAGGTTCTTAAGTTGGTGAACATTTCCTTTATTTTCCCGATGACCAGCACATATTGATAAAGTTAAGCTTTACACCCATTTTCTTAGCTGTTGTGGTATCAACATTCCCCTTTTGCAGATGACATTTGTGAAAGAGAAACCAACAGAAGAAAAGAAGAGAAATTAGAAGAAAATGAGAGAAACTTAAGAGCCATATCACTGGCCAAGAAAGGTGCAAGATGATTTTTATTCATTTAAAATCAAGATTTTAAAATATGCCCAAAAAAGCTAGTGCATCAATTAAAATATTTTCATTTGTAGAAACAGAGGAAGGAGAAATCACAGAGAGTGATTCCAGTGAAAGATCAGATGATGAAGACAGGATCAGTAAAAATGTTTTGGATAAACTAGGTAACTACCTCTCTTGATAATGCATAAGCTTCTATACACCGAAATATCACTTACACCCTCCTTGCAAGTAAACCGAGGAGATGCAATGACCTTACTGTTAGTGCTCTGGTCTCCAGGATAAGAGGTCCGCATCAGAGTGGGTAATTATATTGTTTTGTTGGGCAAGACTCTCTACTTTCACAGTGCCTCTGTCCAATAGGGAGCGTAAATGAGTACCACAGAACTGTTGGTGTAAGGGGAACCTGTTAAAATGCTTGGGGGAATAGCTGTTAAAATGTTTTGATGGACTGGCATGCCATTCTGCTTCCCTGTCCCAAGGGTCTTCTCTCTTACTCCCTCAAGAAAGGACCCTGATTGTGGCTGGTCATGTCTCCCTGATTTTGTGAGATTAAAACAAAAGAAAACAGCACCAAAACAATGCTTAAGCATAAAATTTTTCCTAAATACCAACTGGACAGGTAAAGGGAAACTTTTTGAAGAGGCACTCATGATTTGTCCCTCCTGGTGATAGAATTTAATTGCACTGATGACAAAATTAAGTCAAGGACCCACACTTCCCTATGGCATTCTTTGGACTGCAATTAGGCACATGACCAGCCGCAACTGGGGTCCTTCTTTGAGGGAGGAAGAGAGGACTCTAGGCTCTAAGGAGGAGATTGCTAATGCAAAGGGAGAAGAGATGCTCTTGGTCACGTCATCTCCCTGTCCTTCCTCGTACAGTGTTGAGAGTAGAGGTAACAACAAGAGCTACAAATCAGTTTCTACCACAATTGGCAGTAATGTTGTAATCTGATTGACCAATTTGCCATTGTTGATAGGGGTAAAGACAATGTTGCTCGCATCAAGGTGTCACACAATGCCTTTATCAGCTCTCAATCATGGACAACATGCAAATTTTGACATCGATGTTGTGGTAAAAAACAAATCAACCAGTCTGTCAAATAATACAGACCATGCTAAACCAGTGTTGATTTGTTAATTTTGCAAAGTGAAAGGGAGGAATAAAACCAGTAATAGAGATCCCTGAGTTGTTATTCCTTTTGCCAGAGTGTCCATGACACTCATATTGATTTTTTTTTTTTGGGTGGTAATGGTAAAAAACGACTCTTGATAGTTTGAGCTGTACTAAGCATGATAACAGTTCAGGTGTGACCCAAGGATTTGTTTGCATTCTCTGTCAGGTCACTCACAAAAACTGAGCAGCATGCTTCATAATGAACATCTGCGAAAAATGATCAAAGGAATCGATGCTTCAGAAGATCCTGGCAAACTTCTCGGGCAAGCTATGCAAATACCTATTTTTACAGAGTTTGTGGATGAATGTTTGAGGATAGTGGAACCACAAAATGAAGAAGAAATGGAACAGGAGTGAAGTTTGTAACCAGAAGGTGGAATGCACCTTCCAGCTGAGAAAACTTAGGCAAATGCTATACCACAGTTTGGTATTCAATCAAATCATCAGAACACTATTTGAACTATTTTATTTTTTTAATCCACTTGCTGGAAATGGGAATCTGGATGTGGTAACTTTATTTTAAGCAAATTCAATTTTCTTGTGTCAGAACAAGTCTGAATCAGTTAAGAACAAATTTTGATTTTTTGTTGTTAAAGTGAAACTAAACTTATCACATACAGTTCACTATGTCAGACTAAAGCAAAATGTCACCAGCAACCAGAATTTGAACTACTGGTAAATGTAAAAGAGAAAAAAAAGTAAACTGTCCAGAGATTCTCCTTACTGTCTGCAATTCAACTATTGTGATTTTAAATTGGAGAATTTTGCATTGGATCAACTAATCATCCCCCAATTGATATTTTTCTTTATCCTCATCTCCTCATCTCTAACCCTAAGCAAAAAATGCTGTGTGATATTTTCAATGAAAGTACTATGAGCATTGATTGCCACTTTTTTACCATATTGTACCAAAATTCGAAAGGTAGTTAGTTCGATCTGATCTTCTAACAAAGTGATTTTGTCTTCGTTGGCATTTGTTGAATCTGCTAGCTTCCACCTCTGTATTATCTTTACAAATCCACCCATCTTTATTGTGTTGTATTCAATGCTTTCCTTTTCCTGTATGACTGTTGTGTTGGCAGGAAAAGTGTAGACAAAACTGGTTTCATAGAATCCTAAGTCAATTTTCATTCTTTCCTGAACAACATAATAAAAGGTTTTGGTTCCATCTCCCCCTTGTGACATGGTAATATTCATAATACCAACCCTGAAGTAAAAAATAAAATTGAAAAAAAAAAAAAAAATATATATATATATATATGTACATGTATATATTGAGATAGGGGAGAAGCAAAGAGACTATACTCTATCAAGACTATATAAGACTTAAAGTACAGTCTCTGTGTTTTCCCTATCTCAATATACATTGCGCTCTACCTCTACGTATCGAGGACCGTACTACGGAAAAATCGAAACACAGACTTCTATATGTACATGTAAGTATAAATATATCGAGTATTTATTTATAATACTTATAAGAGGAATAAACCACTCTCTCCTCACTACAAATAAGTATTACATGACTTTTAGAAATGCAATCGATTTTGGGTGTGATCAATTTAAGGTCAAAGTGCACTCTTAGGTCTTGCATTTTGATAGCAGATAGACTAACCATGGGCTAACGCTCGAAACGCCAGCTAGAGAAAATCTTTAGGGAGACCAATTTACATCATCAACTCAGTTGATAAAACAAAATTATCTTGTAATGCTCTACAAAGAAGCAGCACCACAGATTCTATAGAAACTTAACGTCTTTATTCCTTTGACGTTTAGACTGCCTGTCGAGCAGATGTCTTTCTTAGGTAACCCTGGTTTTAGTTATTTTTAACACAAAGTCGTCGATGGCAGTCTCAGCAATATTTCACTACACGCTCAATGCCCTTCGATTTTTCTGATTTGGACTTCAGAACCAAATAGAGCAGAATCCTCCCTCAACCTCGTGAACGAAGTCGAAATGAAAAGCTAAGTGCACCATGCTGCATGATCGAATACATTGTTGTTTCTCACTCGGAGCGAGAAAACAGCCGGTTCAGAACAGACCTGTATTTTTTATTAACGAGATGGACAACTAATCGACCTTGAAACTAATCTTGTCTTTTAAAAAAAGGAACAAAAAGAAAAAATAACAGAGACTCAGGGCAAGTGAAATTCCTTTGTAAAACAGGTGCCAACATTACTTACAGCAAGGGGTGAAACTTCCAGAGCTTCTGAAGGTTGAGCAACAAATCAAAAACATCCGTCCTCTTCGCCGGTATGAACTTCTTTACTGAGAAAATTTCCGTAACCACTGTAAGTTCTTGGTAGGAATAGTAAACAAGAAAGGCTGCAAAACAGGCCCAGAATGCGACTTTCACCGCCATTATTTTGCGTGATCCTTAGTTCTGGGCTTGTCACGCAACTAGGAGTACTGTACTTTAGAGCTTGACCATTCCAGTGCAAGGCACTTGTAGATATTTCAAAGAGTAAAATTTGCCCATGCAGTTTTTAGTCGTAGTGCATTGGTGAACTTTGAGTCTCGATGACAAATATTCAAATTAGAGCGAAAAACGTTCGCGCGTGTGCACATTGTAAGCTATGATTTAAGCCAACATTTGCTTTTAGTCACGCGAACATAAAATCATTGCAAACTTTTCCAAAATATACTTATAAATCCAAAAGCGGCTTGAAACATAGGATGAGGTCAATTCACTGTTATTCCTCCAAAATTTGTAATTGCTTTCAATTTCTCGGAGATTTAATCGTTTGAAACGCTTGGGAAGATTGCCTTTCGTTGCTACGGTTAGGATGCAAACAACCTCGCAAACGTCTTTCGAACGGCATTTGAACTTCTGAAGATTGCATCGTTCAAATTCCCGCCCCCCTGGCATGAAAATTGCGCTAAAATACCCTACCCTAGGGCCGGATTTGATACTCACATGCCATTCCCAAGAACAAATGTTTTTAGAATGTGTGAGAAAATAAGGCAAGGTGTCATGACAGACTGGTGTTTCATAGCAAAGCAGTTGCCGCCCATAAAGAGTGGATTCTGGTAGTTTGAGAGCAAATCAGTCATGTAACTCCTCTATAAAATGTAGTTTTCAAACAACCAGTATAACATCGGATCATCATCTCTTACAGAATGCATAGATAGATAGATAGTTTATTTATCCACATAATGCCTAGGAGCATATATACTTGTTTACAATGCACATGTGCAATCACAAAATACTGAAAATAATGAAAATTACACAAGTATAAAGGACTATAAACAATCATGTGCAGGGCACTGTAACAAATTCTTATTATGGTGCTTAGCAATAAATAAACGGTACAAGGTTTAATTTGTCCTTTATACTTCTAAAAGTATTCACATTACCAGCAATTCTAGCATTGTGTGGTAAAGTATTCCAAAGGTGGCTGGCTATGGATGTTTCTGAAACTCAAGTTAGTAAAAAAAAACATAACTTTGATAACATAACTAAAAATTGCAGATCTTATTCTTTACAATGTAGATGCATTTAACAACAGCGTCAGAGATTATTCAATGTTAATTGATTTCCAGTTGACTTTTTGCACTTAAAGGTGACCTATAATATGGACATTGCAAACAATAGGATCATACTATATATTTGAATGAGAAGACCAAATCATGAGAGTAGTACAGTTGGAGAGAGAGAGAGAGAGAGAGCGAGAGAGAGAGAGTGAGCAAGTTGATTAAAACAAAAGGTGAACTTTTGGAACACAGCAGACTTCTTAGTCTCATTTCTGACAACAGTTTATTATAATTATTATTATTATTACTATTATCAATAAATTATTGTTATTATTATTTTTATAATTATTAGAACCTAATACATTTACAACTCAAATTATCAAAAATTGACTAACTACTCCAATCTTAAAAACAAAAGGGGAAGAAAAAATAATCTAGCATTTTTGTCTATATTTTATATAGACCTTCACCAGCAAAAACAAACTCTTTATCTTAGTTTAAACTCTACCAACTTAGAAATAATACACCTATTACACTATCAGCTGCCGCTCATGGAAAAAATTATTGAATCCCCTGTATTAATGTCATGAGATCATGCAGGTTGGTTCTCAAATATTTGTGAAATAAGAAAGTGTTCAAGCAAACCATGGAATTTTGTTGAACAAATGTCACTTATAAAAGAGTGCTCTCAGTTGTCAGCCACTTTTGTCATTTGACTCCTTGCTTTCCTTTAAGAAATGCTGTATGATATTTTCAGTAACGGTATTGTGTGCTCCAAATGCTACCTTCATGGAATATCGTAACAAAATGCGAAAGGAAGTAACCTGAAAATGATCCTCTAACGAACTAATTTTATCTCCACTTCCACTGGTATAATCAGCCATCTTCCACCTCTGTTTTAGTGTGAAATAACCACCCATCAGTAAGGCTCTGTTCTCAATGATTGCATTTTCCTCTATGACTGTCTCATTCACAGGAAAAGTGATGTTTTGGTTGATTTCAAAAAACCCTAATGAAATGGCTGTTTTATCAGTAACAACAAACTGAACAGTTTTCATTCCATCCCTTCCATTTGATGTTGTAACATTGGTGATACCAACACTGAAATTGAAGAAAAAAATGTGCTGAGTAGTTGAAGATGTGACAGAGGAAGACTGAGCTCTCCCTCTTTAGCAAAACTTTGAAGTCAGAATGCTGGTTTTAACCCTTTCAACTCCCATGAGTGACTGAGACAGAATTTCTCCTTACAATATCAATACTTTGCCAAGCAGACAAGTAATGAGTATAAAGAAAACATCAAACAGGGTATTGTGTGTTGATCCAAAAGAAAATTTTCCAAACTAACATCATAAGAATTGTATGGCAGACAGTAAGGAGAATAACTGATGAGATCTTGGGAGTAATAGGGTTAAATTTTAATAATAGAAAACTGTTAACAATCAGATCCAGACTGCTTTCCAAGATCCTCTCTCCATCAGACGACACCAGTTCTCCCCCGAAGATAACTTCCACTCTAGGAGTGGAAACATCAGTCAGTAGTGAGTAAGAATGGCTCTAAGAGAGTGCATTTTTGTCCTTTAACCCTTTAACTCCCAAGATTTGATTGTTGATTCTCCTCTCTAGCTGCTTCACATTTCTTTGTAAATCAGTTATGAGAACTTGGCGTTGAATCAAGATAACTTTTACTAAGTTTTACTATATTGTAAAACACAATTTCCTCTACCCGAATGCACTGCAAGTCGCTATCTTATTTTTAAAACGCCAATGTCGCTGTTGATTGTACTCTACTCTTTGTCGCTGTGGTAATTTCGCTTGTGATGCAAATCTTTCATATCTGTTCAGGGGATCGAACTCACCTCTATCTCGTTAAAAAGGTGAACAAAGTGGCCCATACACTTACAATTAAAGTTTTTTCTAATGCTTTATTTTCTTAATTACCAGTAACTTACCACAAGGGGTGAAACTTTAAGATATAATCTGGATTGATCAGCAGGTCGAAAACATCCTTCCTCTTAGCAGGTATAAGCTTCTGTATTAAAAAGCTTTCGGTGACCACTGTGAACTCTTGGATGGCAAAGTAGCCGAGGACAGCTCCCAGACATGACCAAAGAACGATTTTAACAAAGGCCATATTTCTGTATGTACGAATGGATGGATGGTCGTGTAGGAATGCTTTCCAATAAAGTTGAAGGAAGATGGCGTGACGAGGTGGCGACGGACTGGTGCAAAATAAAAACGTCCATCCGCCAGGTGATGGTTTTTAAATCGATTCAGAGCGATTTTGGTTAAATGAAGTCAAAACCATCTAACATCAGTGACTCATTAAGCTGCGTGTCGAGTATGGGTGTCGCTAAACCGAGGATCAGCAACCGCGAAACCTGTAAAATTGTGAATTTGGAACTGTAAAATTATGAATTTGGAACTGTAAAATTATGAATTTGGAACTGTTAAATCCATGGAACCCGTGGAACCTGTGGAACTTGTGGAACCTGCGGATCCCTATATTTTTGTAAAAGAATCGTAATGAAATAAAATAAAAACTACAAAGACCTCAACACAGTTTGAAAGTTCGTTTCTGGATATAAAAAATATTTCTTCAGAAGAAAAATATGTTTTAATTGTCTTTCATGTACAACTTTCGACGACATGTACAACGGCGACATTCACCGTACAAGAGTGTGTAGTGTCACTGATGAGCAATCAGCAGTCACGTACCACAGTTTGAAAGCCCTGATGGTTTGGCTACCACGATATACGAGTAACGAAGACTTTCGGCAAACCTTTATTGACGGTCATTAATTCCGTTTCACTGTACGCAATGCTGGAATGACGAACACGAGTGTCATGATGAAATAACATCATCGCCTGTGATGCGTCGTTATCGCGAAACTTATTGTCATATTGTTTTCTGTGTGTATTGCGTTTGCGCCTGAATTTCCTGCGAGTGTTTTAACGTTTCAGTAGTTGTATCGCGTACTTGTGGTTGATGTTTGAACCATTGCGTGATTTTATGTAATTATGTCGAGTAATATGTCAGGTTTTGGGTATAAATTTTGTCCTCTGGAGCAATTTTTATGTCCACTTTTTAGGAAGTTGCGTCGTCGTTTTTTCACTGTAAAGTAATGCACCGTTAAGATCTGAATGTACTGGAGAAAAATTTATGACTTATCTTTTTAGACCTTTTAGATAAGCTTTTTAATAAGAGATATATGAGATATTTTACTAAATTTTGACCTTTCGCCTGTAAGACATTTTCCCTCCATTTTTTATAATTAATTAAATTTATTTACTATACACTGAAAGGCGCTAAAGGACATCGCCAGGAGTCGCGCTAAACAAAAGGAAGTATTATTTGATTCTGAGTAACTCCGAGGGCCGGTTTCTTTCACGAAGTCCAATCCAAACCACACGGTATTAAGTTATCAGTAGGTCTCAAACTTCTCTATAAGAGGGTTGATTTATTTTAATAAATATCCTTGCTCTGTCAGCTTCTCTTCATAACAATAAATGTTCAGATTAAAGATCCAGCTAACTCAAGAATAGTCTAGGACATGGTTTTCTTAAGTAACAGCTAAATTTTGTTTGAATAACCAATCCTTAAAGAAAGCCTGAATAATTATACGAAAACGGTCATGGGCTTAGGCAATTTAAACAATTAAGTTGCTGTGGGCTGGTCTCTGGTATGTGATAATCCTGAAATTACAAAAATTTAAAGGTTTACAAAAAAACACTTTCCTTGTTTCAGTCGCGAGTTACTTCTTTTCAACTGCCAGACTGGAGAAAAATGAATGAATAGAAACTGAATCACCTTTCTAATAAGAGAGATGTATAAAGAGTTTAAATGAAACAGCTTGAAAAGAAATAAATTAAACAAAACATACTCTTTAAAATTCCCAGAATCTGCAAGTTGTTCAGTTCTGAAAGTCGACGCATATTCTCGAAAATCATTTTAATCACTGTAATCGAATGGATTGGTCTTTCAATCTATCTTTGTGAGTCCTCCTTGCTTTTAATTTTGGAGATTTTCGATAGGTATTGTTAGGGTGGCAATAGCTAATCAATTATTCATTCTCCTTACAGAAAACGCTCTGCACTGCATTAGAACTTGTTTGCAAAAATTAAAACAGGGCCAATTAAAGACGTGCGTCTGACTGTGCTTGAGGATGAAATTGCTTTTAGACGGAAATAAATTCTGATGTTGGGAAGAAGGCGAAGATGAAGGTAATATTAAACATCATTTACAGTACCTGTGCTCGCCGGATCGAGCGATTAACCCTAAAATGGTATTTTTCTTGATTAAGTTCCCACGATTCTAGGTTTATTTTTAACACTAATCCTGCATGCCAAAATGTCAGACGAAACTAAGATAAAGCTCTTCGCAAATAATATCTTTAAAAATGTCATATTAATTAACGCTATAAGGAATCAAACCGATTTCAACCTTTAAAAATCTCACAGGCGTCAATTAAGAGAGGGTCATGAACAATTTCTGACCGAATTACCAGTGGGTACTATCGAGGTCAGACCCAGGCCCCGTTCAAACAACGCTGGATAAATTGTTCAACAAAAAACTATGTTTTTAACTCTACGTATCCAACACTCTCTGATTGCATATCCGCAGGAAGGGAGGGTATAGTTTGTGAGATTATCGCTCTCTCCTATTTCATAATTTCCTTCTGCCACGAAGTCTATTATAATGCAAAAAACAAATCCCTTGTCTAAGCATTTATAGCAGGGGAAACTACCAACTGAGATATTTCCTAATTTGTTACAGAGTGCAAGTGTAAAGGTTCTCACACTCTGAAATCGCTTTTAATTTCTTGCTATCATTCTTGTTTGAAGCGGAGGCTTGTCGCCTGAAGATGAACAAGGAGAAAATTTCCACATAGGTTCAGACGCTTTCCCAAAACTGAACTTCGGAGTTAAGATGTGAGTATCTTGATACAATATGTATACCGAAATATTCCGAAAGCAAATGCCTACGTTACTTTGAAATAACCTGCTTCAAAATTTGATCGTCTCTCGATGTAAACGACTTTTGTTTCAATAATTCATCCGTTTGTACTAACCAACAAAGTCCTAATAATTTATATACCAGGAGAACCTCTCAAGAGTATCTTTGTGGCTTCATCATTCCACTATCCGTGATTGCTGTATTAACTATTGCTGTAGTAACTATGGGGTCTGGCCATGATACCAGCACACCATGTTCTGTCACATCCGCTTTCACTACTGGAGGGGAAACGGTCGAAGGCTACGCCCTATTTGGATACACTTTTGAAAATGTTTCGGTGACAGGGCAGTTCAGTTGTTGGTTAGAATGTCAGCAAAATTGCCAGTGCGTTTCTTTTAACTTTCTAACAAATGTTAAAAGAGACAACTGCCAGCTGAATAAAGAGGACAGATTTCAAAGGCCTGGCTCAATGAAAGCACTACGCGGATCCCAGTATTATGATCTTATGGCCGGCTACAGAGTTCAGGTACAAGTATTCTTAATTTTTGCGACGTTTGAGCGCAACTTAACATTTTTCTTCAAAATATGATAGCAGGTTACTTTAAACTTCGCTGAGCATAGCACATGGATCGTTATTATTGATATCTTGAATATACACACGACCAGCGGATATTACTGAGCTTTATGGGATCGATATTACCGGAACGGGCCCTGTGGAGGTTTCAACCCCAGCTCCGTTATTCAGTATTTTGTGAGAACATTTACGCTCAGAGAGTCTCTCTCTCCACCCAGGGGTAGCCAAATGCTGGGGGTAGCCAGTGGTGGACAGTCAACCATTCAAAGAGGAAAAGCAGTTTAGTGGCTTCATACATGAAAATCAAAATATGCGAAAATTCGTAATGTAATTCAACCTTAGCCTGCAGCACGCTTCTCTTTCTTCCAGCGTTTTTCGGAAAAATAAAGGCGAGCGCGAGGCGAATGCAAGCAATTGCGAGGCGAGCGCGAGAAAAGGCGTGAAGGGTAATACACGCGCATTCAGGAGTTTATCTTTGCGCTTGTTTTCCCGCGCGTAAGTCGCCCCTCACGCTTTTTTTCACTCCTGCCTTATGTTTGCCTACGCTCGCCCGAAAATACATAGAAATTGACACTTATCCCGTCGACTTATAAAGTTTTGATATTTAAACAATAAAATATCAGTAAATGTTAAAGAAATTATTGGCTTTTGACCCGCTCTACTATCCCGCTCATTGAGATTTTGAAACATGGCTTCGGACCCGTTAAGTTATCCGGAATTTCGACAAGCGGCCAGTTAGGTCCTTAGATCTGGGGTCTGACGCGCTCACAGTTAGGTCACGCGACCCTCCAAACCATCCATTTCTTTTCCCTAAATATAAGCCAATCAGCCGAGTCCGCGTTAGAATGTAGCTATGTTATAAAACCAAATGGCCCATGTGAGGGACAGTAGGACAGTAAAAATAGTGTTAACTCCTGAATCTATTAAATTTGTGGACTCAAATTAAGCCATTACAGAATATGCTAACCATGTTGATATATCCTTTAGGGCCGAGATCAGCCGTGTCTTAATGGTGGATTATTGCGAAAAAGCTGCGACTTGATGGGAAAATTCTTTGTCTGTGATTGTGCTAAGGGATTTGTTGGTCAGTTTTGTCAACATGGTGAGATATCACTTATTATAATCCATCGAATATCTTTGCTCACACGCGATCGGTCCAAACGCATCACGTGACCGAATATCCCCCAGCTAAAACTGGGGGATATCCGACCATCGGATAGGGAAATCACAGAGTTTTCACTGGCTCAGCCATCATGGGTTAGGAGCCATTATGCCATGCGTGTGCATGAAGACGCTTTAAACCGAAAGTTTTTTTTTGTACTTGGTAACACTCCGTTTGTTCTTACAGAATAAAGTTGGGAAGATTTATCTATATTTTGGGGCGTTTTTAATAAAAACATTATTCCACTCGCGCACGTTGGATATAGGATGATTATAGCCAACTCAACCTTACGGGCCACGTTGGCTGTTCATCATCTGATATGCAACAAGCGCTTGCGGAATAGTGAGAAATACCTCAAATGATATTTCCCAATTTTTACGTCTAATACCTTACCTTTACCTTATGTCCAAAACGGAAAACTCTGTGCACAAAATTTAATTTAAGATCAAGGAGCATGGTTGGCTGTAAAGAAGGAGGAATATATATTGTTTTTGTTCGTAAAATCGTACCAAATAACATTGAAACGCGAACATCCGAAGCCGTAAACAGTTAGCTGATTGTAAACAATTTTCCCGCGCGTTGACTGAAATATTTGAAGGACGATAAACACAAAACCTCCATTTGGCCCGAAATAACGCTCGCATATTTGTCTTTGAACATTATCTGGTCCTCAAAGGGCATCACGGGAAAGGCAATGTCCGCGGACAAATATCCATGCATATTTTTGCGACCAACGATGGAGGCCATTGTTTATAGATACTATACAGTTATTGGGTGATCATTGATAGACCATTAACCAATTATCGATAGGCATATTGACTGGGGCTATCTATAGTACATCTTATCCCTTTTGCTTCGTTGTATAATACTTGATTAAAATGCGCTTCGACATACAGATTGTCGGCAAGCTCTTGGCATGGAGAGCGGCATTATCTCGGACGGACAAATCAGCGTCTCTTCCGAGTGGCATACCGGCAAATTTGGGGTCAACATGAGCAGACTGAATAGCCCTAGATCCTGGAAATCCGGCACCAAAGATAACTACCAATGGCTGCAGATTGACCTGGGCAATCCACTGACCACAATAACACGTGTCGCCACACAGGGAAGGGAGAATTCACAGAACCCACAGTGGGTGACTAAATACCAGTTGCAGTACAGTGTTAATGGAATAAGTTTTCTGTACTACAAAGAACACGGACAAAACCTACCTAAGGTTGGTGAGCCTGCGTTGACAACTCGGCAGTTTTTATACATATTTTCAAGGCTTAATTTGAGGAACTGATCTCATTGTAACCATTTCAAAAACGAATGCAAAATTGTCATTGTTGAGAGAGTAAGTATATTAGGGTCATGAGAATGAAGGAAATGATCAAGAACTCGAGAAGCTCATGATTGTTAGACAAATTCTCCCAGTAAGTGCCATAAGAAATGTATAGAGAAAAGTCTGGAGAACTTGCATACTTATCACTAGCGCAAGGTGGTCGAAATCACTCGTGCCTAGTAAGAACGATGGCCTGTGACACTGGCAAGGAGGCTATCAGACATGGTCCAACAACCTCAGAGAGGTAAACTATCAGTCTATTAACTGCCGTTAATAGACTGATAAATGCCGTAAAATGGGCGGAATAAACTTAGCTTGGGCTGCGGGATGGTCCTCATCATCAGAACGTCGACAAAAACGTTTTTTCGAAAGCATGAAGCCTAAAGCAATGTTAGCCGTCGATAAGTCTGCTAGGAGTCGAGCACTGATAATGATAGATTGGTTTAGCAAGACGACGGGAACATCATTCCAGAACGGGACAGAACGGGAAAGCGCGCGGATAGTCTGGACACGACTCTATTTCGACTTTCGTTGATGGTGTTGCCGCTCTCTGTCCCCAACAGGTTCAGGACTTCATTTCGCTACCGAGTTAATATTTTTCAGTGGCAGAAGCTGGCTAACCCCTACCCGACTCGTCTTAAATCTTCCCGTGTGTGTAAAAAACGCGCGTTTTGTACAACCTTGCTTGGGAACCTGCTTGAAAGCTTAACTTAGCCTAGCTATACTAGAGTAAGAGGGAGGACTACAACATTTACAACCCCTAAAATATTAATTTTTCATTCCCTGCCATAGAATTTCTCCGGAAATACAGACACAGCCGCCATTGTCTATAATGATCTGAGCCCACCAATCAGAACACGTTTGATCCGTTTTCGACCAGTAGTTTGGAACTATACAATAGCGATGAGAGTGGAGCTGTATGGTTGCCATGGTAATTAAGAGCATCTTTAAATATTGCTGAATTCATCAAATAATTGAAGATCTATTGGCCTAGAGCGGCAAATGCTTTAGTGTCCAAATAGCATAGGTTCCTGATCAATATATCATTGACCCTTATGTTTTCTCTGCTCTCTGACAGAGTGATGAAGGTTTCCGCTTGAAACACATGATCCGTGGCCTCTTCCAATTCAAGCCGAAAATAAAGGTCTTGGTTGTGGTTTCACCGGACCCGTCATAATTCTTCTCACACGTTTTTATGCCGAAAACTGCTTGCGCTGTAGGCCAGTATTAATGAAACAGGAGATGACTGTCCAAATTTAAAGTGAAATTATTTCGGCTTTTCGAAACAGGACGAAATAAAACCTGGATGAAATGAGAAAGTTGTTCAACGTTGTATCAACGACTTGCTGTTGTTACTATTGTTGGTGATTTATTATGCTTGCAAGTTCCCTCGAAGATTTACTGGTGTTTTACGTCTATATGTGTTCATTCTCACATCAGAAGCGATTTTGGTTTACAAGGAGGAACGGGGATGATCAGCTTTCGCTAACAGAGTATAAAGGGGGAGACTACTTAGCCTTAGGGGGGGAGTCAGGTGGATTTTATTGCGACACAATCAAAATCCTCCGACCAAATAATAACCGGTCCAAAGGGTTTTCATTCTCTTATCGTAGCGTACCTTGCTGAAAGGCATAACGTATCAGAAAGACACAAAGAATTTGAACAACGAATCACTCGGGTCACTTTACTTTACCCATTGAAAAAAAAACCTACACTGATGCTTAAGCTTTTCACATAATAAATACGCTAAGCCTACCATTTACAAGCCGGCCACTTACAAATTTATTTCTTCCAGCCGTTGTTTGAGATGCTTACATAAATCTCTTTATCACTCGATACTCGTAGTGGCATTACGAAAAACACTTGAGAACAAACAGGCTTAGAAACGGCGAATCAGTGTCAGTATCTGAACAACTACATACCCACCCCTACCTAACCAAACATTTACCATAACTTGTTATCAATGGACTGTTTTTGAGTTAGGTGCGCTAGCAAGACGCTTTCTGTAAACATACGGCAATTTATGAAAGAGAAGTAACAAAACACACGACAGTCGCCACCATCGTGAAACAGCAAGAGGCTTAAATCAAGAACGTAAGAAATTCATACATTATGTCCACTTTACACAATACTTATCTTCTTAATTGAGAGTGATTTCGTACAAGATAATCCTTCTTGTGATACAATTTATAAATTCTTTACATACATCATTGTCTCCCAAAAAGAAATCTTTCGTGATAATCTTCCCTGGTCATTTCAGGTAAATTGTTGATATTCTCCTAACCGAAAGCAACGTTCCTTTCTTGTCATTTAGCCAATCAAATTTAGTTATTAAAAATCTGGGAATAACACAATTAAATAAATACTACGCGCTCTGCCACTGAATGTCATTTCCTAACGAGCTATGGGAGAACAAAGACATGGCTAATGTACGTAATTCCATTCTCTGTTCTGTCCACCTTATAGTACATTTTGAAACATTTTTGCAAGGTTTTTCTTAAACAAGTTTGAACACCTAATGGTGTTCCTTGAATGAAAGTTCCATTCTATGCAAAGCAAGAAAGTACCATATGAATGTTCTAAATTATCATTTAAGATTACTTCGCAGATGTTTTTTGTTCGTTCGCTGTTTCCATCTTTTAGCCAACTTCCAGCTCAAGCTTCCAAACTTTACTGGGACATCAAGTGACTATTGCATCAAAAGCAAATTAAAGAACAGTTCTCTTGATACAATAGAGCAATTTACGACTGAGTGTCGAAAGTGATCTGGGATTCATTAGTTTTTGCTTTACTTCGCTTTATGATTGGTCCTCACGCAACTCTCTCGACCAATAAGATGCAAAACTAAATATATCACGACTTGGTCATCTGCGTTTTCCCGCGTTTGGTCTGTTTTACTTTTGAGCTCTGAAAGGTGATTTCCTTGGCTGTTCTAATTACTTTGGTCTTTATTTTTTTACGACACTCGATCGGAAAGCGCTCTATCGGCAACATGGTAGTACTTGACTCATCTTGACGCTATCTTTTCGCTATATTGAATGTTCTGTCTAGGCTTTGACATGTGTTATACTTCCAGTAATTTAAATTTCGCACCAGCAACCACAAAGGGTTCTTGCCACATTTTCCGTAAATCGCCCTATGGAGGGAGAAAAGAAAATTAAAAAATAAACAACATTTCTTGCCAAAAGTATGTAATCCTCTTTTAAATTAGTGTTCCACAGACCTTGCAGTAATTCATTCGGTTTTTCGCCCGCGGGAAAGTATCAGGCTCTGAGCGATGCCAGCCTGCGAAAGGTTGATATTTTGCACTCGCTTCCGAGTAAGAAGATATTTTATAAAATAATTCAAATAGTACGCGCGTTCTGATTGGCCATAAAACCATTTTACATGAGCGTATGTAAACACGGTTTTCGTTCCTCTTTCATTAGCTATTTCATAAAATCGATAAGCTGGAAACCACTCCGCTTCGCGTAGTGGTTTTCTACGCTTATCTCGTGTTCTCTCACCCTCCCGCGTGTTTACATCAGGCTATGAAAACACGGAAACCATTTTACATTTCTTCATTTGTTAGCGTAAAATAAAGTTATTTCTAATTGGGTGTCGAATGAAGCGCGTGAGTATCTCGGGATTGCTTTGATTTTGCCTTACTTCGGTCAGTGATTGGTCTAAAAAAACTCTCGCCCTGCTCTAAACCAATCAGAGGCCAAACGAAAACAATCGTGACTTGGTCGTCCGCGTCTTCCCGCGCTTTGGGTAGTTTGCACATTTTTACCTTGGCTGTTGTGATAACTTTGGTTTTAGTTTTAGGACAGTCAATCGAAAAGCGCTCTAAAATGACTGAAAATAATTAAACATTATTTTATTTCCCTGGTCACACAAAGTTCATCTTAAATGTGACATCTAACGGGTATATCAAAGGAAGGTGATTAATTAAAATAATAAATACCTTCAGATAAGCCATAACTAAAATTGGTAGAAGCGTAAACGGAACAAGATAAAGAAGCGCAGGTTGGGCAGCTTTGTACACCTCAGATGCCACAGTAGCCGTCACTAAACCTATTTAACAGGAAAAAAAGCAATCAATCAATCATCTGCCCAGTACTTTGATTTGTTGCTTATGTTATGGTAACATTGGAACTGAGGTCGTCTGCACTATGGGCAACCAACACAATGTTGATTTGGTTCCTATCGTGTCAACAAAAAAATATGCTTGAAAATGTGTCACAGGTTTATACTATATTATTGAATCCCCACAGAAAGTTCTGGAGTAAAAATTGTAGTTTATCTTTTCTGCCTTTTATAATCTGGTTACCCTTTGACTCCTACGAGTGATAAACAATAATACATATTAGAATAAACGGCATGATAACCGACTAAAAAATGTCTCAGTTTTACAACAAATTCTCTTGTCAACTCCTAAGGAAATGTGTAGCAAACGGTAAGGAGGAAATGCATATTGATGTTAGGGTGTAAAGTGTCATAGCAGCATAAGTGCAACCACGCATTTATTAGTCTTTTGAGAGATTCTTTTACAAGATGTTCTGAGGGAACTAACAGAGCCATTGAGCTCTCCAAAAACTTACCTACAATATATCCAATAAGAGAACAATGAAAATATGTTACTCTGGCTTGTTCTGTGTCTGCTGCTACGGCTGCCTGCTTCTTGTATTTATCATATCTCATTACAAAACACAGGAGAAGGCCTGGCATAACCTATTATAAATAACAAACAACAAATTAGGTCCAGAACTGAATTTAAAAATGAAAAAAAAAACCTATCCATTTGTATTTGAGGCTACCTTAACTCCCAAAAGAGATTAACATATAACTTCTCCCTAGAATATCCATATATTACCATGCAAACAGGTAGCGAGTATACTCAAACTAATCAGGTAGAAGTTGTTGTCTTGATCTGACAACAAATTCTAGTTACTCATATGCAGGGGAATGTGTAGCAGCTAGAGGGGAGAATTAACAACTAGATCTTGGGAGTTAAAGGGTTAATTAGCAAAGTATAGTTTACAATCCAAGAGATTGCCAAGGTATGGATTAGTTTGTTACTTATTATCATAAGATTGTTATCAGGTCAAGATAAAATTTATTTTGCTAATACCATGATATGCCATCAGATAACTTAAGAGGAAACACAGAACTCAACAGAATACACCAAAATTTGCCTCTTAAATCCAAACATGAGGCTTCCTGGCTCATTTGCTATGGGTTTGCACCCTAGCAAAGCTTCAATTTTTCTAATTCTTCTTCTGCAATTTCTTTAACTGCAGTTGACCTGTGGGGATCAGTTTGTTTCTTGTCGTCATTCACAGGTCAAAATTGTGATTTTTTTTCCATTTACATGATGGTATACTTTTCCTTGCAAAAAATCATTTACATGTTTTTACTTACTATATCTCCAAGTCCCAACATGGAGAATCTGCTTCTGTCTTGCATACTAATGAAAAAAAAAAAAAATTAATCATAAAAATTCTCAAAGAAGTAGCACTATGTATGAACAATATTCAATTTTAAGTATTGATAGGATTACAAAATAAGCACATGATCAGCTTTTGCCAGGTATGGGTAGCCTGTGGCAATGTGTGTAATTGCTGAGACAATGCTATCTAAAACTCACCTTGGAAAAACTAATTTTCCTGGAAGAGATATTTGTGGAGAGATATTTCCTACTGGATTCATTTTCAATTTATTTGCCATTATAGACACCTAAAGAATCAGATACAAAAAAAAAAAGGTCAGTGTCCAAAGAACAGAGAATCGATGTATTCATCATTTGGGAAAGGATGACGGAAGGTTTCTGGCTGTGGTGTATGATGTAAGAAATCACATTGTCACACTTGTCAGTCTCCTACTCATGCAACACCTGTGTCAGGGATTGTTTGGCTACACAGCCGAGTTTACTTATATTGTCAGTAATACTAAATAAATCTCTGTTGAGTTTTCTTCATGTCAGTCATATTTAAGAGAATGCCATATGCTACACTGGCCAAAATAGGAAGGTTGGATTCTCTGCCCATAGACTACTTACAGGATTAGCGGCCTGCTGTGTGGCAACCTGAACCATAACATTTGCTTTAAATATGTAACTTGAAAAGAAAACCTGCAAAATCAAAATTTGCACAGCCATTATTAGAAAGTAATCATAAAATTGTCCCATATCAAATAACTTTTTTTGATCAAACATTACATCTAACTGATACATGATCATTCTTGCAGTGCCAGTGCAAATCAGTCCTTAAATGAATATAATCCAAAAGACAACTTAATAAGTAAAATCAAAAGGCATATTTGATTCAAGAACACACAGGGAGCAGGGATAGGGAAATGGTGAGAGCCCTTGCCTCTGACCATTGTGGCCCAGGTTTGATTCCCAGACCTGGTGTCACCTGTGGGTTAAGTTTGTTGTTAGTTCTTATCCTCCCAAAGGGTTTTCCCCCAAGTCCTGCAGTTTTCCTCCTTCCACAGAAACGAAAATTCATAATTCTAATTCTGATTTGACATTGAGATAGTGGAAAAGAAGAGCCAGCTCCTGGATTGTCTTTTGCTAAATTCCCATTTACATTCTCAAAACTTGGAGAAGCTGATGGAACTATGAAATAACAATGAGGGTGGAGCTGTATGATTGCCAAAAATTTTGAATTCATCTAACAACTGGAGACCAATTGGCCCAGTTTTCCTCTCTCCTCATAAACCAAAATTCCAAATTCCAAATTGACCTGGACTCAGTGGACAAGAAGAGCCACTTCATGAAATGTACATAGCTAAATTTGCATTCCCATTCTAATAACTTTTTGGGATCAATATCAGTATCTGGGCAACTGCCCACCTACCCCTCCCCTAACTCAACAACAGTCAATTGACAACAAGTTGAGGTTAATGTTGGGTTAGGGGAGGGGTAGGTGGGCAGTTGCCCAGATACTGATATCGATCCACTTTTTGTATCACCACTGCTTGGAATTAACTTACCCAAAATACATCATAAATTAAGAGGCCTATTAACAGAAGAGTGGACACTTTGAGGCTTGGTAAACGTATATAGGCAATCATGGAAACACAAAGGCCCATGGCTAACGCTGAAAGAGAAAAACAGAAAACAAAGTCATGTTATTTAATTATTAGGTTTACCAGTCTCATTCTCAAGGACAAAAAAAGACCTGCCTGCCAATTATTATCATGATGATCCCTAATAAAAGTAAAATATCAAAGTTATCATGTAGATCTTAGTTAGTGAATTTGCAACAAGACAGCCCACAGTGCCTCTGTGATACACTTTGATGTCACCTGCAATCTATCAGTGAACAAACACACAGCAACATGGAGTCTATTTGTTAAATTGATGACAAATTTGTTAGTTGACTGCACTTAATACTTGTCAGTTAGTAGAGTTTAAAGTCTAAAAAACATACCATCCATGAGAACCCAATGTCCTGTGACAATCCACACCATAACTAAAACACCAGAACACACAAGTGACATAACTTCTGCTGGTGTAAATCGTCCACAGAAGCCAATGTAGAGCCTGCAATAAAATTGAAATTAACCAACACTCAAATCAAAACGTGTGGAGCTGTATTTCTACATGTAACAAGGAAAATTATTGAGTTTCAATGATATTTTTGTACTCTATACCAATTAAAGCTAAAGTTTGACCACTAGACTATATGGAAAATTTTCAGAAAATGATGTAGCTGGATCCATGACAAATTATATTGAATAAAGGGAGTTAGTTTCTGAAGAAACTGTCGTGCTGAGATGGTAGGGACATCGCGAGATAATTATGGTAGGTGATATCCGCTAAGTTGATAAATGTAAATTGGCCACCATAAAGAATTTTTAAAGCTGACATTACCTGCCTTAGCTCTTTGTCAGAGCCTTGCTAAAGAAACTCTTTTATGGTGGCTAATTCACATTATCAACTCAACTGATAAGACCAAATTGACTTAAAATTGAAAAGGCTGTAAGAATTTCAATCATTATAACCTTTTCATTCCCAGAAGTGAATATCAAGACTCTCTCGTTACAATATTGCTGACACCATTTTTCCAGCAGAAAGATAATAAGAAAACTATCAAGTAATAGGGAATATTGTTTAATTTCAAACTAATTCTCATGGCAAATCTGAAGACAAATGTGCAAAAAAAACATTTAAATCTTGGGATGAAAAGATTCAGTTCTGAAAGTCTTAAAAAATATTCCCATGACCTGTTACCATCTGGAGAGAGATGGCTATCAATTACTATCAGAATTTTAATCTAGAAAATATTTTTCTCTAGCAATTAAAATTAGATGCATTATTTAATTTTCAATCTTAACCCTTGGACTAAGATTGAGTAGCATCTACATGTAATTTCTCCTCACAACATCATCCCTGAATCACACAGTAAGGTCATACGAAAAAAGGAAATGATCAGCAAATAAAGAAGCTCTTGATTGTTACAAATTCTCCTTGTCAGCACCTCAGGAAATGTATAGAGAACAGTAAGGAGAATATGCATACTGATGTTAGGGTGTAAAGGGTTAACTCTCAATACTCACTTTTGATTATTGTTGGTGAAGCAGGGTTTGGTAAGAAACTGACAAACAGGTAAAAGCACAAAAGAAAAAGCAACCATGGCTAGCACTGAAAAGTAACAACACATGCATATTAGTTCAACCCTTTTCTCCCAAAGTCAGTGATCAGCATCTAATTTCTCCCAAATGCTCAATAATACTCAATAATGATACTAATAATTTCTCAAACAAACACAGCTGAGATAAAATACAATGTAAAGGTGAGCCTACATTAAATGAGGACTTATTGCATGGTAGCTAGTCCTTAAGACATGGAAAACAACCAAAGGTGATATCTAATATGGTGCTCGCTGCAGATCTTTTGTCTGAAGCATTAAGTTTTAAATATTAAAAAAAAGGCCTTTCTGGTTTACAAGTTGAAGTGAAACTGGAAATAAAAGAGGAAGTAGCAGTCTCATTTTGGTTGCCATACACAATCTCAAAAATGTCTGTGCTTAAGCATCATAAAGTTCTTACTTACCAGCTGTGCACAGTGCAAAGAAAAACTGAAGAGTATCAAAAAAGAAAAACATCACAAGAAGGGAGAATGAGGCCCCAACTGGAAGGAATACAGCTTGGGCAGTGTTGATGGTCTGGAACCCTAAAAATGAAAGAAAAAAACTTAAAATAAGGGAAAAAAAGTGATATAACTCTTCATTTGAACAGGTAGTCTGATCCCCCAGGTGAGGTTAGTCCTGAGAAGGACTATTGTCGGTAGTTGTGGTGGATGTTTCAACAACCTGAGCAGAAGTTATCATGATCAGGGTCAATCACTTCTTCATGTACACGTAGGTAGCAAGACAGGGTTTTCAGAAGGAAGAAATAAAAGTGATAGCCTTGTAACAGCTCTTTTAATGAACAACAATTACACCAAGCCAACAGTACTATGAAAGGGGAATTGTGCAAAACACAAACATATGACCAACTTATCATCATCCACACTTTTTTCATTCTATCCTAAACACATCAATGACAGTCCAGACCACTGAGAATTTTTGGTATCTTACATTCTTACTGATTTAAGTTCATTCTATCAGAGTGGCTTGGTAAAGATTATTTTTAGGAGCAGGAGGAAGATTGGGATCAAGGAAAAACACACTCTCAGCTTTTTTCTAATTTTCAATCTCCTAGCAAATGAATACAATCATAATGCACACATCAATTTGTAGCTTCACACCCTGCCTCCCGTGGAGGGGAGGACAACTCATGGATATTTGACTGTTGTCTGTGCCCAGAAGATGGGGAATTTGAACCTTGCCTAGCTTGGGTGGGGAATTTTCACTGGAAGTGCCAAATTTTTCCAGCAAAATAAAAGTGCGGAGGTGATTAAGTTAAACAGTTCACTTTTACAACAAATGGGTCAGAGGAAAGGTCTAAAAGATCTAGATTTTAAGGCTTGATCAATGTGTAGAAAGTAACCATCCTGGATTATACCTGTTACAAAAAATTGACCATCAAATACAGCACTTGGGTGAGGCATTTCAACACAATTTTTGCCCCAGAGGCAGGAATTTGAACAAAACCATCTTCAAAAGTTTAAATACTCAGTGAGTTGAAGCTTCAAATTGATAGATGCATAATTACTGTAAGTTTCATAGTTTAAGTTAGTCTCAAAAGTTTTCTCCTTCAACCAAAAACTTAAGAGGCTTTTTAGAAGGGAGTGATTAGACAGATTACTATATAATATTACACTTTTTAATATTTACCATCCATAAGTCTTGAGAAAGGTGTATCATTCTGGTTTGACTGCTCATCTTCTGGATCTTCTGAATTATTATATGTTTTGTCCAACCCTAAAGCCCTGTCGCAAGAGAGGAGATAAAGACAATCAGAGGTTACTAATATGATAGTTTGCTTTGCGGTAGTCACTTGTAACATTCAGCTGGTGCTGGACAGCAGGTGTGTTTGCTTTAAACTTAAGCCAGTTGATTTCTTCTCATTTTAGGCAAACCTGAGAGTTAAATTAAGCCTTTAAGCCCTTGGAGTGACTAGCATCTAATTTCTCCTTACAACATCAACCCTGAATCAAACAGTTAGGTCACAAGAATAAAAGAAATGATCAACCGCTAAAGAAGCTCAGTATAGAGAATGTGGATACTGATGTTAGGATGCATACAATAGAATACCTATCCTGGATTTTGTGATTACCCCTCAAACTACCAGATCAAATTTGTAATTCTCCTTACTGTCAATCATACAATTCTTAGGATGTTATTCAGATAATTTAGTATCGGATCAACTAATTATCACCATTCAAATGGATATTTTTCTTTATTCTCATCACTTATCTGGTTAATATTGTATTGATATTGTAAGGAGAAATTCTGTCTTGGTCACTCATAGGAGTTAAACTGGGTTAAACTGCCTTTTCTTCAAGTTTCACTGGTGGAAGATCCTGATTTTTTTTTTTAAAAGACTCACCACAATGTTAACAATGTGCTATAGCCATGATACAGATTATAATAAGTAACATACAATTAATCTTGCACTTGAAATTAGTTGTCCCTTTAGCCTGTTAACTTTCAAAATTCAAGTGGACTCAAGTTAAGTTTGAAATTTAAATTCCTCAAGAGGAAAAATTTTTGTTAAACCTTGTAACAGTAATTAAATGTTAATCTTGAAACAAAGCTGGTCAAGTGATGATGGCATTGCATAGCCAACAAAATCTAGCTCCATCTTGATGCAGAAGACCCAGGACATGTCACAATAGAATAGCACTTAATTAACCTTTTGTTATCATCCTTTTCCTCTTTCTTTTGTCTTTTGTTCTCTATTGTTTTACACCACCTGTGTCTTCTACACCAAGTAAAAGCCTGATTCTAACTTTTTTAATGTCATGGCTCACACTTAGGACTAAGTCACTAAAAATTTGTCAGGAAATGAGTACCGTACGAAATGCTGCAGGTTTAGATATCTTTCTCAGTCAGGCTCAGCAAAACTTATTGCATTGTAAATCTGAAAACAGTTTGATCTTTCTGTGGCAAAATGAAATCTCAAGTATTCAATTATGTAGTGATTCTATTTACTGTTTAATCAACCTTTAGACAGTATAATATGATCCTAACTAGATATCCCAGTCTGAACAATTCAGGTTTTATTTTTCATCCTATCAAAAGGCTGCTTTACCAGGATTTGTCGATTATAGATGCACCAATTGTGTAAACCAATAAAATATTTAGATTCAACTCTAAAGTTAAATCATTGTAAAGAACTGGCCTCCAATATCTCAAAACTAATTTTGTTCCTAAATTTTAAGAAAATTGATTTAAATGATTTATACAATGTGACCATCACTGAATGGCTTTCACTTTTATTAATAATTACCCTTTTAAACATTGTACAAATATGTTTTTATAGGATCTCTTTTATGCGGTTCTATTAAAAACACAACTTATAAGTGTAATCCCATTAAGGAAACAGATTAGAGAATATAATTATAGCAGAACCTTACATTCTAAGGTTTTAAAAAAACACTAATGAGCAATATTATAGTTACCACAATGCATGACTATCTAAAATTTTGAGTCACGGGGTAAATTTTTTTCAATCCTTTTTAAAAAACCTGAGAGAAGTTGGCAAGTTAGATTGTAATATTTATCAAACAGGTTTCTCTCCTGTTATCTAAGCCAAGCTACTGCTTATGTGGGTTAAGTAAATTTAGAAAAAAGATAATTAGCATTTTCAACTTCTCAGGATTGGTCTTAATTGTTCTTATAAACACAACAAAGAATTTCTGCTGGACAGAATTTTTTTAAATTAAATTATCTAGGAAAATCCTACTAAGGCACCGAAACAGGAAAGTCGTTACTTGCAATCAAAAGATCTCTATAAGAATCAACTATTTTAACCCTACTTGAGAGAGTCAGTATTTTTAGTATGGACACCTTGGGATACAAATTATGTGCTTGAAAAGAAGTAGCTTTTCAGAGTCGAAGTTAAGCTTTCCACCAGCAAAAATCTAGGTTAGAGCTGTTAGAAAAAGTTTGATTCTAGGGTCGATCACCGTTTTAGTAGATCGGTCTCTCCGGTCATAATCGAACATTTGGGTGGCATCACCTTTTATGACACCGCTGTTGTCACGCACAGTCAGGAAGACATCGACATAGACCTCGTCAAAATTACATGAATTCGTAAAGAAAGCTTACCTAAAACTGCCATATACGATAAGTAATATGGATATAACGATTGTGAGAACTCTTGAAGTGTCAGTAAACATGTAGATCCTGAAAAAGAAACAAAATGTGGATGAAATGGTTGCTCACACGTGTAGACGGCGTTGGACCGAGTATTGTTGTATTGTTTTCGCGTCACAAAATTTTCCACTCATGTTTTAAAAACTGCGAAAGAAACATCTTACCATTGCGGTTCTTCTTCTTCCTCCATGGCAAGTTGATAGGATATTCAAATCTTCATCATTTAACGTTCCTTAAAGCTTCTGTAACGAGCAGGATAAGTGATTTGTGCCTAAATGAAAAACAACGATAGTGGAACTAAGTCCATAATTCGCCCATCTTCGAAAGAAACAACAACATTGCGCATTGAATAAAAGATGAACTGTCACAAAATCAGCTTTTTAACCTGTATTTTAGAGTTTATGTCTGTCACGCAGCTTCAAAATAGGATGGTTACACTTAAATAGTTGCATCAGCTGTCTGTCCAGAACGAAACATCCGTGCAAGCACTTGGTGCAAGAGAGAAATCGATCGTGTTGTTATTTACTGACACTTGCAAAGGATGCTGGGTAACCATTCGGGTATCTCCTGATCTATTGTTCTAATTTTAGAAACATTTTAAAACGTTCAAAAGCAAAAAAAAAATGCTTTGTCATCATTCTTTTGTTCTCTTCACCAAAGAGAACGCGAAAGCGGGGAGTATAAGGCTAACTGATATTAGCGTGCTGGCTTGGAATAAGGAAATGCTCTTTCAAAAAATGCTCCGAACATGAGTAAGGTCAGGATCCTAGCCGGGCCTTGCAAAATAAGTGGAAGGGCTTTCGTGAGAAATGAAGAACAAAGCAACGCAGATGGCTCAGCTCTCTATTGTCCAGCCTGCAAACCAGCTATATCTTGTCTATTGTTAAGTTCAATGTACGAAAAGTTTTGGATATATTTGGCTTAAAACAAAACATGGAGTATTTTATAAGTTTTAAAAATTTGTTTGAGTTGGCACCATAATTTGGATTTGACAGCGTGAGTTGCGAATATAAGCGTTGTCACAAAACTATAATCCCAATTTTTTTTCCTGCTTTAAGTTCCCAGGGCGTACGCTGAATGGTATCCTAGTGTTTCCTGGAAATACAAATGATATTTACCTCCTTTGAAAGACAAGAACAGTGGAAATGACTTAATAATCGGCCCAAAATTTCCATAGCAATATTGCATGTTTTGATTATTTTTAAAGTGCGCAATTCTGCTCTAGCTCAAAAAATAAAAGGTTATGCAAGCATTCCAAAAGCAAAAAATCAATCGTACTATTTTAAAATTCGTGTTTAAAAATCCATAAATAACTAAATAAAGTATCCTGAATATTTTACAAATTGGCTAAACTTCAGAATACCCCGCAACTTTGGTCCGCCTCACTTACATGTGTCGGGAGGCTTTGAAGATCGAGGCATAACACAATAGACGTTATTCTTATTCAATGACATGTAAATGAGTTGCGGGGTATTCTGAAGTTGCTCCTAGAAATTTATTACCTGAAACTAAAAAGTCCAACGTGTTTTTTTTTAAGTATATCGTAGGTTAACAAAAATCCCTAAGGGTCCGTAGGTTCCTAGTTTTCTTAGCCGATATAGTCTGATCATTACTTCCGGTGACGAACGAAAGAACTCAAACCCAGTCGATTGACATTGTTCAAACCGCGCGAGATTGCGTTAGGCACTTAATCATGACCCTCATCAAACGTATTGCATCTTTCATTGTTTTTGTCGTCCTTTACTTTGGCAGTATCAAATGCATAACACCTTACGAAGAAATTATTCAATATAAAGAGGAATACGCTCTTCCAGAGTTGCCGTACAACTATGATGGTTTGGAACCTTTCATCGATGAAGCGACAGTGAGGGTGCATCACTTAGGTCACCACGCAGCTTACACGAAAAAGCTAAATGCAGCCTTGAAGAGCTGGAGAGAATCGGTTAGTACCAAAGGCACAGATTACAAAGTTGCTAAATTCTGGATTGCATTCTTTGGAACTAGAGTAGTGCAAGAAAATATTAGGTTTCGTGAAAATATTGACGTAGAGACATGGAGTGGGGGGGGGGGGTTGATGACGGTTCATTGCCGAAAAAAGAACAGATGGTCATGTCAATCCACAGCCTTTTTATTTATATAAATTTTAAAAGCAGGAATCATTAAAATTTTCCAAGGTATTGCTGTATTGATTTGTTCCTCAAATATCTTTCAGGGAAACATTTCGCAGTTGTCTTCAAAACCCATTGTGACTATTCTGAATAATCTTGATCTTGTACCTGATCAGTGGCAGCTGGCAGTAAGGAATAATGGTGGAGGGTGAGTTAAGTTTTAACTGTATCTTCACATAGAACTATTTTACAATTCTTGTGCAAGAGAGTTTATGTAAATCTAAACAAGTGCTCTACAAATCGAGAGATTCTACCTCATGTGTTATTCTTATTGGTCCAAATCAGGAGCTTATTACCTGGAGCTTCCGTCTTCCATAATTACCCTGAGTCAACCCTGTCCCGCATCTTTTTATTCATAGAAGCACCTCTCATGGGGTTTTTTTGCAGGTGTTTACATAATAGCCAATTATAAGAGAGCTGTGGTCCTCTACTGAAGAGAAGGAATAGAGGTCACCCTTTGCCTTTGACTGTCAATTTTTTTAGGGTGTTATGTGAACGTCAGCGTGTTTTTTACAGGAAATTAAAGAACCCCCTACATATCTCAGTTCTAAAAATAAAAAGATACAGGACAGTGTTGACTCAAGGGTACAATTAGTATGTAGGCTCTGGGTAATGGACTCCTGTCCAAATACAGTTTCATTTGTGTTTCTCGCCTTCTTATTGGTCATCCACTTTTGTAGTTTGAAACAACCAGGTTTTAGCCTATTTTTGGTTTTCTCAAACAAGCCAAAAGCTTTCCTGTGCCATCTTCACTGGTTACCATTGGTTGTCATTTACTGATCCTTACTGTTTCGGAAATATAAATTCTTCTTCTCTGATAAATAGCTCTCTCATGAATATAACAAAATTTGCCTCTCTGAAGAATTTAAAATAGTTTTATTTAATCATCATTATAATTTCTGGTCAGTGGTTAGTGCACTGGACTTCAGATCAAGAATTCAGAGTTCCAGAGCTGGTGGGATCATTTTTCTTCACTCTCTCCACTCAGGAGTATAAATGGGTATGTGTAAGTTGTCAAGGAAACCTGACAAAATGCCAAGGGGGGAGTAACCTGGAATAGTCTAATATCTCATCCAGGGAAAGTAGAAATGTCATTATTGTGGTAAAAAACAAATCAACAGTGGTTTAGGGTGGTCTGTACTCTAATCAACAACCATATTAGTCATCACAGTGGCCAACATTTTTTTGCAAACTCACAAGCAGTAGTAGTTAAGTACTGTTGTTGATAAGAGAACAGACAACGCAAAACCACTGCTGATTTATTAATTAGCTACTAAGCTCAAAAGCAGACTTTGTTTTTTCCTCTTGGCAGGTATGTGAACCATGCTCTTTACTGGGCAATCATGTCTCCAAATCCTAACAATGAAGAGCGAAAGCCATCCGGCAAGGTAGCCCAGATGATAGATGAATCCTTTGGAAGTTACTCTAACTTTCAATCAGTGTTTGAGAAGGCTGCCTTGAACCTGTTTGGATCAGGATATGCATGGTTGTGCCTTGATGTTGATGAGACCAGGCTCAAAATCAGCGGAACAAAAAATCAAGATAGTCCGTTGAATGAGAAAGGCTTAATGCCTATCCTGGTCATTGATGTTTGGGAACATGCTTATTATCTGAAGCATCAGAATCGCAGGGCAGCATATGTACAGATATTTTGGAATGTTATCAACTGGGATGCTGTCAGTGAGCTTTTAGAGTGGTGGCCTCAGGAAGCTAAACATGAAGAACTGTGAAGGCAACTTTGACTGGTGATGTTATTATGAAAGCAATCTTCACAGTAATGAACCCTACTTGAACAGCAGTGAAGAAAATTCAGGCATGTACAGAATTTGAACCTATGTCCTCTAGGATACCGGTTCAGTGCTCTACCAACTGAGCTAACAAGTCAACTGGGAGCTGGTTGCTCAGTTGGTAGAGCACTGCACAGGTATTGTAGAGGTCATGGGTTCAAATTTTGTACAAGCCTGAAGTTTTTCTGGCGTTATTTTCACTACCACTTAAGTAGTGTTCATTACTGGGAAGATTGCTTTCATATTCACGACTTTATCTGCAGTTCACATGTATGATTTTCATAAATTCACAGTCACTGAATTCAGCAATTTAAAATAAAATTGAATCATTTTTCCTTACCTTGTTGACAATACTGGCTTTTTTCTGACATACTTTCCAACTGTGAGTAGGGGTTCCTCTTGCAAAAAAGTTGCATAATGTCATCAAAATGTTGTAGATTTCACAAGCTTAATTTGGAAATTCTTAGAAATTGTACATAATTATGCAGAATTGCTGCTGCAGAAGAAAAAAGGAAAGCTTTTAAAGCACCAAACGAAAAATAAAAACAGTAAGCAGAGTTCGGAAGATCAATCAAAACAAAAAAACTTGAGACTTCCTCCTATGCTCAAAAATGAAATTCACGCTGCATTTAATTGTGTATAATAAATTTGTTATAATCAATGCCCTCATCCATCATTTTTCTGTCTGATCAATATCACACTGGTACTTTTGAGTCTGCCTAGATAATTTTGGCATCAGTGGAAGTCATTAGCAAATCTAAAAAACTTTTATCAAACTTTTGAGGACACTCTTTCAGCTTTGCTCCCCTTAAAAACTAACCTTTTTTTTTCTTGCAAGCTAGAATCACATATGAATAATTTCTCAGCAATTTTCCTGTTTAAACTTACGTCCCTCTGTCCCGTGTGATCCCGTAACACGACAAAAAATTATCGCGGGAACGAGACATACTGAAAGCCAATCACAAAGTAGGTTCAGTTCTCACTCTGCCATCTTGTCCGCCATTTTGGAAACGCGCGGGAACAAACAAGAGGTAAAATCTCCTTATTTTCAAAACATGTTATTTTGCATTATTGATTGTTGATTTTTAACCTGGCTATAGGAATTTGAAATGGCCACTGATGGTTTGGAGTTCAGTGATATTTACCTTCTTGTAAGAGGTGCATTGGTAAGTGGAAATGGCAGAAGCTCCATATCACGTGTAGCTCGTAGAAAGAACGATCAGTACATGGCTTCTAATTTCAAAGCTAAATATACTCACGAGATTTTTTTTTACAAATATCCTTATCATCTACATGATGTTATACGAGATGTATTTCTTACGCCTTTTAAAGGATTCCTAATCGTTGTACTGGGGTGATTTTGCATGCCGAACCTAACGTTTCTATTAAGAAGCACGTTTGACTTTGTATAGACGTTTGAATCACTGACGGCTGCAATTAGCGGTACATGTAAAGATCGACATTTGAACTAGGCCTAAGCTTCTTTTCGGTCTGATATGTTAAATGACATTCTGTGCTGCGCTCTTCGAATATTCACTTGGTTCCTGGTCTCAGAAATTTGAAGAGCCAGCCCTTAAAGGCGTCCATGATTGCACATAAACAAGACGCTACGAGACAACGACTTGATGATGGTTGATGACGGTTCTTTGCCGAAAAAAGAACAGATGGTCGTGTCAATCCACAGCCTTTTTATTAAAATAAATTGTAAAAGCAGGAATCATTAAAATTTTCCAAGGTATTGCTGTATTGATTTGTTTTTTTTTTTGCATCATAGAGGTCAATAATTCTTGACTTTTTGGGTGGATAACTTGAAGATTTATTTCAACCACAGAAGGTTTAAAGGGGCTAATGCCCTTAAAAATATCACATTTCTGCCTTGTTCACAGAATGATGGACGGTTGAAGTTACACAAAGGTGGAATAATATTCAAAGCAAACAAAACTGGAAAAATTGACCAAGCAGCAGTGGCTGATATTGAATCAACTAGTTGGTTGAGAGTAGCTCGTGGTTTTGAACTGAATGTTGCTCTAACAAATGGAATGCAGTTCAAGTTTGAAGGTTTCAAAGAGGCAGTAAGTCTTTGTCTCCATTGGAAACTACTTGAAAGCTAACAGTTGGTATCACCACAGCAATGTTGTTAATTACTTGGATTTCTCTCTGTCAAAACAAATAGTTAAAACCTTTGTAGTATGGCTAGGATGCAGTGAAGGGGAAAGTCTCCCTTTACCGCACTTTTTTTAAATCTGAGCTTAATATAACAAAACACATTTCAATATTCTTAACTCAAGTGCAGGGTGATGCTGCATTTTTTGCTCTAATTGTAAATAGTTATTTGTATTCTCACACAAGAATGAGATGTTGTCTTTTTAAACTAGATTTAAATTCTATTCTAAGTACATGGGACATTTCATTGAAATTTTTTTTACTTGCCATATGACATCAAAAAAATATTTTTGAAGTGGCATCCAAACATTCAATTCTCTTGGTTTAAATTAACTAGGGTGAAACTAATTTTTCTCTTGTGTTTTCTCTTTTTAGGACTATGACCAACTAGCAACATTCATTAAGGAAAATTTTGGAAAGGATCTGGAAGAAATAGAATTATCCGTCAAGGGCTGGAACTGGGGCACTGCTAAATTCAAAGGTTAGAGGTGTCTGTCCATGTAATGTGTTCTTAGTCATCTGTAGTCTGTGTCTGTTTGTTGTTGTTGGTGCTAACTGTTTTCACAAACATTGCATAATTTTTCTGCTTTTGATTGTGAGACCAACATTGATCTGGTTTATTTGTATTGCTGTAACAAAGGATTTTGTGAAATGTTTCAGGCTCCTCTCTCTGTTTTGAAGTTGATGAAAAGCCAGCATTTATAGTCCCTCTCAAGGATGTGTCACAAGCAACAACAGGTGAGGTTTTTCCTTTCATCTTTGTTACATCCTATTTTTTTCAGAGTGGAAAAAATTAATTTGGAATTACTATCCTTTCAATCTGAAGTATGGAAGAGCACTAAATTCTAAAACAGTGAATTCCCAGGTTGTAGACACTTCATTACAAGGCCTGTCCAAAATGATACAGAACTTTGTGGAAATTAGAGTTGCAGCCAAGAGCCTGCTGCTGGGGATATTTGCCAGATGAAATGCAGCAATTACCTGCCAAATATTCTGCTACTGATTACTGCTTTTTCACCTGGCAAATTTCAGATTTTATGCTCTCTATGTGTGAGTATTTCCTAAATAAAACATGAACAGTCTTATGCAGTGTTATTTTATTCACAAACAGGAAAAAATGAAGTGGCACTTGAGTTTCATCAGAATGATGATGCACAGATCTGCTTGATGGAGATGAGATTTTATATCCCTACACCTGCAGATAATCCAACAGAAGACCCGGTCAAAGTATGTTCTTCATTTCTAAAATCCACGTTTTGATTATAAGGGAAAGCAAGTTTAACATGTTATGTCCATAGAATGACAATGTGAAATCTGTGCCAAGCTACAGTCACCATCCAAATTAGCTGACAAATCATCTTTGAACAGTCCTATTTACCGTAATTTCCGGTCGATTACCCGCGGGTAATCTGTTGATTTTGCATTAAATCCGCGCCACTGCGGGTAATAGGGAGGTCAGGTTATGTGACAATTTTAAATTCTTCTGGAAGTTGAATTGAAAAAATTTCTCACCTACCTGCGTTTCCACCTCTCAAATGAATTTTATTGTATCAAAAGTGCCACAAAGCGGCACGAAAACATGATGCCAACTCGAGTTTATTTCACGCATAATTAGTTGCGTGACAAACAAATTTTTATCGGCACGCGTGAAAACAAAACCTTGATGGTGACAAAAATAATCCAAGGATATCCGGCGCATCAGTAACAAATTTCCAGTTTTCACTAGCTTGAGCTAAAGAGAATTTTCCCGTTTTAAGGGACTTGTTAGGCCCAGTAGAACAGGAGATATCGATTTTTTTGAGAAATTGCCGACAGTAATTTTAAATCCCAAATGCATCACCAGAATGTTGAAAATAATAGGTGCGAAACTTAACTAATTTCGCGCTGAAATAATGTATAATTTTACTGTTCAATTTTCACTGTATAATTTTATCAATAAAGTATAAGCTAATATTGACACAGAATTGTGCACATGTCTGAATCGAAAGACTGAAATGTATCGCCTTAATGTCACGTTTTCGCCACCGAAAAAGTTGAATAACAACGTGCGGGTTATCCACCGGTGCGGGTAATCCGTTGACTTTTTTTTTCGCCGTATGCAATAATCGGCCGGTGCGGGTAATCGGCCGTGCGGGTAATCGACCGGAAATTACGGTATGTGTAGATTAACACTCCTGTGTCTACCACACTCTTAGTCATTGACAATACCCCCTTCCCCCATTCAATGTTGCCTGTATGTAGCTAAAAGGTCATGGAATCACAGTACAGCATTTTTTTTTACGGATGGGGGGGGGGGGGGAGAGGGCAAATAGGTTAACATAACAAGGGCAAAAGAGTGGAAAAGGTCAATGTGTCAACAATTTTGTTGCCACTTGTAGGCATTTCACTTTTTAAATTGATATGAAAGAGGCAATTTGTGCAAATATGTTTATGTTGTGGAAACTTATCCCTTAAACTGCAAAGAGTGACTGGGATCTATTTTTCCTTAAAACATCACCTCTGAATCAAACATTGAAGTCACTAGAATTAAGGAAATAGTTGCCAATTGAAGAAGCTTTGACTGTTGAACAAATTCTCCCAACCAGCACCAAAGAAATGTAGAGAGAACAGTATGGGGAATATAGATACTAATGTTAGTTTGTGAAGAGTTAGATAAGCTTTAATTAATTTTTCTCTTTTTGCTTCACAAAGTGTAGAAGTATGTACATGTTTGTAGTCTTATTGTTAAAGTGAGTAGAAAAACTGGAATATACAGTCAGTGGCTTAAACACCCAGAGACTGAAAGAACAATGAGATTTCTGCTGGAAAATCACTACGTTTAATAATCCTGATTATTGCAATAAATTTTTTTCAGTTTCTACTATAATTTGTTTGCTTTGTTTTTGTTTCTATTTTTATTTTTGGTAGAGTTTCCATCAAAAAGTTCTCGAGAAAGCGGACATCATTCAAGCAATTGGAGATGCTATTGTTACAATACCTGATGTCGCCTGTTTGACCCCAAGGTAATTTTACTTGAAAATGAATCCCTTGGCCTGGTACATTACGTTTGAGTGTTTTAAGTCTTAATGCTGCAGGAAGCAATTGCTATGACCACTCAGAGCAAAGGAAAATATCAGCAGAAACCAGTAAGGACTCTTTGTAAAAACAAGCAAACTGCTTAAAGCAAGAAAATGTAAAGGACCTTGTGGAATAGATTAAGCTTTGTATCTGATTGGGTGAGAGAGGGGCACAAATTTCACAGATCAGTTACAGTGAAGGGAAGCAAAACCATTACAATCCTTGATTACCTCTGAACTCTTAACTGAGAGTTTTTTTTTTGTCTGTTTTATAAGATTAGGGAGTAGAAGCTGCTGTTGTATGTTAAAATTTTCTTTTGTTCCTTTTTGTTTCAAGGGGCCGGTACACCATGAAAGTGTTCCCTTCATTTCTTCAACTTCATGGCAAAACTTATGACTACAAGATTCCTTACACATCAGTGTTGCGTCTTTTCCTTTTACCTCACAAAGACCAAAGATTTATGTTCTTTGTGGTAAGTTTTATTATATGAGTAGATAAACTGCAGGGCCATTGCAGCTTATTGGAACATTTTGTCATGTTTGTCCCCTTGAGGAATTTCCTAAATAATTCATTTTGGAAAGAGGGTCCAGTATCAAGCAAAATCAAGTAACATATTGTGTTGTAGTTCACTTGTATACTGGGAAAAAATAATGGTAATTAAAATGTTTTGCACTAAATGTAGCACTTGAGACTGGAATAATCTTGAAGTCAGGTATAAGAAAAAGGTTATAGAGAGTGATAGGATTATTATGGTGGCCTAACTCATAGATGTGGACAAAGAGCATTGAGTTAATAAAGTGATGTGTGATAGTGCACGGCGCGATTGTAGCAGAGGTATGAAAAGACAAGGAAGGGTTGGGTTGAGTCACCTGATGAAGGTTCTGTGCATGATCCAACCCAGATTCCCCTGGTTTTTGCTCTGTTACCATTCTTGCGTCGTTTACTACTTCACTCCGTTTTACTTTCTGAATACCTGAAACCGGCTATCATGAAGTTAACAGCTTTAAAAATGAAGTTCAAAAGTAAAGTATCAAGAGAGAGGCTCCAAGTAGAATAAGACTGGAAATTGAATAACATTCATTACTTTGAAATTTGCTGTTGATGGATTACTCTAAAATAGTTGTTTTTCTGCATTGTAGGTTAGCATGGATCCTCCAATAAAACAAGGCCAAACAAGATATCCATTCTTGATCATACAATTTGAAAAAGATGAAGAATTCGATGTGAAACTAAATTTGTCAGAGTAAGTGAAGGAGTTTTACATGATCAATAGTAGAATTTTTCTTCTCTTCCTGTGCTCTCTGTTTGAGTACCTGTTCAAGGTATTGTGATTTATGGAAATGTGGAAAAAAAAATTGGGGGAATTATGAGGGTAGAGAATTCCCAGTCTAGAAGCTTTTGAGTGTGGGAAAGCGATAGTGTTAACTTTCATTTGAATAAAAGGGGTAACTTTCGCAGTGCTGCCTTTGAGGGGGTGGGGGGAGGGGAAGGGGAGAAGAGAGGTATGACAAGATAATGTGGTTTTGTGAACTGAGTTGATAACGTAAATTGGCCTCAGTAAGGAGTTTCTAAAGCTGACTTTTCTAACGGTAGCCGTTCGTCAGTTGCGCAGGTGCAGTAGGTCGGCCACTGAGTCAACTTCATTGTTTAAAGCGTAGCATGTACATCTTATACCGAATTCCTCGCGTGTTTTGACATCTTGGTATTTTTGCAATTTAGGGAGGAGTTAAAGGAAAAATATGAAGGGAAGATAACTCAGGAGATGGATGGTCCAATTTACGAGATTGTGAGCAGACTGATGAAGGCAGTTGTTGGTCGAAGAATAACCGTTCCTGGTACATTTAAAAGGTGCGTATCAATGTAATGTGTTTCTGGTGTTCTAAGGTTGTGTTTTGTTACTCAGGTTAAGGTGATTGGTTGCTTATCACACCGACTAAAATAATATTTAGGCAGCAATCTTTAACCCTTTAACTCCTAAGATCTGATTTTGAATTTTCCCCTCTAGCTGTTACTCATTTCCTTGTAAATAAATTGCGAGTATTTGGTGTTAGATCAAGACTACTAACCTTTACCTGATAAGTTTGAATATTCGCATTACATGTTGGCTTTAACTAACTTATGGGTGTTAAAGGGTTAAGACAGGATGACTTGTTAAACATCCCTTTCTCTGTGCGTTAGAGACATCCCAGTCTAAATATCGTTGAACAAAGCTGGTAGCGTGAAATGTTTGAATTTTCTCATCGTAGAAGTTGCAAAAAGGTCTGTTTCTATTCATTATTTCAATCAACCTGTGACATAGATCCAGTTGAGAAATATAAGTAGACTCCATTGTGAACGAATTTTTAAATTGAAACATTTTTCAGTCTTGCCCTAACTCTTCTTCTGCTTTTCAGTCATGCGGGAGTCAGCTGCATCACGTGTTCATACAGAGCTGGCAGTGGAATGCTGTACCCTTTAGAAAGGGGCTTTATATTTGTACACAAACCCCCTGTGCACATCCGCTTTGACGAGATCTCCTCAGTGAACTTTGCCCGTGTGGCAGGAGGAGGTGGATCCAGTCGGTCATTTGATTTTGAAGTGGAGACAAAGTCGGGGGTCAGTTACGTGTTTAGTAGCATCGAAAAGTAAGTGGCGCCTACAGGATGTTTACGAATTTTGGATGAGGTTTTCCGACGCATTCATTAACAAAATGGGAGCAAGTAGAACATGCATTCAATCAAATAGGTCTTAGATCGAACGCATGGTACAAGTACTGATTGAGCCCGCGGGCACACCCTTGTTATTAGCGCTGGCTAATACTTATTATGATGAAACGGCACTGGCGTCCAGCACGATCCTAAGGGCGTTAAAACACTACAGTACGCTCACACCTTCACTCTACTTCCAAGGGAAGAAAAACGGGACACGTGCATATAAAACAGCAAGCTCGTTCCCAGATTCCTCGTTCATCATAAGGTCCTTTTTCGGTGAATAAGTGGTAGCTGGGGAAACGAGATTGACAACGCAGCGGTCAAGCCGCGGGCATGCGCAAATGATTAAAACTTTGTCAGCAGCACGCCAATTTTCAGTGCAAAGTTTTAAAGGGAAAAATTACCAACAACTGGAGTCATGAAATATTTCAGGTTTCAAAGTAGCTTGAGAAATTTTAATCTGTCTTGCATCATATTTCAGAGAGGAGTATGGCAAACTATTCGATTTTGTCAGTGGCAAGCATCTGAGAATAAAGAACACAGGAAAGGTCAGCACACAATACATAATTTCAAATAACACTTTTTTGCAGTCATTGACAGACTAACGCCATCATTCTTAGCGCTGCAAGACGCACATTTCTCTGCCCGCAGGAAGATTTGAGACGAGTCCGGGAGAGGTTTGCCGGGAGTCTGGCACTTATTATCATTGCATGCTCTTACTTTACTCAAGGCCTCATACTTTCTTGCAGGCGAGGAAACGCTCGTGCCGGAGCGCCCACGATGAGGGTCAACGCTATTCAGCGTGCATGCAAAGTATCAGTACTTTTTATTGCAGCATTCCTGCCCCTAGTCCTTTTGAAAATCCTGCAGTTTTGTTTGCGTCTGCTCTTACGGTTCCTCTCTTTGTACGTGAATACAACAGTTCTATCAAAATAAGCCTAGATTTTGAAATAAATTCTCCCTATTTAGCTAGGTACCTTAAGGTAAACAAAGCAAAATTATTTTATTGTTGTCATTTTCTCTATTCATCATTATTTATTTATATGTTTATGGATTTTTGTGGTTTAATCGAAGGTGTCATCAAAGCAGTATGAAGACGAATTGATGCCCGGCTCAGACGAAGATTCTCACGATGCGTACTTGGAGCAGATGAAGGCTGAAGGAGCCGAGAAATACGAAGAGTCAGAGTCAAGCGAAGGTGTGTGTGTGTGTGTGTGTACTAAGCACGTAATTTCTAATTCACACTCCGCCTTGAGGACAGATGCCGATACCACTGGCCCATCCCTATACTGCTAAAAAATCTTCTCAACCGTTTCCTTTGTACTGATCAAATTCCAACTGTAGTATTGGACAAATAGGATTTCTATTTTGAGCGCACAGAGAGTGTTGCCGTCCCACACTAACCTGTTTTTCAGAGTTTGCACGGGACACATTTCATTGAAATTGTGACCAGAATCTGAAGGTAGTTCTGCAATTTTCCAGGCCCGGGAAGTCGTGGGTTTTGGTTGCCGCCTATGAAAAGTTAAGGAATTGACGACTCGCTGTACACTACGAATAGTTTCTTCTTTTCCGCGAAGTCCGTCGCGCGAGTAACAAAAAAATCAGTGAAAACTGGAAAAAAAAAATAAAAATGATGTTAGCGCGCCGCGCGGAACTCTGGGTGTGAGGCTCACGCAAAGGAGGGATAGCTCCTAGTCTAAGGTCACTGTTTTTTTTATCTTTATTACAACAAAAACGCAAGAAATACGTTCGTCAAATGGTTGCTTTCATGTTATTTTAAAACCAAACCATTGATCTATGGCCATGGAAAACACAAAAGAAGTCCTGCAGAAAGTAAGGGAAAGTCTTGAATTTTGGTATATGAGGATTTTGAGCCCTGTTTCTTCGCATAATTTTGTTAAGGTGAATTCATGTGTTTTTTCTTTCCATTTAATCTGTTACTTACAGATGAGTCAGACGAGTCCTTCAATCCTGGAAGCGGGGGAGAAGATCAGGATTTGAAAGAGGAGTGAGTATATCTGTTTTACCCCGCTAAAATTGTTCTGAGTAGAGAAGTATTTTCGTGCTAAAGGCAAGGTACAATTCTTCTGAAATATTTTTAAAAGACAGGCACTCTCCTGGCCTAGCTTTTTTTACCCTTTACGGTGGCTAATTTACGTTTTCAACTCAGTTGTTAACACTAAATTACCTGCTATACTCTCCCACAGACGCAGCACCACAGTTTCTTTAGAAACTTACCCCTTTACTCTCCTGGCCAGTTGGTTCTTTCACCCTTTGACCATTAAGAGTGAATAGCGTCTTACAATACCATCGCTGAATCACGCATGAAGGTTAGGAGAATTAGGGAAATTATCACCACCTAAAGAAGCTTTTGATTGTATCAATTCTCCCTGTAAGCACCTTAGGAAATGTTCAGAGAACGCTATGGAGAATATGCATACTGATTTTAGGGTGTAAAGGATTAAGGAAAGTCTATTGACCGTTGCTTTATTCCTAGCTGATTAGGCTCGTGGCCACAATGAGGCTAATTTTAAGATAATTTTGTACTAGATTCGAGAGCGACCCGTCTTCTTCAGAAAGTGAAGGAGAATCCGACGAGGAAGGCAAGCCAAAACACAAAGTAAAGGAAAAGAAGAAGAAAAAGTCGCCTGAAAAGAAAAGAAAAGCTGAAAAAACCACCAGCCCCGCACCGAAAAAGAAGGCCAAAACTTCAGTATGTGTTACTGAAAATCTTACAGCTCTGTCGTCTTGTTTTTAACCGTTCAGTAGCAGAATGTTCCCTTTCCCTTTTCCTATTTGCCTCACGAGGAATGTCGTTTCACAGTTCACGATGCATAAGGCTCATGGAGAGTGATGGAGTTTCACAGACTTTTGTGTATACTTCCATCCCATTTGGTTATCTTTCAGAGTTTTTTGTGTTGATTGATTTGATAACAAGACCGCGAAACTCATTGGCGTTGGTTTAGTGTCTTAGTACTTGTTGTGTTTTTGATTATCTGTTTGTTTGTTCGTTTGTTCGTTTTTTTTTTGTTTTTTGTTTTTTTTTGTTTCAATCAAAGAATTTATATACCTCTAGGAAAATCAAAAGACTGTTTGTACCGGCCTGTACTGCAAGAGTGTACTTTAAAATTTAATTGTTCTAGTCAATCGCTGTATGAGCCAATCAGAAACAGAGCTGAGAGCCTATTTCACCTACATCTTCATCATGCTCTTTTTTCTCTTCAATACGAAATAGAGAACGCGATATATTTCATAGGATAGTTTCCTATTGAAGGTCTTAAAAACAAAATCCAAGGTTATGGTAAAAGCCAATCAGAGCAAAGGTGAATATTGTAAGAAACCGATGAGAGCTCAAAGTGAAAACAAGCCGACCGCTCCAAGCGCGGGAAAACGTGGGTGACCAAGTCGTGATTGGGTTTTTGTATGCATCTGATTGGTTGAGACGGTGGCACGAGTTTTCAAGACATGATCCAATCCCGGATGACTTTCGACACAATTGAAATTGCTTTAACCTTGATTTCGTTTTGCAGACAGATGAAACACCTCAAGGCAAACGGAAAAAGAAAGCGAAGAAGGACGCTGATGCCCCCAAGCGGCCGATGTCCGGCTACATGTTATGGCTGAGCGAAATCAGGGAACAAATCAAAGGGGAGAACCCTGGAATCTCAGTGACAGAGCTATCCAAAGTAGCGGGAGAGAAGTGGAAGAAAATTGAGGATAAAACAGTAAATGATCTTTGTATTCCTTATATCTCAATAATGCGAGAATGATGATTATGTAAGGATTTCTATAGTGCCATGTGCATCAGCTCAAGGCGCTCTACAGCACTTTGGCCAGACTACATTGAGCAGTTTACAATTTTTGAAGGATATTTTTGCAGCTGCCCTCATTTTCGGATCTAGGCCAAACCTCAAAACAAGGTGCTCTTCAACCAGAGCAAATTCTCCGCATTTTCTGTAATACATTCCCTTTAATTTTAATTCCTGTAATTTAGTGTTATGGCAAACTCTATTTTTCTTTCTATCCATCATCTTTCTGTTGGAAAATGTAATGATAATGCTAGTAGAAATTACTTTTAAGTCACCTCTAACAAGGTAATTTAATTCTTGTTTAGAAATGGCAGGAAATGGCCAAAGAGGCGAAGAAGAAATACGACGAGGCAATGAAGGTGTACAAAGAGAAGAAAGCAAACGAACCAAATGATAGTCCAGATGAGAAACCGAGCAAGAAGGGTTCCGTAAAGGAGTTCTTTAATAAGAAGGGAGATAAAAAGAAGACTGCTTCTCCTCGAAAAGCTGGCAGCGGCGAGTCACAGAAATTTAAGAGCGCAGAATTTGTAGAAACTGACGATAGTTCCTCAGAGGATGAAGACAAGGTAAGTTTGTTTTCTTATATCTTATGACGTCCACAAAACTTCACGATAACATCGGTTGAAGTATTTTAGAGTTTTGATAATCGTTTCCCTTACTTGTTAAACTTGTCTTGTATTTTTTTATTTATGGAAAAACCACGCAGCGAGAGATGGGAGACCGACTTGCACTATGACTCGTTCACATCTCCCACACTTTCAGAAAAAACGAGAGACGATTGGGTACAAGCCCAATGCTTTCGTTTTAAATTGTAGAGCAAGTTCAATTTGCACTATCATTTGAGGTGTCCCATTTTATTTGACGATCTCCTATTTAATTTGCTTTTACAGAAAACCAAACCCAAACCCAAACCTAAAGCAAAAGCAAAACCTAAATCAGGAAAACCTAAGAGCAAAAGCAAAAAGGAATCAGAGGAGGAAGAATCCGAAGAAGAAGACGAGGAATCTGAGGACGTAGATATGAGTGACGGCTCAGATTCAGACTGAAGTCATGAAGTGCCAAGGAGAGCATAACTTACACAACAACTGCGCCTGCATTAATGATGTCCATCTGTATGTTGAAAAGGGCACGCAAGCGAGACATTAAAGTCGTTTGTTTTAATTGCCTCATTTTCGTGTACACTATTTTTGTGGAAAAATACTTCAAGTTGTAAAACAGCCTGTGTCTGGTTGTGATACTGGGAGAACGGTTGAATAGAAAAAATCTGTGAGGATAATCTAAGTTTCTGTTTGTAAAAATAAACTGTAGGACCAAACTAGTTGTAAAAAGTTTTTTTTTGCTCAATTTGAAAAACGAGCGCAGATACACCATTAAACCTAATTTAGGATTGGAGGTTAAAAGTGTCAATTTATCGAAACAACACGATGAAAAATTGCAAAGTGTATGTAAGAACTCCGATTCAAATAAAAGTTTTTCAAACGAACAACGACAAAATGTGATGCCAGCTGACAAAACTGATTTTTCTATAACAATTGAATTGTCAGTTCTTTTAATTGAAAACAGAAATTGCCTACATTGGAGGCAAATATTGACGTTTCCTAGTTATGTTTTGATATCGATATGCCCCTTGGTTCTTTGCACGATCCCTATTTGAGTGTCCTGTGGCGAATTGGGCACAGAATTAACTTAAATACGCGATGGAATTATGAAAATATTGTTTTGTATTTGCGTGAGTGATGACGCAGCTACTTGGCGAGATTGATTAAGAAGGGCTTAAATTGGTAAACAGGAAAGGAAATGAGACATAATATTTCTTTAAATCAAGAAATGCAAATTATTTTCCTGTTTATCAACAATTTGGGATGTTTTCTTGTTTGTCTGTTTTTTTACACATTCAAAGCTTCGTTAGTTTTAAACGCCTGAGATCTAAAAAGAGAGGTAACTGGAGAGGATGAAACCGAGGGTGGACTGGGAACGATATGCCCGGTTATCTAAATCTCCCACGTTACGTGTTAAAATGGTGTGATGTCAGCGGGATGGGATGGAATGGAGATAGAAATAACTGCAGTAAACCAATATCCTATGCTAGGGAAGGGGTTACTGAGGGTATCTTGTGAAAGACACGAAATTATTGTGAATAAACTGGGCATTTTCCCAAGAAAATTGTTGGAAATATAACAACTAAGGGTAAAAACTAATTGCCACCTTTGTAATTAAAATAGTGACTGAATCGCACAAAATGTTCGAATTAGTGTCTCTATTAGATGGTCCTATCTTTGTTCGTTTCAAGCTTTGTAAAAGGTAACGAAGAAGTAAGATTGTCGTGAATTTAAAGTCTATCAAAAGCTAACAAAAGATCTTTCAAAATTTGAATCACTTAGTAGAACGGGCCTCTAAACTAAAAAGTATTCGTTTGCTTCACGTAATTTTCAACATAAAATTCCAGAGCTCTGCAAAGACGCGAGCAAAAAAAAAAAAAAGAAGTGTCGACCTTACTTGGTGTTGAAAATATTTAGGGAAAGGTTGGTGAACAACAACAACTTAAATGTCTTTAGTACCGCTAATAAATTATTGATTGTCCATTATGAGAAATCTTTTTGAATTTCAGTCAAAAATATGCGAAATTTCCTTACAAAAGCGGGTGGGATCTCCACTAGTGTCAAATTCTTTGTCCATTTTCTTAAGCCCAAGAGTCCAGGTATTCTTTTGACATGTGACAAATACACTTCTTTGATCAGTGCCTTCAAACGTTGAACACACTTCAAGTCGCTTCAATTTGGCGCGTTGCGTGAGGTGATCTCTCGAATTTTACAGAAAAGTACTTAACATAATATCTATGGCAACTCTTAAGCTGCGTAACATTTAGTTGGAAAATTGCGCCCTCCACTAAGATCGTTGCAGTTATTAGCCACTTTCTTTGTGACCGAGGCAACTATTGTTCTTGACCGAAAAAATAGAATTTACACCCCATTAGCTGGCCGTGTCTAAGTGGCAAAAATTCTGGAGGATTTGCACGAAAGAAGGTCTCTCTTTTTAACGCTGTGTGGATTTGACACATTCTTCCATTTCAGGTGAAGGTAAGGTAAGGGAATGTTTCGATTTTAAGTATAGGACTCTCATTGCCTTGTTTTATCATATATGTTAGACCAGTACCTGTAAAACTAACACGCTGTTTTCTGTTACAAAAAATCTATTTGAGTCTTTTTTAATTAAAAATGTTTTGTTTAACTTAACATCTGCAACGTTTTTTCCTCCTATTCCTATATCCTAACTTTTGTACAAAAATAACGAGAGAAAAAAAACTTTTAAAGTGACAAAACTTCCCATAATGACAAATCTGACGCACATTTTACGAAAATTGTGGCTAACTGAAATCTAGATTTTAACTCAAATTAAACGCTTACTTCGTCTCTCCTTCATAGAGCAGATCGAGTGGGTTTGTTGTGTATTTTCGGTCACAGCGAGAAAAACAAAGTGTACTGGATGGCAAAAATTTACTCGCTGATTTATTGATGAACTGAGACTCGCCATAAACAAAGACAATTCAATTGTGTTAAATATTAAGCAATGTTCATTTATTTCGTCTGAGTGCTTTCATTTTAGTCATAACTATCACATGACTTAAAAAATAAATGTTCTGAATAAAAGTTTCACAGTCTTGTTCAATTCTATTGATAAATAATGTAGCGGAAATTATCAGGACCTTACGCTGGATCCTAAACGCATGTCGTTCTTAAAGCCTTTTATAATTTCTCTCTTTTAGTAACTGGTTTATCTTCAACACTTAAGAAATATGTTACCTGGTAAACTAGCTCTATTTCAAAACACGCGTAGGAGACGTGCGAGTCGTAAATATTTATAATGAGACAACTACAAACAAAACGAGACGATTTCATTCTCAATCGCGAAAGAGATGAAAAAAAATTACAACTTTCGCTCTGTGTATATGCATTGATCATGTACCATTCTACAGTGATCTCATCGTGGTGTTCTTGTAATGCTAACCGGTACAAACGGTCGACTTATCCAAGAATCATCGCATAAAGGTCATAAAGTGATTGACTTCTATCATGAATGATGTTGGAAATTGTTTTCTTCATTTTTGCCAATTTTTTAATATATTTGTGTTCAAATTCTGTTGTTATCAAGATAATGTTAATTGGGATTTTGTTGTAAAAAAATTCGTGCGATGAATTAAAAAAAAAACTGACAATGTTGCATTTACAGACTGCTTCAAGTCACTTTCTGCTTTTTAAAAACAATTGCTATATTTTTCAAACCGAGAAGGCTCTTAGATCCATGCTCGTCGGAGAGTATTGTTACTTTTCTGTGATCATGTAATGTTATCCATTCCTTATTCAGCTTGTTCTTGCGTAAGGACAAAGTTTTAGTCGTCTAGATGCTATTCAATTCGCTATTGTCGAAACTTTCTCGCTAGCTGTCGGCTCATTCTTGATATAATTTATCAAACGGGTTGCAGTTGACAGAAACGTTTAAACGGTATATGGTTTTAGTGACACATAGTAAATACATTCTTCAATATACCGGTAACACATCATTCAAGAAAGCTAGCCTTCATATTGTCTGAATCAATATAATATGAAAGGTGGATGCTTTATTATAACTGTCTTTAAAATCGCCTTCCCTGATAAATTGTTGGCTTTCTTGCGATATTTGGGCTCTTTTTTTTTTTTTTTTTAATTTTTACACTTCATACCATTTGACACCTGATTAAACTCGAACAAAACCTCTATTACCCGCCTCGTTTTCGAGTTGGCTTCTTTTGGCATAAATTAACAAGTCAAATATATTAGCATACTTAGGATGAATTATTTAAAATTAGCTACGCAGCTTAGTAAGTCTCTTGCGACACTCTTCCAGTTTACAATGGTCGTGGAAAGGAATTTCGACGAAATTTAATCGTGGAATGCTCTTGAGCTTTTGGACATTTTTGTACTGGACGACCTTATGTTGAAGCCAAGGTAAGGCGATGCGGTTTGCTTGCAAATTTCTACTCTTAGCGTGGGGCGAAGAGATTCTAGCTCGTGTGTACGTGCTTCTTCGGTCATTACCTTCCAATTTAAAATCTGTTTGCTCATTAGAGTCGTTCTTCTATGGGGCCAGCCTAATATTGTTTAAATACTACAAACCTTTTACAGTTTCGAAGTGTCTTTTTAACAACGTGTAGCTACGTGTGAAGAATGAGAGATAAGGGGAAATTTGTCTCACACCGTGTTTTCCCCGCAAAATGTGAAAATGAACAGTGAGATATGTCACAAATGGTCGCTATTTTACTTCAATTGGATTTCAAAAGATACTTGATTCTGTATTAAGGAAAAACTAGCAATTAGGATCTGTTAAAAGGACGATAAAGCTTAAGATATCGCTCCGGACGCTTTAAGTTCGTGAGCCATAATCCGCTTCCAACCAAAGAGCATTACACTTAACCGTGATTGTATTCTGATGTATTGTAACGTGAGCGTCAGACGTTTTACTTTCTTTGATTTCTTTTGTTTCATCTCACGATAATATGAAAATGTATTCTAGAGGTGAACAAACTATTTTCTGAGTGTAGAGTGACTGTAACGTGTTGCCAAGTAGCTCTGCATGTGTTCTTTCCGAAAATTATTTTTCTGCATATGATTGAATAACGCGCTTCGCTCACAGAATTCCACTCACGTTGTCAAGGATTTTCAACCTCATGCCAAAGGAATGCTTCTGGTAATTTTACCGATGATATTATGGGCGTTTTGAAACATTCCTCTAATAGGCAATTTGATTTTAAGTAGCGATTAAAGGTGGTTCGTGACACGATGTGAAATTCGAGAACTGAAAATGTCAACAATTTTTGTGATGGAGCGATCAACTCTTGTCAACTTAGTCGAGTTTATCAGGTCACCGGTTTTAGCCAGATTTCGCCCTCCTATCAGTCAATCTACGATTTCTTACTGAAGGAAGCACCTCAGGTATTTACTTCTTTGCTTGGACACGCAAGGTTTGATGTTGATTCTCACGAAAGTTTTAACTAATAAAAAACATATTCCGTTAGGGGTAACCCATTCTTTGTCTTGACGGAAAAATGGCATGATTGGCGTTGTTTACGTAAAAATTTTAAACTGCGATTTCCTTAATCGCAAAGGGGTATTTGAGTAACTTAAGAAAGGTTACATCTGTCATATTTTAGGCTGACATTCTCTTACATTAGCTCAAAAAGTCTCACGGCACAACTTTGAAGAACTAATTATTTTCACTATTTTTTCATAACCACACGTGATAAAGGGTGCGTTTGAATTTACTACCCGTTAAGTTCATTGACTTTACAAACCTTAGCAAAATTTGTCGAGTTTTCCGTTTTCAACCTTGGAAGAAAGATCTAAACTTTGGAAAAATTTTTGTATATGTATTATCATTCACAGCATTTGTAGATAGTTTGATAAAATAAATTTTATAAGTCAAATCTTGCAGC